ACGTCTCGCACCTTTTCAGGGCTCATTTCTTAATCTTTCCCCACAATCAAGTATTATCAATACGAAAGATACCATCAGTGGAAGTCAGAAGTGCTTTGTCAAATAATTAAGCGCCCTTTTGTAAGTCCAGGGAATTTGGCATCATTCACGTTTGAACTTGAGTGCGTTTTTTATTTGCGCTGAAAGTAAGCCACAATTTTTCTTCACTCAGATAGAAATTGACTGAATTTGGAACACTTGGTTTCCAATCAGATACTTCGTATTAAAACTGTAGTAAAGCCTCCTCAAAATTGTCCTTTGCGACCAAGTAGATGCAAAGAACTTCACTGAAACCCTTCTTTGCGGCAGCAATGGATTCCGTTCAAAAGAAAATACACTGGTGCTAGGGATCGAAGCGGGAACTTCAGTGTCTCTGCAAATAATAATGGTCTGCATCGCGAACTAAATTCCCGGCAGCATGTGTACCAGGGTCCCGCCCTAGGTGTGTGAGCGAAGCAAGTGCTGTAAGTGTATGCATGTTACGTTGACACGGTTTTTTCCCCTGAATGTGGCATAACCTTTTATCTTGCGAATTATGTAGTTCGCTTGCTAGCACTGCGGAATGCAGGCGGAAATTCGGGAACCTAAAGTCGCTTATATACCGAGTATCACCATATCTTATTCAAACATGTACTCTTTTCTCATCCTTGTACAGCATTCCAACTTCGTTCATTATCTAGCCTATTAGAATAAATGTCACATTTAAGTTTAAAATATGCCAAGTTCTAATAGTTTTCTGACGATTATTATCGTTTTCAGTGGGTGCTATGCTGCGGATGCATACGGTTAGATGTCAGAAATCCCGTTCGCTGATGAGTGGAAGTGTCTTAAGGATTTGGGAATTTCATTTTGTCATAAAATCAGTAGATATCTTACTGGAGAAGAAGATTTAGATCGAAATTTGAATGATCTTTTTGTTATGGCGTGCGGTGTTAATGCCTATATAACCTAAGCAAGCCTAAAACCCCGGGGCGGTATTCACAACATTTCTTCTTACTGGAAGTGCTTTTTACGATCCACATTAACATGTATATGAGTTTCAGGGTGGCGAAGTAGGCCAAATTGATACAGGTCGCCATTACGAAGCTTGCATCAATAACTAAGGCCACTAAAAGCATTCGCCTACCTTTGCATTTTATGAAAGTCTGTATATGGAAGAAAACGACTCATAGGCTTGCCACTTCTTCGCCTTTGGAGGGAAAGTAGCCGCCATGAAGACCAAAATCTAAATACCTTGCTCAGCAGTCTGCGTGTATATGAGCCATTCAGGTTATATAATTCATGCATGTACACCTTTTACTCTTTCAAGTGGTGCCACTGTTCACCCAGATACTGAGACGACTACATTCCTTTCTCTCACTGGTAACAATCGGCAGGGAAAAATGATGGACTTTGTAACAAGTCTTCCCTTCCTCCAATAATACGTCACCTCGTAGGTGGGCCCCGTTCCCCCTAAGTCCATTTCTTGCCCTGTTCTTTCTATGATACTTATGAAAGATATCTTGAAGATACCAAGTTCGACTCACCAGTGGCCGCTGTGCTTGATGAATTTTTGATACAGGCAAACTACCTTAGTGTTGGTATTTATGATTTTTCAACAGGACGTCAACTTTTGATAAGCTTTGTGGTCTTTCACTTCGTTTTGACCTTTTCTACCTCTTAAAAGCCTATACCATTCCATCAGGATTGCTTTGATTTTTGCACGTTGAACTGCGTAGTATTAGTTTTAAAAAAATGCATTTTTCAAGAATCTATCCTTAGTCAGTAATCCACATCCTAAACGCATTTTGTCTACTGCGAAGTTAAAGTTACGAGTATCTACCGTATTTGAAGTCTACGTATAGTGTGTTTCATTTGGTTGAAACCATGACCATCAATATTCATTTCACGTCAGTTAACAATATAGCTAGCATATTCTAGCGCGTAAAATTGACTTCATTCCATCATTATTATTTACCATAAACATTTTTGAGTGGTTCCGGGTTCAGAAATTAGTGTAATGACTAGGATACGATTGTCTTAGTCAGAACGCAGTGTAGAGTTCAGAACAGGTATCGATTTATAAGGCGCAACAAGGAGCTATTCTGCGTCGGTTACCGTCCCCCCCCAGTTTTGAACATCCTTCCATGAAGTTTCAGCCAGCCATTCCTGCTCTTCTCCGGTGACGTCAAGATGCAGAGAGCTGAGTTTAGTCGTGGAACCGGTAGCTCCAGCGGTTGACTTTGGAACGCTTATAGCTTCGGTGAAAAACGACGAATACCGGACAACATTTTTCTGCACCTCAGGCTAACTGAAGTGTACTGTTGCCTTTGTGGTACCTGCCCTTCTCACACAGCCACCGAGGAGGGTCCGAATCTTGTTTTCACTGACCGGGTACTGGTCGCAGCTGCTCGGGGACGTCCATGAGACCTGCATATTTCGACATTTTTTTGGGTCAAAAGTTAGGTACTCCAATCTGAGGCTTTCATATACGATAAGCGAAACCTACGTATGGCCTTGTTCAAAATTTTCGATGAGTCATTGAGTTTCAACACGTGAATGGGGAGTGAGTCTTACGCATAAGGTTTGGAGACGGGCCGTGTGTTCTGGGGATAAGAAGTAAACTCTAGGGGGATGGACTTCGGAATAAATGCCTCCATACTCTGGGTTGCCATTGGGTACATGGTGACGATATTGGCTAACCTGCCACATAAATTGTAGAATTATAAACTTCAGCGGAACCACAAATGAAAGGTGCTGCCTTACTTCTGCCCCCAGGACTTCAACCACTGTAACTCCACACTGGATGATACAGCCACCGTGGTATCTGCCGGCATCTTTAGCCAAAGGTTGGACAACTGTGTGGTATGAAGTAGAATAGATGAATCCGGTTAGTAGGTATGGTGGACTGAGGTAACTATCTTTCACCGTATTAGTTCAAGACCTTCACCTGTTTTCACATAAATCCTATTCCATCCACACCATTGCTAGGGACCCGACTCAATTATATTCCTCTCTGTGGTGACCTACCTACCTGCTGTTTCTTTTGGACGTTTCGCCGATCCCGTTGCCACCTCGTTATTATTGACGATATTGTTCTTAATTCCATTACTATTAATTTTATCAGGTGCGCTGCCCCCAATCCCTCCCACTCTCTGCTATTTATCTAGATTCCTAATAACATCACTTAACAACCATTCGCTGGGTCTACGTAATTTTTGTGCTCGCATTTTGTTTATGCAAGCTCTTACTAGGCACTGTGCGCCAGAATCATCCGGCAGATAATGGCATATGAAAAAGCTGTTACGTCCATTTTCATAGGCTACGTGTGACTCTCACCCTCTGAATTCTTCGCTTCGGTGTTTAGAGGTCTTACTAGGCGAATACTTTGGTTCCTAAAAAACTGTCTCCTCTACCGCTCCAGTGAAACATGAATGCTCTGTAGAATGTGCGGACGGTGACCAAGGAATTCATCTTTGGACTATGACAGCCTTATATGAGAGCTTCCCAGGAATTGATCTATCCACTCCCAACTACCACAGCGCGTGGGGAAAATCGCCAGATGAATCATAGGACAAATATTTATCTTTGACAGTAATCGGCGGTTTTATGATGATCCAGCGCGAGAGGGACCGTGGGGGTTAACTCCGGGATTGAAGCCAACCTGTGTTTACCAAGAATATGTGTCTTGTGGAACGTTTTACTGTGGGAGTTATCAGTGGTCCCTATCATTCAGTTTAAAATTGGGCTGTAAGGTAAACCCGTTGGCACACATTGACTACCGATAACCTACTAGGGGATTTTCTGACTTCAATAGCCAATCACAACACCCGGGAGAGGGAATTTTACATTTTTGCAGCCTTATTCTCACTACGTACAAATAGCTTCTCCCTCCCCTCTTCAACCATGCGTCTACTTTCACTCGCTGCCCGGTTAATTTCAACTCCTGTAGCTCTAGGCCATCATGCAAACAAGGGTAGTTAGTAATCAATTGATCCTCACAACGATGGATTAGTTCGCTTGATCACACAGTCTACAAACTACCGATTGAAACGACCGACAGATAAGCAGTTCCTGAAGACCACCTCAGGAAAGCGGCAAGATTTCCACAAACAACAAAGAAATGTAACTGGACAAAGAGAGCCCAGCCCAACGGACAAGACGCGAGTTTGGAAAATATCAGTTGGTTCTACTCCTCCAAAAGGTACTGGGCTGGTCTGCCGGTCACAGCCTGCAGTTTCAAGAGACTTGGCATGACGTAGAACGCTATCGAAAATGAGTGATGATATTTTCCTCAGCTCACACACATCTTAGTTGGGTCTAAACTAGAAAAATTGGACGCAGGCGCAAGTTTCCGCCAGATGAGTGGCTCGGATTTTTCGGAAGGAGTTCAAAATGTAGGCACTCTCACGACCCCTACGGCTGCTCGCCTGACCGAGGAAGATCTACTTGAAGGGATGAACCTCTCTTTATCCTGTCGCAAACAAGAGATATCCAACCATGCTAGTCGAGACTCCGAGAAATGACTTAGGACCTGGTCTGTCTTCTCTTTTCCCCATGATTAGGTTGGGTTATATCACAGGACATAGCAAGAGAATACAAAGACAACAGGCGAACGAAGACTGCGTAGAGTAATTGTTTTCGCGTCGGGTAATCAACAACTGGAACCGACTCTCAGAAGTAGTGGTGTCCACGTCATCAACTAACTCGTTCAAAAGTGAGCTTGGTGAGCAAAGAACTCTCCTGCAAAAGAATTAACATGGGCTAGTGGCCTTTCACCTTCAAAAAGCAAGTGTCAATCTGGAAGTTGCTACATTGTATATTGAATACTGAGTACATGAGAAAGACTCGTAAGTGGAAACAAATGGAATTGGAAAGATAAACCAAAAATACTCTACCACGTGGTTTCAGTATACGGAAGAAAGTTCACCTGCTTCAGAGGTATCAGATAGGATACCTGATATTGTTTAATATTATGGAGTGATATCACGTCCTATGACCTCCAAGGTCGATCATTTTTTGAGTTGGCGTCAATGTTGCAGAAACGTATTTTGTTTGATGCAAACTCGGCAAATCCTTTCTTTCGATGTCATATTTATGGTGCATCCAATATTGCTTTGGTATGTTTGAAAAAATTGTTTGACATCTTTGTAGGTGAAGTCTAATATTTTGGGCTCACAGGTTGTGAAGATGTCGACATCCTCGCACCCGACATATCTTGAATTTATCTACGAAAAGATATGCTGTATGCACACATTGTAAATTTAGATAGTCTTTTAGCAAGGATTCTGTACCGATTTCTTATATTTCGGATATTCCTTCTGAGTGAACATGATTTTAAGTTTGAATTGAAGTAAACGCTGTATAATACTTAACTTTTGCATGTTATTAGGTTCTCTTCTAATGACAAAAAACCATTCATACTCAGCTTTTCTACTAAATTTCAATCACTGTCCACGAAGAAATCTTGTGTGATGGTCCCACTGTTTTCGGTGTTGAAGTCAATGGTTTGCTAATGACTTTCTTTCACCACCATCATTTTTTAGTGGTTAAACCTTACTATAGATATGTTTTCGTTCCTGCACGACCTGAAAATTGATGCTACTTTGAGAAAACTGCAGAGTATTACCGTTTATCCATTCTGTTTTCTATCTGAGATTTCGGTCACTTCGGGTACTATCACTGATTCTCCTTTTCATAAAAGTAAGTGTTTTTATGCTAACACTTCAAATTAGTTCAGTCATCAAACTTCTTGGGTAAAATGATTCTGCGGTCAATGAAATTGATATTGCCTTAGCCAAGTCAGGTGTAGACTTTTTAGCATCCTTCTTCAAGTCAATAAGTATAATGTGAAATATGATCAGAAAGTAACAACCTAAACTCCATATCTCATTTTCGACTCTGTACTAACTTTCTTAATTATCCCATGTTATGCTGCTGCGTAAATGGCTGGGTAAAGTCTTGAATATTATTCTTCTCAAGATTTTCAACGCCATATCAATTAGAACGATTAGGTGGCTTTGAGTTCGATGAGTGATATACTTCGAGGTATGAGATCGTTGTCACGTCCCACCATTAACATTATGGCTTTTCTTATGGAATTAATGAATAGATCGAAAGTGATCAAAATTCACTGGAAAATCTTGTGCGCATTCGTGCAGTAGGCAGTGAACTACGCCTATCTGTAAGGGCTAATAGTACTACGTGCTTGCCGAAACTTCTGAGCCGACTACCAGACCACCAGTCAATGAGCTCACTGAAGCTCTAGGTCTCTTTAAATTTGGCTCGATTAGCTCCATGATTCCGGAAGTTCTTTTAACTTGACACACTTCCATTCGACATATGCGATCTAAGTTACGAGTTTGCAAAGGGAATGAGAACGTTCTGTGTGTTTGAAAAATAGAAATGATATAGCTGCTTACGTCTTTTCTACGCCAAATGATATCCGCATAATTCATTCTTGTTCTTCATTTAAGTTATGAAATGGCATTTTTGCTATCGTTTAAGTTCATTGCTCCTTGTCAATTCTTAGAAGTTTGATAGCCTTGATTAATAAAAATCTGTGGGTGCTCAGTTGATATAAGTGAGGGATTTGCGTAGCCTCATCCAGCATTTTATACAGTAGTTAAGGAGAGCAAGTGCAGACATCACTTCACCAGTCGTTTTGCTTAGTACAGGTTAAAATTTTTCCTGAATAAAGGTGGTTAATTGATCTTCTAAACATGTTTTTAGAGGATCGTAAACAGTGGCTGGTTATTAGTAGAATGGCAGAAATGTCTTCTGGATTCAGAAATAAGATGGAACTAAAGTGGTTTGTCAAGATAGATCAGAGAAGCACTGAATTTTAGCGCGTAAAATAGCATAAAACATAAGAAAATTCTTAATTTTAGGCTTGTTGAAAATACGTGCCGTCGAATTAACCAGTTTATCTACGATCTTGGGGAGGTTTTGCTTTCATGCAAAATATTGATCATTTCTCAACACCATATAGGTTGTCGAGGCACAACGTTCGAAAAAAGAGCCTGCTGACCATAACGTTACATCCAAATAGTTTACTCCTGATAAAACCACATCCCTAGTGACAATATTACTGTCTTTGTTCATTACCTTGCTGATTGCACACACAATCACACTTCTACGATTCTGTCAGACTTTTCCAAGAAAACATTTTCATACAGCCCCATAGACTTTTCGAGCTCTGAAATCTGACTCCAAATTTTATATACGTGTCCAGATACACTATCGCCTATCTATAATTCCCGACACTGCTGATCCACCTGCGTCAGACAGTGTGAATATCAGGAGTTAACGCGAAGTATATATCAGGATGTTTTATTGGTCAACGAGCGAGCAAAAAGTCTTTTTCAGTACAACTAAACAAAAAATGTTCAATGAGTTGTTACATACATCAACACAATACAGTGAAATAAAATGCTACAAGGTGACTATTAGAGTCTGATGCTTATTTGATTCAACTTATTGTCTGTGGTAGGCCAGGCTCGAACTGATGGTGGTTTGGTGTTCTCTGAGCTTTCACATTTTGTGAACGTCTCATCACCAGGTTTTGTGACATCTTCATAACGAGATGCATCTTCGATTCTTACACTATGGTTTGGATGGTGCTTCATTTATTTGATATGTTGGCGTTATCAGTACACATTTCTTGGTGTCTATGTCATAATTGTTTTGTGTAGATATAAAAATAATTATTATCCGTAAGGATCTAATCAGTGTTACATGTGTTTGTTTATCTATTGATCAGATTCACGAAATCTGGAAAGCAAAACATCTATCATTTATCAAGTATGTTGCCAAGTTGTTTGAAATCAGTTTTAAATCCTCTTCATTTTCATGTTTTATAAATGTGTCCTTTTATTACACTCTAAAGTAAAAGCAAGAATACTTATACTGCCTTAATAACACGTATTCTAATCAAGGATGACGTGTCTTATACTTAACTGGCGAGATTTTCGTTCACAATAGTAGATAACTATTATCAATATTGCTGCTCGTACTGTAAGTTTTAAAGGGAACGATTTTGACTGAATAGCACTTCTGATTGCATTTTTAATAAGAAAAGCGATAAAATTGTTAGAGGCTAATCGTAATACTCGGTGTTCTAGGTAATAGTGACCAATCAGCTCCTTTCGATTGTTTTTGGTTCGAAACTGATTAAACGTCAGATAACTTCTAGTTATGTTTATTTCGTTTTACTCACTGCTTACCAAAGAGTGTTGTCTCACAATAGTTATGTGGTTATTAGTCTCATCTCTACATTTAATATTTTACGAGCCTTATCATTCTAAGAGAATAACCAGTGCCTCTTTAAAGATTATTAACCGATTTAGCTACTTAAGTCTAGAGTTGATTCAGTTGGGATTTCTTCGACACTTTGTCGGATAACCGGTAAGTTATGGCAGTTGTGTTAGTTTTATGACTTCTGTAGACTTAATTATGTGTGTTACCCTCAAGAAACCCAATAACTTCAGTGAGGGAAGTACTTAGGCACTATTTCGAACATCAGTTGTTCAAATTGTGAATATCACTATTCTGTCTCACTTCGTAGGCAGTCTATAGCATGTTTCTAAAGAACAATGTTTTTCTGTTGCACACTAGTTCTGCAGTAACGTGTAAAACTTTAGACGCTCGCATATTTTCGTTGCATCATAAGTTAGGTGAATAAAGGTGAGGTGCTCTGGATTACGTTTTCTAAATAAGTATGTTGAAATACATGTTCATCGTTGCCTTCCAACAAAGCAGTCGATTTTTAAACCAACATGAATATTTCAAGTTTTTATCATGATGTTTTCCAACTTTTTTTTTCCACCCTTTCTTGTTGTACATGAAATTTACATTTTATATCTTGTGTTTCTGTTCCATGTTATCATATATGTGAATATCGTGGTCATGCATAATCTGTGTTCTTGTCGTTATTTACCCTTTCTGTTGTCTTTTTATTTTTGATATTTCCATCTTGCCGGTTATGTTTAAGATAATGATTAAAAAGTAATAACTAACTTTATGGTGACACTACCAGCTGAATCCAGGACGCGCATTTGTTCTACTTAGGAATCTTCAGCCTGAAATACCTGCATCTCGGTGACTGGTGATGTCCCCTATGAGACTCGATCTCAGTACCTAACACTCCCTGCCTGAAACTCATCAGCTGGATGTAACTACATCTCAGTGAGTGGTGGTGTTCCACTAAAGCTCGAATTCAATACCCTCCGCCTCGAACGCTATGATGTTACCCACTAGGCTAATGATGCGGCCTTAACGATATCCTTAACTGTGTTTTTACGGTTATGGTGGTAGTTATTCTCTGTCCAGCGCTTCTTTTTTCACTTCCAGCAGTATACGTAAAGCGTATATGACCATCCTATGGGATTAGATGGACGCAACTCGCAGTAATTTCTTGGAAAAAATTCAGTCGAGAATATTGCTGACCCCCTAATCGGGGAAACTATTCATTCTATCAAAACCTTGATGCATGGTATCGTCACAAACCACCATGATGATATTAGTATTTGGTTAGCGTCCAGTCAACCACCGGTAGAATAAAGTAATCTATTTTGATTTTATGATTTTAATTGTAAGAAGATATTTCAGCAAATGAGGTAGTTGTGAAGTTTGTAACCGCACAGTGGCCTTGTGAAACAAATGAAAGGTTTCCTGTGGATTGAATGGCTGACTGTTGGATACTCCGAAATTTCATTGTTAACCTTGGTTACGGTAAAACAGGCGTGAGGGATTACTGCACGTCCTCTGCAACATTGCGCATCTCTATCGCAAATAAACAGCATGCAATCCGAATACCTATCCCTTTATTGGGTAGTGATGCAAGACTTCATGAATCAGTGACGAAATTTGGAGATAATTTTTTCTCAAAATTGTCGTTCGCGTAGTGGAAATGTTGCTAAGGTGAGATAGAGCGTATGAAACAAAGGGCACCGTCTAAAGGTTGTCCAATTGAAATGGTTGGTTGATTTTTAAATCCGTTCAATTTAAAATCAGCCGTGTCTTGGTGGACAGCAGGACATGATGCACCTTGAACAAGGAGGTGGCCGAGTCCGCACGAACCGACACCACAGTGCTCCAGCCAGACGGACGGCCACACACCCGCTTCACGCTCGGGACTAGGCCGCACCTACCATCATTGCGGTTCGTTAGCCTGAGTCAAGTTTCTTTGACGTCCCGGTGATACGTACTATATGACTGATCTCTAGAAGTACGAGAAAATACAGAGCGAGAAGAAACACGCAGTCAAATGAGCTGGATTATCGTGTTGTTGCGAAGTTGAACTTAATAATAATATGGACATTCAAGAGGTTATCGTCACCAGTCATTTCCATGTAGTGTATATGTTGACTCGTATTAAGCCTCGATGGACCAGAAAGATAATTCATTTCTCACTGACCACGCTTTCTGTCCTGAGGGTAACTAAAACTCCTGCTGGAAATATGATTTTCTCATCGCACGAACATATTGTCATGCTGCCCCGAACTTATATTGGCATTGATTTAACTAGTTAATGGCCAGATTCTTACCGAAAGCGATACTGTGGACATGCAGGACACCCAAAAACCTTTGATGTTACCTGCTTTTGACACACCGTTGAATCTGCAGTGTGGTGCTCACCTCAGACGGAGGAAGATTGCCCCACAGTTTTAAAGTTCACATTCGGACGGAAAACGTGGATAAAAGTATTGCACGAAGAATATGATGTAAAAAGAAGTGTTGACGAAGATTGTAGAATTGACACAACTTTGTGGAGTACTGCACACATATGAAAGGCTTCCTGTAATCTATGAAGTCATTGAGCGGTATCAGACTGGCGAATGGAGATTGAGAGTGCAATTAGATACATGGGGGCGGGAATTACGAAATTAAATCGGGGAAACGTGTGGTTTTGTCGGAGTCTACTCTCCCTGATTCAAAAATGTGTCATTCTTTTGTAATTTCTAAATTTCTCATGACAATAGACTACGACGGTTTCAGGCGGCTGGCTACAATGAGGCAGCATGTCACTGGCTATCGGATTGCTTTATCAAGCTTTTGATGTTTATCATATCCTAATAGGAAATTAGAGCACATAGTGTTTCTTCGCATTGCAGTTTTAGGGAAGCAAACCCCGGTTCTCAGTTTATCGTCAATGATGGAGATAAGCCAGCTTCAGGTGTCAGCATGGGAATTTCTAACGAAGGATAGTCAAGTCAGAGAGCACTTCAATTTTCACGCATCACCCCCGCCTCCCCGTTATAAGTCTCGTTCATGCATTCGGTTTGGATTATTTTGAGGTGAGAGGAATATATCTTAGGGTTAAGTGATGGTCTTCATATAGGTTTTTGCTTAAATAACAGTACATCTACTTCCATCGTTATTCACATAAGGCAAATCTATCTCTGAGGCTTTTATTTGCAAAAGAGTAACATTTGACTGCTGATGTAACCATCTACCGTGAGTTTATGGTTATGACACCTACGTTATCAATTAAAAGTGAGTAACATCTAGCAGTGCTTCCAAAGAGATAACCAGCCCGGTTGGTATTTATCGAGCAATGTTGTTTCCTATTAATTTGATAAACAAACTTCATGATGTTTATTCTACTGAACTCATGCTTAAGACGATAGGAATGTGTCAAACTTACGGACTATCACTGGAGATCTTTTAAAGTGGTTAGTAGAGAAGTACGTATTAGTAACTAGGTTCAGTTAAGTCGTAAGTCCTTTGAAATCTGAGTTGATTTGGTGCTGGTTATCGTCATGTGTTGAGAGTGCTGAATAAGTGCTCTTATTATTCTCAAGACTCTTTGACCTCAAGTATAATATGTATGTATATAATTTCAACATGAGTGTCATCGAACAACATTCCTTACACCATAAAAAGATGTTGATCCAAGGCTGACACACCGATTACATATTTTCCATCACTTGACGACGGTAAAACATTCGTCCCTATGAGGATGGAAGTAGCTGAATTTTCAATCATTATTAAGTCCTGAATACAGGCAATCGTCTAAATGCATCCAAATGCAAATATTATTATATCTGACTACGGATATTAAAATAGGTCTCAATCTTTTGCATTGAAACTGTGATGGGCCTGTGGTGAAGGACTGCCAAATGCATATTTAGCCTCCAATTCCCTTAAAACCCCTTGTTTGAACACTTAACTTACCATTGGAATGCTTACGTTGTAACAAAGATTGGTTTCGGAACCTACACCAGGGTTGCGAACTATTAACCAATTTTGATTTTACTTTCTTTTATTTGTATTTTGTATATACGATTATCGCGTCAAGTAGGTGTTTGATCGGCCTGTTCAAAATACACGTAGGAGATAAACCAAAACTTTCAGATAAACTTCGTTTATTCAATGACGTTTTGTAGGTAAATCTAATAATTATAACTATCGTAGTTATGTTTACCAAAACGGTATGTATGCAACATTAAGTGTTTTTCAGTTGTGTGACTGCTAAACTTCGTATAACTTTTTCTAGGTACACCTCTGTTTTGTAATTATGAGCGTTGAATTTCCTCTTTACAAAGACTGATTGACCCATTTTCATGATGGTTTACCATTCTGATAGTTTTTATTCCACTTCTAAATAATGTTTCACGTTATTATGACAAGGTTTTGAATGTGCAGAAAATACGTTTGAGTGAATGGAGACAAACAGAGTTGATAAATATTCAGTCGAGTGAAAACTTTAATGACTTTAAGAAGGTAAGTTGTTTTGCATGCAGTTTAAAAAAATAAAATTCAAATGAATAATGAGGACATTCGTTGTTCTGTTGCTGAAAGCGTTTCACATTGTATACTGAAGTAAATTTTGAATATTGTTGGTAAATCCTCTGGGAGATTTAAACATAATCATCGGCAGTTATTAGGACTTTGGGTTTTATCTAGTCTCGTCATATACTTTTATTTTCCCACGAAGAAATCCCCTAAGTAAATGAAATGGTCCCAGTGCTATAGGACAGTCATTCTGTAAAAACAATGTTTTGCAAGCAGCATACTGCATTGGTTAATCTGAATGCAGATAACGTATTTATTAGCTAGGTTAAAATAAAGAGTTGTATTTTTGTTATAATGTCTTAAGATTTATGACTTGAGATACTCATACCTATACGTGGTTTTCAATTTCGGAATTTCGGTTAACTCACTAAAGTTGAAGAAATGGATCTGGCGTTCTACTCACTGTACTATCCATTAAGTAGACCAAAATGGGATGAATTTCTGGGTAGTATCGCGAAATCCACTGTTAGTCATTAGATAGACTATGTCACGACATTTCAGCGGAGTTCGATTTGCTGTTCCAGTAACCAGTTGGATGTGAAGAACGCTAGTACAAACAGTACTTATTTCAGTCGGACTAGAACCTGATACCTGGAGTGTTCTTCAGATCACAATCAAACTGTTTCGATATTATCACTGGTCGTTTATTGATGAAGAATTTGTTTTTTGTAATTCCTGCAGTAAATTAAAAATGAATCGTTTGATTTTATGAATATATAGATGATGTAAAATATATTAAAATTTGTTTAAACGACATTTCTTTTCTCATGATTAGCCGACAAAAGTCTTAGGAATGGAGTTGCGTGTAATCGGTTAAATCTGACAAATATTTGCATGGTGTTTTTGACTTAAAGTACAATGAACACAGGGTGTACGCCTTACAGGCATATCCTGTCCCTGTTAGCTAAAACTTATTCTGAAGTTAGTCAAACAGTTTTGTCTTTCCAACTACATTGAAGGTATTTCAGCTAAATTGCAAAACAACAAACAAAAGTAAAATGAAAGGAGTTAATGAAGGTGGTTAGAGGTGTATCAATACCACAATGAATCAAAACTCGAGCACAACATTAGATCTATCTATCGAAAACCATAGAAGTAAATGTTGCGAATGTTATAAGAAGGTAACTGTAGTAATGAAATACTCTATAGCTGCCATTACAAGTGTCAAGATAGGAGTCAAGATATAGAGGGAATTCAATCGCTTCCTGCTACCTGCTTAATGCTTGTTCCAAAGATGTCCTAACTCTGTATATCTTGTTCATATTTCCATTGTATATTATTTTCATGTTTAAGTGGAAAAACAGCATAAATTATGGTATACGAACGCAATAGTAGTTTTGGTATATAAAGTCTTGAAAATAACAGTTTATCATTGACATATTTCTGTCTATTCCAACCTAGTCATCGATCTAATGGTGCATGCTGAACTTGTAGTACCTCCCTGATCTTTCATTAAATCGGATTTTGAAGGTAACAAATTATTATGTTATTCAATATCATAGGGATCGAATTCGAATACAACTGGCAACCACCAGTCTCCTGTGAAAGTTTCCTGTCCCTCCTCCTTAGAAGTTGACAAACGTACTTTGGAAAAACAAAGGACAGGAAAACAACCAGTATCTCTACAAATCAAAAAGATATGTATTAACGAGCAAAGCTCTCCTACTATAAAGAAGACATCAACGGAATTAAATGTTTCCAAAGAGTAAGTGGTCATACATGCAGCATGTTTAGTTTTAACATGGTGAGAGCACGAAATTTCTTATTTGTTCTTATAGCTCACAGTCACTCACAAATAAACAGAGTGTACCTCTTATGAGTTAAGATCTTAGAAGCAAAACAGAGATCATAACTCCAGTTGAAAACATGCCATTTATTTCATGAAAATATACTGCCTACTAACAAGTAGTAAACGAAGATTATGCAAAAAAATTGGAGATCCTGGGAGTTTCGAGTTGGTCAACTGATCAGCTCGGTAAATACTGAAACCGGTTATTTATCACCAGTCAGTATAAGCAGAACGATGTTAGGTAATCAGAATTCTTGATAACCGTTATAATTACGGTAGGTTTCCTCCTCAATAGGTATCTTCTTTAGTACCAGTGCTTTAAGGTTAAAATTGTCCGTTATTTCAATCAGGACTAGTAATTCAAGGGTTATAATGGACATTCCATGCTTCAAAGGTAAATAGTTGGAACATGGTATACATCTGAAAGATCTAGAATGGGCCTTTCTAAAAGTTCAGTTGACTTGTATCAATCTGTGAGGAAACCAGTTGTCAGGTTTGTTATCTAACTGAATAGTTCTTTTGAAATCATGTTAATTTAGTTAGGTAGGATTGCCTGTTGACTAGAAGCCAGTCTGTGATTGTCATCATTATAAGATACTGAATATTTTGACATACATCCAACAAAAGTTGTAGAGAAATTAGTAAGTTACCAACCTGGATACCAACAGAATAAACTAAGTGTAGTCAATATTAAAGTGAGTAATCAGATGCAATTTAGATATTCATATATTTGTTTCCGAATACACTAACCCACAAACCTGTAACTGGATGAATCATTGTGGTGTTTTCATTTTATACTGATCCTGATAAATCTCGTTAGCTTGTATGTCGCGATTATTTATCTCTTATTAAGTAGAGAGTCTTGATCATTCACATGGATATAAGATAATAAAAATTTAACAAGTTTCTTTTATGTGTAAATCTACCATTTGTCTTTTATGAAGGTTCAAAGCTGCATAAGGACAAAGGAAATAACCATATGCTACCTTTGGCAGCCTACTTGTTGACCTGTGGATAATTTTGAAGAAGGCTGTTGACACTGAATAAGCAATGTTGATGAGGTTTCCAATTTCTGTACTTCTCATACACTCACTACTACCTCTTTGCAATCATGGAGCACAGGGTTCTTTGACCCTTTCAAACAGGATTCGTGTCAAGAGGTCACTAAGCTTAAACCCATACAAGTAGATAAACTAGTATGCTTGCACGGAGGTGATCGTAAACAAGAATTTTTTCTTCAGGTTGCTGTAAAATTGTAGATGACCAATGGACACTACTCGACGTTGCTGCGATGAATGTATTCTCCTTAAGTAGTTTGGAATCGTTCTCTTTAAAATGTCAGCACCTAGGTCATCTTTGAATTTATAGTCCACAAACAGCGTGTTTTTTTCACAAAAAAATGAGATTATCTTTTTGAAGTTTAGGTGTGATGTTCAGATCAATAAAATAAAGTGGAAATCCATTTTTCATCGGGAATTATCTTAGAAAGTTTATAATCACTTCTAAAACATAAGGACTACCAGTGCTTTAGCCACGAGTTTCTTTTGCTACTAATACAGGCGAAGATGTTTTAACTCATCAACCGACTGTCTTATATGAGTCTTCTGTAACACGAACCTCATCAAGCTTCCATCGGTCTTCTGTGTTAGTCTCTTATCAAGAAGGAAGATTTAAACCGTTTTTCATTTCGGGTGAATTTACCGCTAGTTAGTTACTGTAGAATTTACTAACATAGATAGTAAAAGCATTGTCTCTATTCGCTTTATACAACTTGAAATCATCAGTAGCTGATTTTATGAGGCCATTTTATTGACTTGCAATAAGCCAGTACCTTTAGTGGACGCAAGGGAGATCCCATGGCTATGCCATCCTTTAGTCCGTAAATCATATCCTTAAAAATGAATTACACATGCATCTGAACATAAGTTCTTTCAGGTGTTCAGTTGTTATTATACTATTCAGGCTATTATCCTTTATTCAATTCGTGTAAGAAATAAGAGCTTTCCGCTAATGAGGTATTGGTAGAGATCGATTTCACATGAAGAGATATCATCCATTTGTGCGCAACTCATACATATAGTTTAGTTGACAAATTCAAAGGTGTTGCAAAGTCGGTATATAGAAATATTTCTTCTTACAGACTGAATATATATTGTTAACCATGTTGCAATCAGATGTTAGGGAAATCTGTACGTGTTCAGAATTAAGTTAAGCATCAGGTCAGTTTTTCGTATTTTCAGGACCTATGTGAAGCTATTACAATATGAAATTTGGTATTTTGATTCATTCGTAAAATCTTTACCTATTACTTAACAATTTCTAAGTCTTTTCAATACTTCAATAAGCTATCAATTAATTAGTTTTGTTCTGAGTTTCCGTTGAGAAGTTTTGAAAAGTCACTGTTCTCCGTGAAGATTAACTTTTCTGAATGGTTATCTTGGACTGTTATAAAAAAAAGGGATTGAGAAAATAACCCATTGGTACCATCTCTAACTGAAGCACTGGATGACATAAGTTTGGTACTCTATGCTGAAGTTGTAGTTACACCCTACTGACCAGTGCTAGAAGCACAGGATATGTGTCTGAGGCTTCTTGCTGATAACCTCTAACCACCTGTTACCATTTGAAGTTCATCACAATGCTGAATATTCTGAATCAGTGATCATATTGTGAAATGATTGGTAGCGTTCAGTTGGCACACAGGATAACATAAAATTGCTTGATCTTTAGTGACTAACCAATATATAACTTGGATACTCCCTTATTTTATTCAATTTTTTATTGGCATAATTAATCAATGATCCAAAACAGGTTTTCACTTGTGACCTTTTCAAAATAACTTTTATGAACTGATTTAAATCGTCGTTTTAATATAGCGAAATAAACAATGCTTTCATTGTCAACATTCTTAGAATATCATCTATGCGCGCAATGCTAGCCTAAAGCTTAAAACATCTTAGATTTTTATGCATTTTAAAACGACAGTATATCAGAAATGCGTTATAAACTGACAGTTATGATTTGTATTTCATCAGTGAATTGTTTCTTGAGCCTATAATTTATTTAGTTAAATGTCAATGTCGACAGCAAAACTATTTTTTGTTGGAAACCAACTTAGTCTGAGGAGAACAACTGCTTTTATCAGCTGAATTTGGAAACTATACACTTTGAGACAATTTTTTGTCTCATTATGCATAGTGTTTCAAGTCTTGTGTTGATGTGTTGCATGTTATCGAGCTTAATAGTACTACGCGGTAATTTAAACTACTTAGGGAGATTTGATAGGGTTGTTCATTGAACATCCATAGTCAGTCTCTTTTTATTCATCCTGTGTGCCATCTACTGATCCTATTCCTTAGGTCTGTTTCATGATAATTCTAGGATATTTACAAGCTTGATCTGTATATCCTCCTAATACTGATTAATATCAAAGATTACAGCTTTTTCACCTTAAAGGGATTCACTTGATCACATCATTATTTTTCTCGTGTTTCCTTCATCTCATGTATGCAGTCCAAGAAGTTTTAGTGCTGGTGCTGTCGTTAACCGTTCAAACATTGGTTGTAATAACAACTATTCAACAAATTTATTTTATTATCCAGAAGAAGATGACAAATCAAGCCAATCAAAGAGTGTAATTCATACCAAATCAGAAAATGATGGGCAAAAACTAATCACAGAAACTAAATTTCAGTCTATTGGTTTAGGAAATTTGTATTTATTTAACAGTTTACCTCAGCCTGCTCCAAATCTTTTTACAACAACATATACGAAAGAGGTGGAAGCTGAAGCGGTTGGTATGGAGGATAGTGAAGACCCAGTATGTTCAGAAAGTTCCCATTTACGGCGTATTAGTATAGATCAGCATTCGTTAAGAGAATTAAGTGAGGCAGATTTAAAGTTTAAAGTGTTCATGGTAAGTTGCTATTTTAATCTTTTGTATTTCTGTGATCATCATGGTTGCTTTTTTTTATTATAATAATACCTAGTTTTCATTTTACGTGCTATCTCTTTGTCACTTATTGGGAGTTAGTCTACCATTTAACGTAAGTTTATAAGCAGGAAAATCTGTTTCATGTTTCCAGTAAAAAGATGATGCTGATTGTATACAAAACATGATGGCTGAAGCCAAATAAAAATTGAATCAGAAACTGGTACAATACCAGCTAGGGCTTGGCTGGGGAACCATCAACTTCATGAAGGTATCAAAATCTTCTAACCAATATTGATTTAAACGGGTTAAATTCTAGTATGTGTAACCATTTACCCCTGAAGGAAAGTTATTTTTCCCATTGACTACTACCAAAGTTGTAAACTTGTATATTTGGATAAAAAACAAATAGTCAGCTAAATATACTAATGAAGCTTAGTGATAACGAGGTCAAAATGGAGTGAGCGACAAAAGAGGAAAGTAAAGCAAAGTTCAAATGAGGTCAGCAAAAGTTGTCAGTTAACAATGATAGTATAGATTAGAAATTGAAATAACACTAACACCAAAAGGTATCATCAAAATAAAGGTTAAAAAAATATTTGTTAACATATGCTATCGAATACAAAGTTTAGTGTTCTAACGTTTATGCATAATTAGCATTTCAGATTTTCGTAAGAGCTGAAAATGTAAACTTTTCGTCAAGTTAAATTCGATCCTCTTACAACTCTCTATAGACTGGTTCTTCAGAAGTAGGTGGACTGACTGGCGCATGTAGGCGTTGATGTAAGAGGTCCTTTACAAAGCACAGGCTAGTAGATGGTTTCTAGACTTCTAAACTATCATATTTTTTGGATAGTGTAATTATCAAGGGAAGTTTATATGAACAGTGTGATTTATTTGTGTAATACATTTCGAACAATCTGATTACAGATTTATTTAAGTTATTATTATTATTTGTCCCTTGGGCTCCTAATGGAACATGGGGCTTCAGTAGCACGTCTCCAGTGACCTCTGTTCTCTGCAAACCTTTGAACGTGGCTCCACGACAGCCCAGAAGCTCTCATTTCTTCCTCACATGATCTCCTCCATGTCACCCTCGGACACCCAGCTCGTCACTTCCCATCTGAGTTCCACTAGAGGGCCTGGTCTGACGCGTGATGTCCTCGAACGGTCTTCTCAGTGTATGCCCAATCCATCTCCACTTCCTTCCAGTGCATATTTGTTGAGCGATAGGTTCTTGATTCGTTCGTTCTTAGAGTTCCTTGTTGCTTATTATTTCTGGCAATCCATCTGATCCTCAGTAACGAGCCAGCGTAGGCAGTTGTTGATGAATGTCTGCAGTTTGTTGGAAATCCCTTTCGTAACGTGCCAAGTCTCTGAGCCATACGGAAGCACTGACTTGACGTTGGTGTTGAAAATCCGGATGTTGTTCTTTATGTTGACTGCAGAAGATCTCCACACTGGTCTCAGGCTAATGAACGCCTGTCTTGCTGTCTTTCCGATCCTGGCTTTGACGTCCCCGTCTGTGCCGCCACCTGTAGTTGAAACGATGCTGCCAACCTGGGTAGGTGAAAGAGGCTACTTGCCTTAAGTTTCTCCCGTTGATGGTGATTGGAGTTTGTTGTTGTTGTTGTTGGTTGGGTATCTTCATCACCTCTGTCTTCTCTATATTCACTTGAAGTCCCCTCTTTGCTGCCCTGCCTCTTCTGCCAACTTGTTAGTTTTTGCCTGTAGATCTTCAAGTTTGTGTGATATTTGGCATAAGTCATCGGTGAAATCAAAATCTTCTAGGTTCTTTTCCGCGGTCCAGCATATCCCCCTCTTCTCGCTCATCACAGTTTGCTGCATGATCCAGTCCACTACAATCGGGAATATCATGGGTGATAGTAGGCAACCTTGTTTCACTCCTGTCTTCACTTCAAAAGCATCACTGAGCTGAGCTTCCCATTGTGAATTACTTAGCATGTGGTGTTCTCATATAGTTGTTGAATGAGGCTGATAAAGGTTTGTGGTATTTCGTAGTGTTGAAGCAACTGCCAAATTACTTGTCGGTCGACGCTATCAAAGGCCTTTTCAAAGTCAATGAAGTTGAGGTGTAAAGTTGACTGCCATTCTCTACTCTGTTCTATGATGATGCATAGTGCAGCGTTGCAATTTGGTCCGACATGATTTGTACTTTTTGAAGACAGTCAGCCTGTTCCGGTTGTAGTTTTGAATCCAGTGCATCCTTTAGTCTCTCCAGGATGATACGGCTTAATATTTTGCTTGCACTGGGTGGACAGGAGCGTGATTCCGCGCCAGTTCTTGCAAACACTTGTCAAGTTGGTTTATGTCAAACGGAAGAAAGAGAGCGAAAAAACTGAACAAGGGACTCATTGTTTCAAACATCATATCTTCTCGGAATTTAACATTTTGGTGGTTGAAACGCCTGATTTTATATTTGGACTAAGTTTTGTTTCTTTCAGGCTTTTATCACTAAGCCTTTACGGATATCCATCCAATGAGTATGATTTGAAATATCGTCTACGGCAGTGTCTCTCATTCAATTACTTCCTGTCTCACTTTCTCTTTTTTAAAGCTCTTACCACCTGCATTTTAACTGAACATTGTTGATCCATTTGACCGACTTATTATCAACAATGAATACAACAGTAAAAATTGATAATAAGATTACTGGTAAAAATTGGCTGTTCACTTAAAAAATAGTCTTTTTATTCTCGAATGAGTGATAAGATGCATTCTCTGTATCTTCTGGTAAGACAGCGGTGACCATCGAACTTCTCACTATATTATCAAGTTTCTACCAATATATATTGAGATTTATCACATATACAAAGCCTATTTTTGTATAGTGTATTCAGAACATTTTGTGTTAGACCATTAATCATTTTGTTGTTCTTTCGTCTTTCAAGAGTTCTATAACTTTTCAGTAACTTTGTCTTCTCAGCTTTCACTGACTAGATGGACATCTAATATCTAACGGCATCCGTTTTAAAAAGAGGCTGTTGACTTAGTCTGTGGAGCAGTTCATCTTACGAGATTTATCGATCAACCTTATGGATCCTCCTTATGTACTATTTAGCATAATTATAGTAAGGCCTAAGCAAACCTTTATTAGATATTCTCTAACAACTTCACTCTAGCTTATTAATTGTTCGATACAGATTGGTGGACTGGTACCTGGCACCTATAACGGCATGTATCTTAAGTTTTCGAGTGCTAGTTTCAATCATTCCTTACAGATTTAGCCACTCTAAGAGTAACTAAACGTACTTGTGAGGAATGCTTCCAAACGCACGGAACATAATTTTGCTAGATAACGTTTAACATAAGTATAAATTTTGGAAACTTCTGTAAAATGCAATTCCATATTAGATTAGTTCGTTCGATATAGTAAACTAGGACATCAAAATATTTACTAGAAGACATTATGAGCACAATTTATTGTTCATATTGATTTTAAGGCTATATGAATAAACTGCACTCATAACGTCTTCTGGTAAATAATACTACATCCCAGTGTGCTATATCGAAGGAACTAATCTAACATGGAATTGTATTCTACAGAGGTGTCTAAAATCTGTACTTACATTAATAGGAGGTACTTTTCTTGGGAGTATCAGTTTTTCTGCCAATTTTACACTCATAGATCATTTGTTTTTACAGCTGATGAGAGCTCATTCCTTTCTTTTTCTTTTCATACAGTAACAGATATCCAGTTAAAGATACCCCTTTTTTGCTTCAGTATTACTGTCAGCCAAGCATGCTCGAGTTTCAACAGAACAACTGTTTCGGTTAGCTGTTGTATCACTGTCAGCCTTCTTACCAATTATCCTGTAGTTTGTTTTTGTCTACCCAAGAGCCGTCACTATAGTCTCAACTTAACAGAATTCAACGAAGAGAAATAGCTTATTAAGGACTATTTATTGGTCTTTTTGAACTAGTTAACCCACTTAAGTTGAGTACAATGAGTGTTATAATTAAATGCTCTTTTTCTGCATACTTTCTTGTAGGCATCTGCTTCGCATCATGAAAAATGTAATTCAACTCTTCACAAGGACTATTATCTCCATGGGTCAAATGAAAATCCATTACATATAAATAATTCGAATGAATACCTTCTTAATGATAGAAATATCAAGGAAGTCAATGAACTTGATCCTCCTCCAATAGATTTAGCTGGGTATGAACGATCAGATGATCTATCAGCCAGTTTTGAAGCATCCCTTTTAGCCAGCTTAAAACAGGCTGCAATGGGCGGGAATTTAGAGTCTGATTTGTTATTCATGAAACAAGAGTTAACCAGACAGAAATCAGGTGAAACAGGAACAGCGTCAAGCGCAACAGATAATAAAGATTTTGGTCAGTTTTCTGGTATATCGAAATCAATTCCACTTTCATCACAAAGTACAAGCATTTATACATCTTTTGTATCTTATATATACACATAATTTGATAAGTAATCAATCTTCAACTTGAAGTTTTATGTAGATGATTAGGTTAAAGTCAATCTTAATGAATCGAAATCAAAATTAAAGACCACTCGAAACCGAATACCATAAAGCAACTATTTTCTCATAATCGATCATGCCTGACTGACTTACTCTGCATGAAATAATTTCATTTCTAGGCTGTTAGACTAGTCACTGATGTTTAGAACTTACCTCACGTTTTGCACTACACCATAATGCAGAATGCCTATCTAACAATCCTGTTTGAAAAAGACTATTCTGGTGGATTGACACTGATCTTTTATACAAAGCATTTCTAAGTTGTCAAAAAAATTATCATATTTAAATCGATGTTATGCTTGTAATGATTAGTTAGAATATACAGAGCAATTCTGTTCGGTGAAATGGGTAACTAAGGTTGAAGGGAACTCTCAATAGTGGTCGAGTACATACTAGAAGCCTATTAAATAGCTTTTCACAGCTATACCAAATAAATTTCAGAATCTGTTAACTTATTATCTCTCAGTTTAATGTTTTCACATTTATCATATGAATGCGAAATCGGTAATTGTTAAATTTTTATCAAACACCAAGATCAATTTGCTCCAATACAGTTAGGTTAGCTCACACTTTGTTTCATAATTTGACTGCCTGGTACATATTTAGTTAGTAGACTCTTGGAATAAAAACTAGAATAAAGTGGGATTTTACTCATTTAAATTAATTGGTCACTAGAAAGCAACCAATCACACGTCTAGTGCTGACCGAATCCTGTCGATCATTTTGCAATGTGGCCACAAAGCTGGAAGGCTTGGCATCACGATGCACTTTGATGAATGTTAGTTGGTTGCAGGAAATCAGCAAAGAGCCGTGGACCTAGGTTTCTTGCGTGTTGGCACTCGTCGTCAATGCATACTTGTCGACTCTAAAGAACTGATGTCCCCTGCAAGATTTGAACCCGAACCATCCAAGTCGCAGTCAGTGACGTCACCACTGAACTATTCAGGCTGCAACTGACCTTTTGTAGGACTGTATCAGACATATGGATAGATCACTGAAGAACAACCAATTTCATCTTGTCTAATTCTAAGTACTGACTGAATTCTGTCGATCATTTCTCAATGTGGCCATCAGGCTTCCTGCTGATCACCAACCAACTAACATTCAATGATTTGACTGGAGATAAATAATGCCTAGTTTGGGGTTCTCATCAATCAACTGGTCTAGGACTATATGGGTTATCTGGAAACTTTAGATATCAGTTCCGTTGTGAAGCAGTTGTTATTACGTTAACAACATTTTGACAAGTATCGATGACATACTATTTATAAAACGCTATCTATCTATATACAAATCATGTAAGAACTTTATTAAAATATAACCACATCAAATGCATATAATGAAATGATAATTTATTACTATTTAGAAAGCAGTATACATTTCTGGACACGTATTTTTTTTTCTTCCTGTCATGGGAATGTTTATTCTATGCTATTCTGTCCAAAAATTTGCTTTCTTTGATTCATTTAAGCAGAAAAGATCATGTGTGCAAGTAATCAAATCGACGAAAAAGAATTATTGATTCATTATTTTGTGTATTCATAAAGTTTGATTTCTTTTAGTATTGAAGGTAAGATAAAAATTTTAGTCTTTAGATAAGACGTTGACTGAAACCGGTGACTGATGAATACTTTTAAGAAGTATGACAAATGAGCTGCCGGTATCTGAGGTACACACTAAATTGCTTTACTCATATTAGGAAGATACTAAAACATTAAGAAGCTCTTGTTAAAAGATTTACTTTATGGTATTATGAGGCCATATTTATAAGCATCCTATTTATCCATTCATTCATAGTTGTTTTGAGTCATACTGTTGAGAAAGAAAAGATGTTCAACTAAAAAATTGATCACTTTTTTTGGTCTAAGTGAATTAGTTAGGTGTTTGTAGCGTATTATGGTGTAGTAGTCATATAGTCCGTGCATATAGAAATTTGAACCATAGATTATCCATACTCATCTTACGTTTTGATAAGTTGAAGTCTTTGCGAGAGAATTATTTACTTATCAATTGTTTGAGTTCACTTAAGGTATTTGACAGATTGATTATTTGGGACCTAATAAGTTGTAATAATTGATAGCTAAACTATACATCACTTTACAATAATTAACATTTTCTAAGCAGATTGATGTTATGTTGAATGAATGATTCTGCAATATTTAATCATACCATCAATGCACATGAAAAAAAGTTAAAACATTTCCAAATTTCATGCTTCATAGTGTTTATTAGCAGAACAAATTTTGTAAATTAATTGATAGCATGTAAACTTATCGAGTGGAAATGGCCAGCTGCCTTTAGAACCAAAGCTATGGCAACTTAGTTTCAGGACCAATCCATTCTTTGACTAACAGTGTACAGTCAACATTTCGAACTGAAACATGATTATTGGTTCACAATTGGTAACTGGCCCATCAATTGGGAGTAAGCAGTCACCTCAGGTGTTAGTTTCCGAATTAAGTGAATAGGAGAGGTTAAGATTACTAATGTGCGCTAACGGTGTCTCTGCTCATCATGTACTCATAATCAACAAACATATAAGAGTAGGTGACATTTCGTCGAGAAACGCTTGATTCACATGATAAATACTGAAATGGTCTCATCAAAAACACTTGTGAAGTCAAACGTGTTGGCTTTATTCAGTCAACTAAAAAGAAACTGTAGGCAGCATAACTGTTCAACTAACTTCTTAATGCACGTTTTGTAAAAACAAAATGAATTTAAGAACTGCAAGCTGCCAAATGGGAAAAAATAGATTCAATGGGATCAATTAGTGGTTTTTGAATTTCCCACTCTTGTGTTATTAGCGAAATAATTCAACGTTTTCATGATTGTGACTCCTGGATAAATGGAATAATTACAACAGAACATGAATGACTGTCAAGTCTTCTCTGTGTACTAAGAACATTATCTACCTTCTAGGCTGGAAATCGGGAAAAGTTAGTATTGTTTAAATTTTTGATTCAATAATCACGGTAAACTTAGTTCCCGTCAAAATTTTATATTTAATAAACGTCAAACTGTATTAACTCAACTTGGATGTAACTGCAAATAAGGAAACGAAAAAGAACACTGACGTTTCATATGAAGTCTTATAATTTAAAGTACATACTTTGCTTGCACTGATATCTTTATAAATACAATGTTCAACTACTGATAAGTAGCCATTATCATCTTGTTAAATCCTCAGTAGTGAGCGAACTACATCGACTAAGCGCGAAATATGGTCATTAAATTCATTGGAGGATAATGAAGAATTGGTAACGTCAGTGACTTTAATGTTACTGATTCATCCATGTTAGGCATGAGGACTATGCACCTATAAAGAGTCTGGAATTCGGATGAATCAGTTTTTTTGTAGTCTCTGATTTACACTAGCTATTCAGCCTACTCCTATGAGCAATTAGAATTACCTTCAAGTTATTGGGGTCACTAAAACTCGTAAATAAACTGGTAGTACCACTAAAATAGTCCTAAGCAATTAAATGAAGTGTAATGTGAATATATCATCAAATTGATAACCTGAAAGAACTCAAGGGTGTTTCAACCTAGTTTAGGAATCCTCAGCACTGCATACTCATGACGTTTTAGGAGGTTGGCCCCAGAACTGGCAAATCTCAGAGCTATCGCTTTACTGTCTGACCACTGGGTTGGAAGTTAGTGGTTTACTAATTCCTACTGCCATCATTTGGCGATATACTGCGACCGTCATCTAGTGTCAGGTTCCAATGATTCTCTAAATTTTGTGAATACATGTTGAAAAATACCTTCAATCCAGTAAATCCCTGCGAACCAATAATAGCACTGCTTAGTACTTCAGAACCAGCTGTTTAAACAAATAAGCTATAACTGTGAGTTATTTATGAGTGATATTTATACTTGGTAACCTACTCTGAATCGCCTTTCAGGTCCACCATACAACAAAATCAGGAAGCGTATATTAAATAGTACTGAAAGTGAACAGTGTGATATTTTAAATGCCATCAGAAGACAAATATTAAATGTCAGCTTTAGTGATCATGATGATTACGATGAAGGAGAAGATGCCACTACAAGCGATGGCTTAGGATCATTGATATACCTGCGTTATCACTTAGCACATCATCACGGCGTATGTCACCAACCTCCTCACTGGCGTCAGCAGCAGCAAGAACCCGATGAAAGGTTTGGTGGTCACTCGCCACTCTCTGTGAATCATCAAGTGTTACCAACATCAGAGACAAGTGCCTTTAGACAAGCTAACTACATTTGCAGTAATGGGAAAGATGGTACCATGTGCAATCCTTCCCCTACATCTTCAATGATTAATCAACGTATTCACAGCACTGAAGATATATCACAACTTATTACAGGCGTTGAACTGTCTAGTCATTGGGGTACTGGGACATCAAAGTAAGTTATGTAATTCCTATGTATACACACATTTGTATATCTCGCCTGCCAAGTCTTGTTTAGAATGCTTGCTCGATTGTCAGTCGTGTATAATTCATAGCATTCTCAATAACAATTTGTGGTGTTTTACGCCAGTCAGTGGCACTAACCAATCAGATAAATTGAAGTGGCCTAAATTTAGGATTGAAGACAACTTGACTGTAACTTGTCTTTCGTAGGATTTAAAGTATCCCGTTCTGAATTCAAATAGAGTCAGTGACGCTCATTACCTAGGAGGGTTGAATTCAGACAATACAACTGTTCAGTGCACTTTGGCTTCCAAAAGTTCTTTGTATATCTAACGAAGGGGAGAATTATGTTTTATAAATGTCCTACATGAGTTGCATCCACTGACCATCAAGAGGTAAGATTTTAGATGTAATGAGTATCAGATGAGAAGGAACCACGAGGAAATAATTAGTATAACAGATATTCTCTCGTCTAAACAATATGTGCATGTGAATCACTTATTTGATGAAGGCAGTCGACTGGAAGCCTTTGACTTAGGTTTTGTGTTTGTTGTTTTGATGTACGTATGCCAACAAGCACGAAACCTAGGTTCAGGTCTTCCTGTCGATCGTCTCCAATTAACCAACATTCATAAAGTCCATCGTGATGATTAACTTCCTAGCTTGGTGGTCACCTTGCAAAACACGGTCGATAGAATTCGGTCAGGACTGAACAACACGTGATTGGTTGCTCTCAATGTATGTGGATGATTGTTTCTATTTTGTCAGTGGGCTTTAGTTAGTGAGGATCTCATTGGTTATGCTGAGATCATAGGAAGGAAATTTTTCTTATACCCCATCAGTAAATCTGAATTCCATTCGTATACATAATGTACGAAGACAATGCCTGTGGTCTGACGTCAAATTCTATTGCTATATTTTCAAGATTATACTTAAAAAATAATTTTCTGCATTTTCTTAAATGATTTTGATTGTGAAAGATAATTGATAAAACCACCTGAAAAAACTAATGATATAATCATGAAAGTGGAACAAAAGATTATTTGGAGGATGGTTGGTTTATGTGAATAGAAAAGGTTAGGCGTAGATGACTCATCGTCAATTTATATTGGGTTAAATCTGTATGAGGCAGACTTGTAGCCTATACACTAGCAATATCGAGACTTGCTTTGATATTACCTTTTTCGTTATTATCGTCTTTACTCTCTTAATGATATATGTATATTTTATCAACTTGGGATAAGACGTTAAATGTTTATGTCTGTGAATAAATTGCATTTGTTAGGAATATTTTGTCTGTTAACTGTTCAGTTAAAAATAAGCGTGGTAACGTTTAATAATTTTGACTGCTATGAAGTTTGTAGTACCATTAGTACCTATGACGTTCTTCATATAATTGTAATTTTGTCGTAGGGAAATGTGAATTAGTGATTGTAGGATAGCTGGAAAGGAACGAGCATATACTTTTGTATCTATGATATGATTTTTGATTAATATACTGGTCAGATTACTTAAAAAAAATCTTCTAGGCAGATAAGAATCACAAATATCAACCTTACTTATATTCCTTGTAATTCATTTTGTATCGAAGCTCCGAAAACGAAATACCCTGATAAAGTTTCCGATTATAAACCGCCATTTCTTGACACAACAACTTTTGCCCTCAGAAATAATTTCTAAGCTGTACGCTGTAGCAAGAAGACACTTTAGATATGTAGTTGACACCAAAAAAACGTTATGTTGTTTGTATGTGTGGTAGTTCGTCATTAATTTAACGCACTAGACACTAAAGAAATTCTGAAATATTTTTGTTCAAATCTGAAATCTGTTACTGTTTATAAATACAATCTCTCCAGCTTGCCTACAGTCTCATTTTCCCCAGTGTGTGCATCACAACTTAACAACACAATAAGCAAATGCATCAGGATAGTTCAAAACTGCAGTGAATGCTTTGTTAAACTAACTGTTCAAACTAACGCTGAACTACATAAGTTGAACATTGAAGTAGCACTATGGGAGGCCATCTCTGGAAGTTATCAGGCGAAAAGTGATCGACCTATGTCTGCTGTCTTGATGTGGTGGACAGGCTTTAATATCACTGTGACCCAACGAGCCATACCGCTTGGATATTTGTTCACTGGGATCCTTTCACACCAGACAGTTCCGTTGGATAGTGGTAAAGCAAAATGCAGTTGCTGTTATAGTGTAAATAAGCTGTTACGCCGGGAATCTGAAGGGAGGTTCGTACTGCTTTCTGAATGAGATGGGGCAGCAGTAATGTGTTTCCTGTGAATAACCAGCAGTTATCATGCGGATGTTATCTTCTCTGTAGGATAAGGAGATTAGAAAAGTTCGGCACCAAAAACAGCATTCTGGTACCATCAGTGCAGGTTTTCTAGTTGTACTCAGCACAAAATATTTAAATCTCAGACTTCAGAAAATGCGATGTGACCAGCCTTAAGCAGATATCGTTTGGGCTCTCTAGTCACCTGTTACTAATTTCGGTTTGACGTATCTTAAGATTAGGTAACCTTTCATAGTGTGGACAGCAGGGGAGGGGGGGTATCAACCACTTTCAGACTTTGTCAGCACTCAAATTCCCTTAGATCATTGTCTACCTTTCATATCTTTGCCTTCTATTCGTTACTCATCTCTCTCAGGCAAGATTCCTACATCATATTTCATTTCTTCCACTTTTGTATCACGATAGCGACTCAAGTTCATGGAACAGCATCCGTTGTCTCCTGAAACCGTGCTCCTAACCACATATTGAGGCTTTCAATGTCCTCACTCGCTGTTATATCTGCTATCAGGATTCTCTAGCCAATACTCTGGGATCTTAGATCCTGGATGTGTGCTTTGTTTCTGAGAATCGCATATAGGATCCAATTGAGGTTATTCACTTAATCTCACTCGGTTAACATAATTAATCCGCGAAATTCACCCTTCGAGTTTCTGGAGATTCGATAGCTGGTTTTTATATTCTTGAAGACATAGATATGGTATTAGGTCCTAACGCAGAAAATGCACTGCCTGACTGGATCCTAGTTAATAGTAGCTTATGCACTGTTCGACTGAACGGTGCAGTCAGGACTCAAAAGAATAGTGAAACTCTGTTATTCTTGCTTGTACACCCACAAACTGAAGTTTGAATAAGTCTCACCGAAGACTGTCCTGTCTCCAGCTAAAAGTCATGCGTTCAGATGTGATTCTCGTAGTGGATGATCTCAGTGTACAGAAAGGCTAAGTTAAAGCGAACGACACTTGCGTGGTAGTTTCAAAATTCCAGTCAAACGAACAGGTAACGGTGATCACTTGCTATGAATGTGATCAGACAACTACGTATTACTGAACAGCTTGAATTTTGAACATCAGGAGAGATATCGTCTGACTTGGTGTACACTGATCTCATGTAGGGCATATTGCAGTCAGTTATTTCTGGAGAAAGTAGAAGATTACTACTCCTTCTAAGAAATTTCTTTAAACAGTGGTTACAAGTTGTTTCGAGAATGTCTGCGTCTAAGTGGATGCGGAAAAACTACAGCAAGAAGATCGTGCACCTTGGTGATGAGAATACTAAGGCTACCTTTCGCAAAAAACTAGACATGCAGTTATCGGACCATAACATCGGTCAACCTGAAGGGAATTGGCAGCTTCTCTAGTCTACTGTGAAAGACCGTAAAGGACTCTCAAGAAAAGGTTAAAAATATTCAGTAGACCTTAACAGTTTCCTTTAAATTAATGAATACACATAAACACGCTCGTACACGCTTTGAGCACGATGACGAGCAACAGCAACACAAATATAGGTTGACGAGGTCTACTTACTGACCATGAGTATCAGTAGATATCGGAGGCTAAAGAAAAAGACGGTCGCGATCGATAACAGTGGACAGTGATTTAAATTGATCGAGGAAACTGGGACAAAAAGTCATTACTAAGACTGCTGCGATTAAGGATGGACCTGCTTTTCTCTCAGAAAGGAGAAAAATAAAACGATAGGCGTAACACTTAGAGGAATAGTTCAACTAGTCTCCAGCTAGTCTTCTGTTTCCAGCTATCAAGTTGTATCCTGAATGGAACAAAGATAAACCGTCTAACTCCTACAGAAGTTGAGAAGGTTGTGGCAGTGTCTGTCACTGAAATGGAGTGTGGGTAAGTATGTCATTCTGTTGAAAGCTCTGTACTCAAACATCTGTGTGTTAGAGCCTATGGTGAATTGTTACTTCAAGTGGTGTCTATTAAAAATGTCCACTGGTTTTATTCTTGTTTAACTTTCTCATAGACGTACTTATGGAGATTTCACTGTCGTCGCCTGACTTAATGGAGATTGATATTGTCATGGAAAACTCCGTAGTGAACGCAGAATGCACCGATGCCGTAGTCTTGTTAGAAGATGACTCTGACAGGATGCAGAGTCTTCTGGATATCTTTAGTGGCGATATGAGAATCTTAGGATTCGTTTTTCATCGCCTTAATGCAAACCGCTGCTCTTGACACTGACTGATTGCCAGTGCATTGATCAGGTCACGCGTGCATTTTACGACTGAATGACCTCATCCAGTTACTGAAAAGTTTTAAGTATCTAATTCTCCTGTCTAAACTTCTTAACTCATTCTGTTTCAGTACTCCCTATTAAAAACAAGTGTCTATCTGATGAACGCCGCCACGTACTGAGAACTTTTTCGAATGAAGCTCCCCATATGATTTTGTCTCAAAGCCACCTCTTGGGGGATCTAGGAAACTCATCTAAAGTCAAGTATCTTTATTTCGAAAAAACCTTTTCGCTAATGCGCTTCCACAGTGCAGAAACAAATTCATTTCATCACAAGAAGCTGTATGCATACAGATTTTATGGTGACCTTGATAGACCTTCTGTGTGTTACTACATTTGTGTGGTCCATCTTTTCGCCTTTAAATGCTTAATAATGAATGCCTATTTTCTGACCTATTCGTTTCAGTGTAAACGACGAAACCTTTAAGTAGTTTAAGATGTTTCTTGTAGCATTTTTATCAGGCTAACAGTCTTATACAGAGTAATTTATTATTGATAAGATAAAAGGTGAGTATTCGAGGTAATGGGATCAAACTTAAGAAACTAGAGTTTACTGGGCGAAAAAGTGTACCACCTTCAAAGTTGTCTCATAGTTTCACGATAGGAATAATTTGGTGTTAACTAATAGTTACTTTTAATGATCTGACAAAACTTTCAACATGGCTAACTTTTTCTGAGTAGCCAGTGGTCGATATCCGTTGAATACATTTTGTTAGGTAATATGTATAGAGATAATTTATCTCCTTTTTGTAATACTACTTCTGTTTTCTTCCAGTGAACATCTTTCATTTTCCTTTTTTTTAGTTCATCGAATGAGAGTTTATCCTATGCAACATCTGGTTTTCCATATGAACCAAATCAATTTAAACAGCAAACGAATCTACAAGAAACACCATGCAATACGAAAGAACAACAACTTATTCACTCTACTACAACACCAGATATCAATTCAAGCGGTCAACTTATTGAGTTAATATATGATCCGGTGCTAAACTGTTATTATGATCCTAAACTAGGCCGTTTTTATGAGTTGATATGACTTATAGTTTAAACGGTAGACTGAGTTGATAGTATAATTATCATAGACAATCCTGTAGTTATTAGTTTATTACTTTTTCCACTTTATTAACATGAATATTATTATGCTATTTTGTAAATTATGTTTTCTTTTCACTATCCTCTTTCACCTTTTTATGAAATTCTGTTTCTAAAGTGTACAGGATCATTTCCCTACTCTTTATTATCAAGCAAGAAATGCCTTGTGATTCATTTAGAACTTTATTTTTAACTTGGTTTCTTTTCCTCACTGCTGTATTGTGAGTTAGAAACTTTTTCATGATCTCATTATTAGGAAGATCATGTTTATAGTCTTGAATTGATGTAGCGTAGTCCTAATTTGATCAGTTAGTTTGTAGCTTTTTTGATATTGTTGGATTTTGTACATATCTAGAGTTCATGCTAAGATCAACGGAAACAAGTGTAAAACAAACAAATCTAATCTGTTGTGTTGAAATAATAATTACTAGAGAAGTGTTTATAAGGTTATTATTTATTGATACTTGTAATTTCCCGTTATTATTCTGCATCAACTTTTGTTGGTATATCGGTCGCTATGTAGATGCCTTGATATTTTATGAGTCATAAATTTATTGACTGTTCCTTACTAGTTGACAACCTTTCAGAAATATGTGACCGCTACCTTTTTGGGATTAAATCTATTATGACCCTGTATCTAAAGTAGCTCAATCTTTATAGTAGTTGTGTTTATATATCTAAGAAAACCAACTAAATTTTCTGCAGACATGTGATAGTGTAACTGAGTCATCCGGCACGAATTTACGTATTAGGATAAGAATCAAATCTGTGTGATCAGGTATAAAAGAATTTTCAGAGTGCATAGCATTCTCATAACAAAAGGATAAGCACTATTGATTCACATTTTCTATGCAATAACTCTTGCTTAAGAAGTAGTCTTTTGATAAGAGTTTCGTACTTTCCGAGCTTCAATATTTTGTCGTGAACGTCTCATCACCAGACTTGGCGACATCCTCAGCACTAGCTTTATAAAGAGGTCTTCTTTAAGAAGTCAGGACTGAGGATGTCGCCAAGCCTGGTAGTGGAACGTTCGAGACAAAATATAAAAGTTACAAATGCTTTCCATCGTTTCAAGTAGTCTTATCTTTCACGAATCATAGACTTACCTCAACGTTTTACAGTTATTCTTTGTGTTCAAATCCAACATATGCCGCTAAAAACATACTTCAAGGTTAGCATCCAGTTCATATGTACATGATGTTACAACTTATTAACATTATCAACGACTTACTAATGGGATGAGAATAGTGTACACTGATAAATATCGTGTGACACTCCCATCATTACAATACCACGTCTTTTGTCAGTTCTTTGGATTTCCTTATCCAATATCTGTAATAAATTCTAGTGATTTACATTGTAGACATCTTTATTTGTGTAATTTGTACAGTGATGAGAATCTAAAGCTTCTATGCCTTCTGGGTTAAGATCAATGTAGTAAACTGAGATAAATAATTGCTACTATGCGAAGAATGAAATGCATTGCGATTTTGACTTCCTAACTCATTAACTAGCCATAAAATAATTGAGGTATATCCACATAGCAAGTGAATCTTTTAGCGGTTAAAATCTCAACCATTGTACCATTAATCATGCGTACTGACTAGGTAAGTCCTAAACTGACTTTCGACAATTGTACAAAAAACCAGTGTCAGGATATTTAAATAACTGAGACCTTCTTTTCAGTTAAGATAATACGTATGTTCACGACACTGACAGTAGATGCACAGGTTGCTTTACTGCACTGTATTACATAAAATAATATGCAGCTTAGGTCACAGTTACAGGAGGAAATAACCTTATTTACTGTTCAGTATCACATGTTACTTTAGTCACCAGCATGCATGTATATGTAGCTAAATAAACATACAGAATACTTCAAGATCTATTAAGGCAAAGTCTTCACACCACATTCCTAAATGACATCATTGATGTTGATGACAAGCACTCCGACTACGAAACACATCAGTGAGATGTATTTTGTGTTGTTTGAATCATGTAGAAAACTTACCAGGGGCATACCCTGATATACATTAAAACTGTAGTTATTAGAAGGTTCAAGTCACTGTTATCAAAATGAAGTTCTTCTTCATTCCACGTCAACAAACAAACAAGATAAGAATTAGTCTATAGCTCATTAATAAGCTGATAAATATGGATATGTACATGTGCGCTTGTTGTTTAATCAAACTTTTTAGGATTATTCAAATCCGATTTGTGATAACCATTCTCATTAAGGAGTATATTAGTAATTAATAAGCCTATATATAATTTTAGTAATTGACATCAGCATACATTTTGACGCCATTACCTTTCCTCTAATGACTTTCAGTTTTATTACGTCTCTAAACGATTTTGTTCACTTAATTTTGTTTCCACTTTTTCCATATAAGTGTCTGTTACAAGTACAGGTGTGATTCGACTACTCGAAATGTATTTTTTCACACATACCATCTACAGAATTGAATACTGTCAAAGGTGTTACATGAACAAAATGAGTTACTAATAAGCTGGTCATGCAATCAATACTATGTGGTGCACCAAGTGCATAGGAAGAAGTCAGCTGCAATATTCACTATAAAAGATATTATATTTTGTTCCCATTGTCTGTTTCTTCAAATTAGACTGAGTCAAATACCATTACCTAAAGCAGGCTATTGTGTATGATAACTGGATTTAATTTGTTTATTATCATATATCCTTTTAATCAAATAACACAAAATGCTCTGATATTTGGTGCAAGAATACACTTGTTGAGATAATTCTAGCTGCTTAACGTGTCTGAAACGCACATTCGTGCAGTAGACAATGAGCCACACCGATTGCATGAGAACTAATCATTCTGCTGCCTGGCTGTCTAAACCTCGGTAGGTGGAACGAGGCTTGAACCTATGACCCACTGGTTGAAAGTCATCTCCTTAAATCAATGAACCACAGCTCTACAGAAAAGAAAATTTAACAAAAAATTAAGAGTGTACTGACAGAAAATTCCATATATCTCTTTAACTTTCAGGGAAAAGATACAACTTGATTTCCATACCATTGTAGATAAGAAAGAAAGCCAGAATTACATGCATAGCAAATATTACACATTGCAGACAATGGAAACGGTAAAATCCCTAAATGAATACTTTGCACAAGGATTAGAAAGAGAAGTGAAAAAAACAACGGAGAATTCAATATTTGTTGATAGATTGAATATTCTTATCTTGTAGAACATTCAACTGGTTATATTTAGACGAAGTATTAGAAGAATTAGTTGTTTATGCTGCTGAACCATAAAATGTAAGCTATTTAAACATTAATATGAAAATAACACAGTTCTCACTGACAAGTGACTATACTAGTATATTTGTACAAAATATTTAATTTCTAAATAAGTACCATCGCTCATATCAAGAATACAATCAGCTGAACACAGACAAAGAAAAAACACCAACGTACTGAAGGAGTGGATGTGATACTGACGATGATGACAGTCAATGGAAGATGTAAAAACACACACATAGACAAAGTTTTAAACAGGAAGTAAACTTTCAAGATTCTCATATACAGAAACAATGATAATGCAGATAGAATGTGTGCGATAAAACGCTGATCAATAGGCAATATCGAACAAAAATCAACTGGTAAATACATTAATATAGGCGTCAATGTATATAACACTAAGGCATAGAATTGGTGCTTACAATCAATTTATTAAATATCATCGCAAATATGCAGAGCAATATAAAAAATATAATATGGAAAAACCGGAGGATTGTAAACAACAATAATAATATTAATGCCAGAATGGAAGTTACTAAACTTCGAATGTGTCTGTGCCTAAACGTACACGTCTATAACATCCCACTCTCCTCTACAATACGGAGGTAGAAAAATTAACAAGTTCATTGTAAAATGAAAGCGAAACAAGTCACAATCAACATATCCATCTCATCAATTAATCTTACCTTAATAAAAAGGTATAAACGTATTGAGAAAGAAAAAAAAAACTAAAAAATAAACATAAATCATATAAAATGAGTATACATGTGTGTTACGAAAAACATGCATTAGACTCTTATACTTCTAAATCCACTGAAAATCAGTAATATATGTGTCATAACAAAAAGTAATCATTGCAGTATGAACCAATGATTTTTGTTAATCTTCTTCAAAAATATTCTGTTCACAAATAAAAATGAGAATTTCACTTCCAATCTGACTTCTTCAAAGATGAATACATATGAGAAAGCTTCAAGTTGATGCAGCATAGATCAAGAGAAATGAATATTTAACTTGTTTATATAAACTTAATTTTGATTATTTGTTGAATGGACATGTGATCTGTATTGATCTTGATGAATATGTTTCAGTTGAGCGTGTAAATTTTCCAATTCCCGTTGTTTAGCAGCAATACTTGATTTAGTCTCGATCACCTTTAGAAATTGATATTTAAAAAAAGGTTAAACAATGTAAGAACAGTTTCTGTTTTTTGTTACATACCATTATTATAATGTATTTGTTCAGTGGTGTCTAGCAGTGTAATTCAGGATGCTCATTTTGTCCTATTTAGCTCTCATCAGCTAAGTGATGGTGTTTTCACGAGGACTGGAAGTCAGCACCCATCACTTCGAAGGTCATAATGCTTTTCACTCGATTACTAAGTCACAAGAGCCGCCTCTTGTGTAATGAGCAGCTGTTTAGGTCATTGAAATAATCAACAACATTTACAATTTCTATTGCTGTTAAGTTTCTTGGTTTTGCTGACTTTAAACAGCTAACCTTACAACAGGTGACATAAATCTATCTAGAAAACAATTTTTAAAACTTACTTGTCTCATCGATGAAACAACTCGACCACCAAAATTATCGAATGATGTTCCTGATGCTTCAGATTGTTCTTTGTCTCCTCCTGCTGTTGTCACTACTGATGTCGGTCTACTTTTAGACACCACCATCTGTACAATACGTACTAAACGATCAGCGGCATGTTTAACAGACCCACCAGCAGTACGTAAACCTGAACAGCTGTGTGAATTGGGATCAGCTTTAGCTATACAAGCAATAATCAGTTGGGCAGTATAACCAGCTGTTGTTTGTGCAGCAGATATTAGACTTTCCGGTTTTAAAGACATTTCATCAGATTCTATATGTTGCGAATTACTACCAACATGCATTGTAACAAATGCTTGAGCTGATTCAACTAAGTGATTCGCACCAACAGCTACATATCTTGCCTAAATAAAACAGAAGAACAGGTTATATAAAACCTTCAAAAAGTAAGATTTGGCAGTTTGAATTTATAACGAAATAAATGTAAAAAGTTTTAATTAGGAGTTTACGTCTGCCAGATCTAAAAAGCACCTAAATGAGTGATTTTGGTCAACCTATAAAATCTCCCCTGTAGAGGCCAGTTTTAAATAATAGCAGTTACTTTATGACTCCAATCTAATAAATTTAAAACACATTAGATAAATCAGTGATGCATATGGATTGTAGAATTTAAAATGCATGAAGAGATTACGAGGCGAATTCTGTTATCGGTAATTATGGGAATGCAGAACCTTGAGTAGGTCTGTTTATCAAACTTCCAATAAAAATTTGAGCAAGTGGTCTATTATGTAAACCACCCGTTTTAATCTAAGCGTTCAAGCTGCAATACAAATTGCAAACAAGTTATGAAACAGCATTTACAATGAAAACGTCGAAACGTTTATTAAATCTTCTTGCGATAAATCAAATTCATAAGATAACGAATATTTTACTCATTCATTTTATCGTCGCTTTACCGTTGAGTCTTTTAAAGCTTATTTTTGTTTGCATCCTTGTTTCGCGCAGCTATTTGTTACTAATTGAAATGCTAGTCTGTATACACTGTCTTGAGTTAACAAATAGTTGTTTCAGAAAACCTGAATTTCAGTAAGATATTTGTCTCAACTATTCTAAAAGCACGCGTACATTTTAAGCTGACTACCTTCAACACTAAGATATCAATGCAGACAGAACAAAAAACATACCTGGCTATGACTCCGGAAAACCTCGTTATTGATGTACGCTACATGTCAGAGACTCATATACAAGGTCCCATTCAAGTGCTTCAAATAACTTCCCTATCTGTAAGCTCAAAAGTGTATTCACAATGCGCTTATGCAAGGACAACATAATATCAGTAGCCCCTCATTACCGCTGTCACACTGAGTGAAAGAGTTGAAGCAGTAGTCGACTGGATTCCCATCAACAGTTATCTATGTGCTATTACACTGAAGGGTTCAATTAGAGTTAAAAGTAATTGGTAAAGGACACAATGTCTTGTCATCTTTGTTAATGTTCAGACCACATCTCCGATATAGTCAAGGATGAGTCCTACCATCAACTGAATGACCAGCTCTACTAAGTAAGCTCAACAGATATGGCAGTACTACCTGGAGACCAAAATGGGTGTCTAGGCTCAGAAGAGAATCTTTCAGGCATCCCATGGGTATTTGTCGGTCTCAGGGTGAACCGTCTTCCACATTTGTATGTAGCCCATAGTCCCTTCCTAGATGGCACCAGCTTTCAGTATAGCTTTTGTGTTATCTGGCGTCTTCACACCATCATTCAAGCCTGGACTCTGATAGATCATATTGCAGTCAGCCATCAATGGTATATGTATTCAGGATGATAGTTTCTTATGGAGCACCTGTTTGGACAATTACCAGATATTAGTGTTAGCCTAGTTCGTCTCGCGCTTTGGTGATTATTAAAATCGTCGTCCTGAACAGGTTGGTATAAGCAAATTGGTTGTTTAGTACTGTAGGTAAATACCGAACGAAGCTAGACTCAAAAGTGCTATCAAAACTCGAAAAAGAACAAATGAGCATTGTTTGCGCCCACCAGAAGTTATATGAGTGGTTAAGCTGCCTGTAGCTTCGAAGGACGTCTAGCTACTAAACACAGAATATTTACAAGTTCACTGAAACTTCTTGATGTTTGCCAATCTATTCCGAAAGACGGCAAGTGTAATGACATGTGTAAGTCATTTACACGACAGATCTAGCAGGATTTACATACGAAACTCCAAGCCTAATGGCCACAACACTGACGTAAGACGGAAGCACCAGCTGCATCCAGCAATAATCAAAAGCTGTTCCGGTTCATTAGAAGGATGGTGTCAGTAAGACGGTAATGAAGTAGATGGTACAACAACCGTCAACTTTCGTGGAAGGCTGAAACGCTGGGTTGGGGATTTTAGAAAACTATTTTACAAGCACACCTTTCCAGCAATATCGACTTTATCGCCTTGAACTCCGCAAATAGTAACTAACGTAAGGAGGTGGTAGTCTAGAAGGAAATTCAGGCACTAAAGGGGTATAAGCCGACTGGTCCAAACAAATTACCCACAGTTCTTTTAGAGATAATGTTGAGATGACATCAGGGAACCGATTAGATTTTTTTAAAGCATGAGGAGCTGAGTGTTCCATCACTTTGGAATGAAGTTATTAACCTTCTGGTCTCTTAAAAGGGCCTATATAACATATGCTACAATCACTAAGATCAACCTGCAACCAAATAATGACTGCTATCATACCTCGACTGGTTTACTAACTATTCCTTCAGGTCATGGATGCATTGACTACTTTTTCACCTTCCGTCAGCAGCTCAAACACCATTACACATAGTGCAAGCCAATGATTGCTCTATTTATGGATATTAGGGTTGTCTTCGATCTGTTGGATAGGGTTATGCCCTGAAATTGTCTGTTTCACTGGAAAATTTGTTAATATCCTAAACGGCCGATACAAAAAAATCTCAGAGCATGCAACCACCTGTTTGAATTGTTCTAAATGGGCTGATGATTTTCTTCTCGATGTTGCTACCGATACAATTCTCGAGACAGCTATAAGGGAGGAGCGTAATTGTGGTCCAAAGTTGCTAGAGGACAGAAGACTTTTCATCATTGGAAGATGCATATGATATCTTTTTAAAGCGCGACAAAATACAGGCTACTCAGATAGCCTTCATCAGTTAGTAGTTAGTGTCCATAGTTATGGCATAGGCTTTCAACCATCAAAATGTGAAATGCATCTAGAAGATCAGTAGAGGCATAATATCTACGCTTTACGGTGGACCATTTGAGGATAACAAAAAGTCTGTGCATATGGGAAGTTGTGTGAATGCTGATAGCTATGACTGCCAAGAATTTTCATCCTACTTCCGAGACCGGAGCAGCACACTACTCTGGACCACTTTTGATGGCATCAAGACGCTGGTCTTGCTGCAAAAAGTCGGGTTTACTCCATGCCAATGCAGGCAGTACTACTCCTAGTCAGTAAAACCTGATCTCTTCGAGATGAGGATATCTCATAATTCTTTGTTATCGATGACTGTTATCTTCACAGGATCCTCGCATGCGAATGAAAAACCATGTAAACAATTTTGAAGTGGGACAGTATATGATAGGACGTGATAGGGATCATCATTCATTGAATGTGGTCATACTGAAACACAGACAAAGCTTAAATTGAAACCAGTCATCATTATGCTTCATCTTTCTTATTTATTCTGTTATTGAAGTGAAGCTCTTGAAAGTTTATTGGGATGTATCCTTGAAACTGTTTACTTGATAACTTATTTCTATTGTTGCTTCCGCTCCATTTTCTTTTTTTCTTTCTTTGTCGCCATATCATTTTAATGCTTCACGAATATTATTTTAAGACGTTGCATGGTGTATTTCGTGGTGCGTATTTTGTGTCAGTCGTGTGTTTCATATAAAAATCAAACAAAATAGTAAAGATTTAAAATCCTTTCACACAGTGTGTACTGGTTGGTAAAATCGGATTCATTATTCCTTCCATCATAAGTTACATTGTCGTCAAACTATTGCTTTTTACAACAATGAGTATTAAATTCACTTTTTAAAGGAACCAAAAGTATAAGTGAATATTTACAAAAACTTTGAAACTGAAAAGAATAGGATGATGATATTTACTATTCACTAAAAAACAGTTGGATAGAAAAAAGATAATATCAAGGTAAATATCAAAAAGAATAAACAATCTGAAGATAAAAGTTAGTGTAAATATTCAAGCTTTAGAAGATGTTCAGAAGTGAACAGATCTGCGCCACTGCGGCCGATTTTCAGCCATGTCACCAAGACTCATCAACCACTGGTTCCTTTTATCTCGAAGACCCCAGCTAGGTACTCTTCACCTACCTAGACGGCTCAGATCAACGGTCAGCGACTTCAATTGGCGTCACATTGTGGTCTCGTCACCCTGAACCCTCTCTCTTACAACTTAATCCAACTTCCCCGGCATTGCACGCGAGGTGAGTAGTGGTTCGGCATGCGCAGCACACGTCCAATCCACCCCAGTCGATGAAGGCTCACAACTTCATTGACTAACTTGCCCACCTTTTACGGTGCGAGTCAACGCCACAGATGACACAAGTTCCAAATATCAAACGGGTAGTGGACGCAGTCTACCATTTCATTCCCTATCCTTAAACTACAAGTGGTTGCAGACCAGTCCTGGAATATCATATTACATTTGGCTAGTCCCAGCGAAAAGCATGCCAGTCATACTCAGATTTCTGCTCAATATGTTGTGAAGACCCTGCATTTCGTAAGCGTCTACACCTAGCAGGACAATATCGTCTGCGTACTCCAAGTTAACTAGATAACCTCCAAAGAGTAGACCAATCCCTGAAGTCAGATGTTATGTCCATTAGCACATTTACAACGGAATTAATAAGAACAGTGAAAGAGGGCATCCCCGGCAGACATAACTAGTTACTGTCAATCCAGATGACAAGTACTCACAAGACCTTACATGGCTGTATGAGATCGAGAAGCGTTATATACTCGTGAATCTTATGTAAGGGTTTTTCACTTGTTTGCTTGATAATGAACTCAGATTGTTACTAAAGTACTATTTTAGTCGAATTACTTAGAACACTATGATATTCAGAGGATCCAAAGTATTTTGCTCGGCAAATCGGTTTGCATGACAGTCAATTCATCCTACTCAAGAATGAAAAAGACAAACATTAAATCAAATAACAAATCAAATATGATTAAAAGTCAGTTAAGGAAGAAATGTCATAACTTTTAAGAATATATAATCGGCTACTTACCGCTGATATTAAACCTTGTGCCCATTGCGATTCTGATTCCATTTCACCTGTTTGTGTTAAGTCGACTGGTTTCAATCGACCTTGTTGAACGAGTTCACGTTGAGCAGCAGCAGCCCAGTACATAAGACTTAGAGTTGCATGAACCACATCTCGACAGGCTATAATAACTGCATCCATACCATCTGTGAACTCTGTGTCGATTTCTCCATCACTTCCAGCATAACTATCAATACTAGGGACAAGAGTATTTGTCGAAACCGAAGTACTTGAAAACTTGGATACTTGAGTAACCTAAAGGTGATATAAAAAGTGGTATTTACACGTTAACTGTCTAAAGAAGCGATTGTAAGCTAGAAAGTATTTCGACATCTTCAGTGGACACAAACTCTAAACATTTGTTTAAGTACTGCAAATAACATATTTAACTTATTCATGAATACAATTGAAGGGAAGCAATAAGAAAGTCTCCTAATGCAGTCCTTATCCAAAACTCAGGGACTAAGGATGTAGAAAGGTATGACGAAATCACGTTTTGAGCATTACCACCGAAGGCGATAGCCATAGATTGTAACAACCATCATAACGAATTAAGTTGGTGAGCAATGTATACACACACACACACAAAAGGACAAAATCACATTGATACAAATACCTTTACTTCAATAGAAGTATTATACGAATACTAACTTTATGAAGTCAGTGCTGATGATGTCATCAAGGCTGGTGATGAAACGTTACTGTAACTAACAACAATGACCAACATTTTAAAATTTAAAGCGTTTAAGATGTAAACCAAGTTCCCTTCAGGTATTGGAAGCTTTATTAGTGGCACATATTTGTAGACGGAACTTCGAAAGATTTAATGTTATTTTAACAGTAAAAGATAGTGGATAGTTAAACCTTAAGGTAAGATTTTAACATAGTGTAACTAAAATTAAATACGACTCCACCAGTTACAGTTCTAAAGACTCCTCAATTCGATCCTGGAAATAACTAATCTGTAAATGTTAATGACGAATGATTGTACATCAGGATGAAACAAAAAAGCTGTTCACTGTCTTGGAAGGTTCATTCGCCAGTGATTTACAGATTGCAAAGTCCACTTTGACATTAAATAGAAATGGCACATGATGTAAAATCCAGTTGACACTGGCAACAGGACAGTATGAAATTGGTTGTCCTGTCTAAAGGAATAATCTGTATAATTGATACATAAATGGTGGCTCTTGTGCCCCAGTTGACTAGTGCAGAACACTTTGGCACTCGAAGCGATGCGTACTGGGTTCAAGTCTCAGTAAGAACAACATTACTTACTGGGGTACAGCTACATTCAGCTGACGAGCCCCAAATAGGACGAAATGTGAGTCCTGGGTTGTACTGCAGGCCATCACACAGATTACAATGTAACTGGTACACTTCTATAAAGTGGTCGGGGCTAATATAGATGGAATAGCCTAGCATTTACATTTCTCATTGCAGAACTGTATGACATGAGTTCAAGTCCGTGATAGGTAATAACATGCACCAAACCTAGGTAAGGTCCCTCTTACCAACTGCTTTCAACCATCAAAATGCACAATCCACTGCTCCTGAGGGAGGGATATCTGCAGCATATCTTACTGTATCTAGCAAACTCACATTATAGGTATAAAGGACAAAACTGTAAATATTAGCTGGAATTAACACAATCACAATAGAATTTGCATAAAAAAACTATTTGCAAGGCGAAAAGAGACTAGGTCAAAAGTATTCTAAAATAACAATAAATTATTTCGACGGAAAGCATATTTCTAAAAACCTTTCGTACCGAATCTCTTGACTGGTCCATTTGTGAATCATCAAGTTTCCGTGAGTTTAATGAATTCTGAAAAAAAGTGGAATATAGTGAACTGTTTAAATGGTTGTTATTATAATACAGCTTGTCATTTAGCTATAGCCAGTGAAATGCATAATAATATGCATATAATTTAGAAAACCTTAAAATACAACACATTTCTTGAAAAACTGCTGATCATGGCGATCAATATGATTGTAATGTACTCTCAACTTGATTGTCCCTTTATTAACCATTTCGATTCCACCAGATCAATAATGACTATCCAAAGACTATGAACGTAATCCTGTAACTGCATACATCTAGCCTTGATTACTACGGAGTGTCAGGTTAGATGATAATTTTTGACCTCCTTTATATAACGAAGGCTTACCAGCAGTTGTATCAGCAAAACAGGTGATTCTAAATGAATTTTACATTTTAAAAAGCATGTTAACCATAATGCGGAGTGCATAAAAAGAAATAGCAAGTTTTCAATGGTTCTCCGACTGATAGTTCATGATGAATGTCAACTTGAAATCAATAAATCCAACAAAATTCCCGATTGAATAACATAAGAACCTGGAACAATAATTTGTCGATATTCGTCTAGAAATCTAACAAGAAACGAACAGTGAAATATCAACAGAGAATAGTAACTACTCAACAATGTCTGTCCAAGGATTTCATTCCATTCCATAACGCATGTTGTTTTGAAAAAAAATGAAAAAGCTTTTCCTATTCATTATCCTATGGCTTTTTTAATTACACCTCCAAGAAATAATTCAACTTCATTAGACTGAAATAACCCCGATACCCAAACATACCACTTTCATGGTTAGACCAGGCACCAAAGACCAATTTTTAAGTGAACTTTTGCCTTTGACAGATCCATCTTAAATATTGCTATGAGTTTTCTTAGCAATTTAGGATTGTCAAATGAATAAACATTTTCCATCACAAGTACGGATTTGAGTAAAAATCAAAGGAACACCACTAAACAACGGTTTAAGATTATACCTTCCTATACGCTTTGACAAAGTGAAAGGTTTCTAATTTCAAAGTCTTCGATAATGTAATAAACTTCCCGGATATCCTTTACATACGATTGGGTGTCATAATACCTCCTAACTGAAGATGTTAGATACCGTATTCAGGACGGTGATTACGGTAACTGTAAAATAATATCAGTGATCACACCTATGGTCAGTGGTTTAGTACAGAGTGAAAGTGATAAAAATACTATCGATTAATCGTGAAAATAACTAAATGTCTTCAGATTCAGTCGAGCTAATTCATCTGTCCTCATAGAGGACAATGATCGGAAAAAAATTACGTTTAAGGAACGGAAAAACCTTTATCTCCGAAAATTTCTAACGTCAGTCCATTGATTACGATAATCATTTTCACTCTGTTATATATATATATATATATATATATATATATATATATATATATATATATATATATATATATATCACATATATACATAGTAGCCGAAAGATGAAAATGGTCAAATAATATCAAAAAATTCATAAAACAGCAATTTAACTACATCCTTTGCAGAGAAGAGAATACACATACACCATGATTTCATAGTACAAAGATACCTGCTAAACAAAAGTAAAACCAGCAAAACTGCAGGAAAGTTTTCCTATCACTGAATTAGAATTCTTGTTACTACTTATTGAAAATTTTCAAAGGTTACTATTGGATTATAGCATACCACCCATCCCTTTCATCTCACTGAAGCAGAACAGTATGTGTGTGGTACGTAAATGGCATGCTGTGAGATTAACAGTGCATGTTCAGAAACTAGAAAAACCTAGTCTATTAAGTACAGACAATTTTGCAAGAATGACACGCAAAATAACCTGCTTACACTTAGGCTATTTTTATAACTACGAAATAAATATCAAGTAATATCAGTAGTAATGGTGGTGCTTCATTTCTATTCACGTTTTGACCTTTGTAGCGATGCGTCCAATGTCGCATTATTTCTTAATCCGCTAAATTGCTAGAAAATCCTTCTGTTTCTAAAAATTATTGGCTAGATATTCTGGTGATGGTAAATAACCTGAATTTAGCTTGTTGTTCGGGTATGTTGAAAAAGTGTTCAAACTATTTGTTCAGTAACAGTCACATAATCCTAAACACGATAAGATAGAAATGAACTAGATTATTACATCTTCAGGTGATGATCTATACAGCAATAACTAACCTTAATTAAAGGTAATTCAAGAAAAACAAGAATGCTTCAATCATAAAAGCAATCATACATTTCAATCTGTTAAGGCATTTACTACGCCAGAGAGTTCAGCTGCACACCATCACCTGGATATATATAATCAAGTAGCATATTAATGTTAGTCAAGGTGTAATTAATCATGAACAGATGGTCATTTGTGGTGGCAGGTTTTATACTGCAAATAAATTGGTTAACTAAAAAAATCAAGTACTAAGGAATGAAAATGTAAGCCAACTAATGCATACAATAGTAGTGATTAAGTTACTCAGAAACTACAGTTAGTTATCCAATTAACTTGAAGCATATCAATGGCAGACGAAAAGCATTTCCAACAAACTACAGATATTCATCAACAACTGCATACGCTGGCCCGTTACTGAAGCTTAGATGGATTGCCAGAAATAATAAGCAACAAGGAACTCTGGCTGGCAACGAACCAACCAAGAACCTATCGCTCTACAAATATGCAGAAGGAAGTGGAGATGGATTGGGTAAACACTGAGAAGACCACCCAGAGACATCATGCGCCAGGCCCTCGAGTGGAACGCAAAGGGGAAACGATGAGTTGGGCGTCCGAGGGTGATATGGAGGAAATCGTGTGAGGAAGAAATGAGAGCTTGTGGGAAGTCATAGAGCCAGGTTTAAAAAATTGCAGAGAAGAGAGTGGAATGGAGAAGTGCTACTGAAGCCCTATGTTCCACTAGGAACCCAAGAGACAAATAATAATATCGATGGCAGAGTCATGTACGTGTACAATGCCACATAAACTCAGATCTTTTGAATATCTAGAGAAAAAAAGAGAATGTTGACACTTGCTTCTTAACCATAAAACCTATGATGATGACGCAAGACTAGGTTGCAGCGTGACCTAGTTAAAGATACGAAGTGCTTATATTAAGAAGTTCAATGAGAATTAACAGGCAGATTTTTGACAGAATCTCGGTATATGTGCTTAAGATCCATTTAATGGCTAGGAAAAGATGTCATTGTCGGTACCTGCGAAATATATGAATGAGTGTCAAAAAGAAAGTATACTAAGCATTAATCCACTTTCATTCTATGACTTACACGTATGAATGTTGAAAGAGACAAACACTAGGTTGCAAACGTTGTATGTGTTCTCAAACGGTTACTCATTATTTGGCGGAACCAATGGGTGAATAACGTAGAAGGTAGGCTGAGGCATAGAACTAAATTCAATGAGATTATCATTCTGCTCTGATTAGGTAGTGGGTCACGAACAGCAAAGCTGGATTGAGTAGAACTAAATTTAAAAAAGTTGGGCGTCATGAATTTTACCCTTGTCACGAGTCATGAATTCACTGTAAAAAATGCAGAAGCCAGGTGTAGAATCTCAGGTGAAGACGGTAAATCAGTTAATGAGGGTGTAAGCTCCCGTCGATTGAGATAATTGTAGCATGGGTTAGGCATGAGAAGTAGCGGTAAAACTCAGAACGCTACGTTTAGTGAATAAGGATGAAACTGGGGAAAATGGTGAGGGTTGCCAGACTAGAACGTAGTTTCAGTCTATGAATTCTCTGGCTGCTGGTATGAACTACACAAGAAAACAGATATATTTTGGGAACTACGCAGTGACCGAAGTCGATGGTTGTAGACTAAATAATGCGTCGAGGATTTATCTATACCTAATCTTCATTTTAAGTGATAAAAGACATTTTGTCATACAGCATAACACCTATCTTTGTGTCTGATACCTTTTAGTGGGATTAGATCATATGATTCGAATTTCTTTGTCTAGTATATTGAGGTAGTGACATATGCAGCAATATAGATCGTTACACAATAATGTGACAACAGGACTAAGACAATTCAGGTCATAACATTAATTTGATCTATGAAATCATTAACTGCCAGTCAGAAGCATATCTGCTCTTCGTTTCGGGTCCTTGAGATGTTAGAAGTCAATGGCTCACACTCTTATAACAAACTATAGTGGAGTATAAGTACCAGCACTTTTTCTTTAAGTTACCTTTAATTCTATTCAGTCACCCAATACTACATAATGTCGGGTTTTATACAGTTGTGTCTGTTTATCTTCCTATATTAGCTATAGACAGACAGACAAAAAATCGACAGAGAACCTCACACACAAGTGTATCGGCTCCGGTTACCACACTTCACAGTAGCATACAGAGAACAAGCGGATAAAAAAATAGTGATATCAAATTAAACAAAGTTGTGTGAGAAAATAAACAATCTGAAGGTAACGAACGGTTAGTGGAAGTATTCAAGCTTCAGAAGGCATTAAGGAGTGTATACATCTGTACCATTGTGACCGATGTTCAGTCATATCACCAAGAGTTTTCAGTGACTGATTTCTGTCGTCTTGAGGACCACAGCCAAGTAGTCGACACTTCCCCACACAACTCATACCAGCAGTAAGAGACTTCATGGACTGGTGTCACATTTTAGTGTGGGCACTCTGTACTCTCTTCCAACCATCTCAGTCGACCAAGGTTCACAACGTCGACGACTGACTCGAATACCTCGCATACTACCCTTCGTCTGATCCTGACACTGCTCACACGGCGATTCCACTAAACACGAGCAGTACTACGAAGACACTTGCGGTCAAAACCCTGTAACAGCTTTTTGTCTTCTACTTTTCGACGGCCATGTCTCACAGCCACATAAGAGGACAGAACGGACTACAGTACAGTATAGTCATTCTTTCACAGATGACACAAGTTGGCAAATATCAAACGGACCTTCTGTATCCAAGCTGAGATTTCGTTATAATAACAATGCAAAAATAATAAAAGTTCGGTTATCCCTGCAGTCTCAGATGAAAGGATGGTTCTGACTAGTACAATTATCAGATACAACATAGATACGGAACATCATGTAGACAGTTCTAGTGCCTTTAAATGACTAAACATCCAGAAAAATGCCTGAACTGCTTCGCTTTGATGTAGAGACTACTATGAAACGTTGTTGGCCAGACTTATGTATACAAAGAGTGTCATCAGTCACTCACCACTATACTTACTGTGTTTGAATCTCGTTTCATTTTCACTTTACTTTAACTACTTATTGGTTTCAATCTTATGGATGACATTACCTGCCATATTACATCATCTCGATATAATTTTGTTTCTTTATCTTTCTACATTCTTTTCCTTTTTAGACATTCTTTGAATATTTTACTTTGTAACACATAAATTAGCAGTGATTTTAATCGATAATTTATGATTTTTACTTCATCTTTATTTTCGACTCTGTAATTAGAAGTAGCTTATTTGCTACCACTCAATTTTTGATAGTTAACGTATGTTATTACGCATCTTAACCCAACAACTATTTCCATTACGAGCTTTAGCTAGTTTACGGATATTTATGAAATTAAAACGCATCATTTTACTCTGTAAAATTGGTCTTCCTTGCTTTTTTATGGCTCGGGTTTCTGAATTATCAAGATTCAACGATAGGTGTAGTATGTATGGAATGTCCACAGAAAGTTAATGCAAAACTTCGAAATAATAAAAATAATAATGATAGTATTCTAAGGTATTACCAAACAATTTAAGATAATACCTTGAAGGAATGCTTTGAGTGCAGTAAACCGATGCGTTCAACACTTCGTTCAATTTCTCCAGCGAAATCCTGTAGAGCATTCTGCACACCAGATGTTGACGATAGTGATGATGATGTTATTGAGTGATCCATATCTACAGCTGTTGCATTTGCTTCAGCAATACTTTTTTCAATATCAATTGAACTACCATATACTGATCTTCTATTAGAAGAGCCTTCAAAAAAACTTGTTACTTTATTATCAATTACAATTGGAAATGGTTTGGGAGAGACAGTTGGCTTGAAGTCTGGGAGAATAAAAAGAGAAGAAACTAGTAATTGTTATATATGTATACGAATATACGGCTTGAAACTGGGAGTCGACAAAGTGACTGTGAGGTAAACCTTAAATTTGTCAAGCGAAGAATTGGTATGAACCTTTGAAGTCAGTGATTGCATGATTAAGTAGAAAGTGGTATAAAAAATGACTGATAAGTGATAAGGTTATTCTAACCCTTGAAAGCTTGTAATTCCAGTTCTATTTATAACAATAGCCTCTGTTTAAACTGGTTTTATTTAGCGTCTAAGAAAGTGTATTTTGAGGTTAATAAGGATTTATGTTAAAGGTAGCATTCATCATAGACTGACATTAATTGAGTAACCGTTGAAAACCTGGGAGCATTGGACGGCCGTTTCGTCCTAGTATGGGACCACTAAACTTTGACCAGTGGCTGAATACTTAACGCGTTCATCGGGAAACCTGAAGCTTCTGAGTTCGATCCCTAGCCGGGTCGTGGGTGCGTACTGCTGAGGAGTCTAGGAAAGGTTTAGACATAGTTATGTTACTATAACTAGAGGGAATCTTTGTAATTGACTCACTACAAAAGAAAAACCCGAACACAACAGAACAATGCGTCAATTCAAGTTACATTTGGAAACGAAACACAGAAAGGAGTTAACACTTAACGACACAAAAATAGTAGATTAATTAAAAAGAGTGAAGTTAGCTTTAGCTACTCAGGATGGTGAGTATATTCACTTCAGTGACAAGTACTTCAAGTGTTGAGCCACTTATTTTTGATGTCCTGGAAGGTCTTAGTTAATTGACTTACACTTCCTACTAGGCCTTGCACTGGAATTCAGTAAATGCACAGGTGTATATTATGTTTTCGTCAACACCGGTAGTTGCATATGCATTCATTCTCATTGCACACAGACAAAAGATGTATTCATAAACCTTCTAAAATTTAATTTTCCACGATTACATACTAATGGTGATTAAGTAGGTATTTTCTCAATAAAATTTATAAATACTTTTTAGAAATATAAGTCTGTTGCATCAGATTCATGTATTGATATCTCTGAATACAATTTAATAATGCAATTTTCATAATTTGTTCACCACTTACCAACAATATCATCTTGTTTAGCACCCGGCAGTGACATAGAACAGTCGACAATCTCAAAAACAGTTTCTCGCAAACGTCTCATAGCCAGAGTAACTTGTACGCTGTCTGGACTTCCAGGACCTGAGTCAAGAGCCTATGAACAAGAGTTTGAAAGATGAAAGTAATAAAAGTGGAAGCATAAAAATATTGAAGATTTGCTCAGGCAAATTATGAGCGACTGTAATAGTATGAAAACATGACTTTTTCCTAGATTGAGACTAGTAACCAGTAGTAGACAGACAGACAGATAAAACCAACGTAAAACCCCGCACACAAGTGCATCGGTTCAAGTTGCCACATTTCACAGAAACATACAAAGAACAGGTGGATAAAAAAGACAAAGTTGTACGAGAGAATTAACGATTTACAGATAATTGTTGGTGCAAGTATTCAAGCTAAAAATGTCAAAGAGTGGATACATTTGCACTATTGTGATCGATTTTCGACCATGTCACCAAATGTCCTCAACCACTGATTCTTATCGTCTCGGAGACCTCGACGAAACAGTCCACACCTCCTCACATGACTCAGACGAACAGTCAGGGACTTCATGGACTGGTGTCACGTTTTGGTGTGGCCACCCTGAATCCTCATTCAACCTAGTGCATCTTCCTTTAGTATTTCACATCTGGGTAGGCGATAGATCAGTATAACCCTTAAAGTCTGCAGTAAACTTCTTGAGACATTAAGTTACGTTTCAGTGGATGATACTGTCAACTTAAATAAATTAGAAACAACATCTTTGGTTTTAAGCAAGGAGTTATTGTCCAGGAAAACTAGCATAAAGGTGGATGTTAGGACCTTTAACAGGACCTCTAAGAATGTTCTTCACAATGAAGGTTGATGACATGCTGATTGATAGAGGATTTCGGTAGGGATGTGTGCTACTTTTATAACTGTATAGCCATATAACGGGGGATTCAATAGTGAGCTGATCTGTAGGATCAACTAAGTTAGGAATAAGGCAAATAATCAGCGGTGATGATGTTAACCCTATATTGCAAATTCTTAGAGGAAGTAGATAGTGAACAATTTGATTCCAATCCACTGGTCGAATGGGAACGTGCTCACCGCAAGACCTGACAGTATTAGACTCTTTCCCTCATAAAACTGACCATAAATGTTTTTGAGGAGTTTAAGATAAATACGAAACAGCTACTCAGAGTGGACCAACTGACATCGGTCCACGACGGAAACTACTTTCATAAGCTGTAGCGATCACACTGAACTTTCAAATATAATCTTGGTTAGCGGAGGCTGAATAATAAATATCTAATGTGATAAACTCACTTTATTCATATGTTCTACCAACTGCTTAAGTTCCGACATGGTTCCAGCTCCTCCATTAATCGCTCGTTGACATATCTTCTCTAAATTAGGATAATAAATCGATTCACTGTAATCATCTGATGCACTTTCACTACCTGACTCACCATTAGATAGTGAATTTTGATGATTCAGATCATTAATTTCTTTTCCATATCCCGATTTCGCTCCTGATGATAATGAAGTTTTAAGAACAGAGTGCAGACAACGTGCCAGTTCTTCAGCTGCACGACGTATCATATCTCCAGCCATGCTAATTTCAGATGATTTACCTGAACCTGTAGCATTATTGGCATTGGTTGCAGCTTGTGTAATACCTCTAGCAGCACAGACTAAATAGGATGGATTGATTGTCTGACGCAGAGCGGTTTGTCTTTCAAACTCCAAATCATCATCGAAATCTGAAAGTATACGCATATACATACACTTAAAAGCATGTAGAAATAAAAGAACCAACCGGTTATAAAAGAAATTAAATGCTTATGCTTCCTAATAGGGGATAAAGATGAAAGCGTCTATTACATAGCAATTATTCCAATGAATACTGTCATTGGAAGTTTCAACAAATAACAGCGACACAATATGTTTGAGTAGTCACAGATAACTGGTTCATTTAACAACCTTCATGAAGGATAACCACACGATCCAACAGCCTATAGCAGAACGAGATATAAACCTCTGACTCAATGACTGAGTGTGCGTAAAATGTTCTATTCGAGTTTAAACTGTACATAACTGACAGTATTTGCTAACTGTAGTCCTGTAGTCAAATTACGACCATGTGATTATTAATGGGGAAGCCATTGGTTCAAATACTATCACAACTCAGAATTACGTTCAAATGCAGTTACTGTCTTCCTCTTAAGAACTATTTTGTGTACTAAACTAGTGACTAGTTGCCACTTCATTTGTGTATGAAAGTCCTCAGGTTCCCTGTTTAAAAAGAGGTTTTCCATGAAGGTTTTAAATGACAGACCAGCATCAAGATATGCTAAGAATCCTCCGGTTTGATAAAATATACTCGATGAAGAATATCCACCTACCTGGTGCATTTAGTATCCCATCTTTAACAGTCCATTTATTTAGTCGTTCACTCAGAGTTCCCAGTACTGAAATTGTTGATTCCAAGCCGGCATGAACATTTGTTTTTGTAGCGTCAGTTTTATCCGAAATGATAGTTTTCTGTACAGGAACCTTAAGACTGACTTTTTTCAATGGGACTGCAGGTGGGACAGGAGAAGGCACAGGATTATCACTGACAGATTGTGATTTAATACTGGTAAATAATTCGCTAACAGAACGCAGAGCACGTGATAGATTAGCGATCATCTCAATCACTTGAATAGCAGTATCATTTAAAGCTTTCTGTTTAGTTTTCATAATTGTTCCTAAAGTACCGTCTGTTTGATCATTCCAAAATTCAATAGCATAACAAGCTGCAGAAACTGCTTTCCCATGATTAAGTAGTCGAACTAAACCTGCTATAACATCACGAGTGGATGTTAAAAGTTGAACTTGACCTTCAACAGACAAGTCTGGAGTAGACGATAAGAGTCCAGCTGCACAAGAAGCTGCATTTTTAGCTGCCTCAGTTAATTCAGTAGCTCGAATTAAACAATTCTGTGCAGATATAGCTAAGGCATCCTGATCAGTTGATGTCGTTTTGATCTGAAATGAAACGATAATAATAAACGATCAAACTAATTAATTAGCTAATTGATTAATGATAGAAAATCTGTGGATTTAAAAAGATGGAAATATGACCGTCAGGAAAAAGGATACACCAAACCGCTTTTAATTTATAATTTTGACCTACCTTATTTCACGCTTCAATAATTGCCAGTGACTGATTCAGCTATAGGCGGTTGGAATCTTAAGAAGGAGGTTTGACTCCTTAGGTTGTCTTTCAGTTTTAGCATAGAAAAGCAATACACACCACAACTGAAAACTAGTTAGCATTATCCCCTTTAAACTAATTTCAGCTTAAAGGGTCACTTCCTTGATACGGAGACCAGTGGGGTTACTTTGGAGTAAACTGCTCAATATAAAAGCAAGAACTGATTGAGGATCATTAATAAATTGTAAATCAAGGAAGATCACTTATATCAATTTATTACTTCCCAATTTTCAAATATCAACGGAAAAATGTCATTTGAAAGTCTGTAGCGATCTTCAATGTTCTAACTTGAAATAAACTGTAGTTCAATTCCGTTTTAGTCTGTTTATTAGAAATGTCACACAGTGAAACATTATCATTTACTGGATGACGTTTCGAACATAATTTATTGCCCATATTCATATCAGGTAACTCCACAAATTTGAGAGATGGTTTGTCTAGTTCTAACCCTCTCCCATTCTTTGTGATGAGGATAGTAGAATTTTCAATATTTCTGCGACAGGTGCAGAATCATTCGTATGGCATGTACCTGATTTGATAAACAAAGATTCGGTTGTTATTCTCTCTCTTCACTCAACTACGTTAGTCTTTCTTTTTATCTCACTCTACTGTGTAATTGTGTCCTTATCTTGTTACGATCTACTTGTGCTGATTTAGCTAAGTTTCTGTGATGTGTTATTCTAACTGACCCTAGTCGATTTACTTTGACCTCGTAATCGTTGTAAAGGAATAGATAAAGAATATTACTTTCCCTGGGATACGCTGGACCGCGGAAAAGAACCTAGAAGATCTGGATTTCACCGATGACTTGTGTCTAGTGCCACACAAACTTGAAGATCTATAGTCAAAATCCAATAAGTTGACAGAAGAGGCAACGAAGACGGGTCTTCAAGTGAATGTAGAGAAGACAGAGTTGATGAAGATACCGCACCAACAACTCCAACAACAACAAACCCCAGTCACCATCAACGGGAGAAACTTAAAGGAAGTAACCTGCTTCAACTATCTAGGAAGCACTATTTCAACTACAGGCGCCACAGGCACAGACGAGGATGTCAAAGTTAGAATCAGAAAAGTAAGACAGGCGTTTATTAGCCTGAAACCAGTGTGGAGATTTTCTGCACTGCACTCAGCATGTGGAACAAGATCCGGATTTTCAACACCAACGTCAAGTCAGTGCTTCTGTATGGTTCAGAGACTTGGCGCGTTACGAAAGGGATTCCCAACAAACTACAGACATTCATCAACAACTGCCTACGCTCGATACTCAAGACCAGATGGCCAGAAAGAATAAGCAACAAAGAACTCTGGGAACGAACGAACCAATAACTTATTGCTCAACAAATATGCAGGAGGAAGTGGAGTTGGATTGAGCATACACTGATAAGGCCGACTGGAGACATCATGAATCAGGCCCTCGAGTGGAACCCCGATGGGAAGCGACGAGTTGGGTGTCCGAGGGTGACATGGAGGAGATCGTGCGAGGAAAAAATGAGAGCTTGTGGGAAGTCATGGAGCCAGGTCCAAAAGATTTCAGAGAACAGGGCGCATCGGAGACGTGCTACTGAAGCCCCATGTTCCATTAGGAGCCCAAGGGACAAATAATAATAATTACTTTTCCTAGTTGGATTTTGTAACCCAGAAAGCTTGTTTCTAAGCTAGTCTGTCGCTCTAAATACCGCTTTAATTCCAGTCTTATTGAGAATACTTCATAACACTTCACAGATGCTTTCTTCGTACGGTAACATAGTAGATATAGGCTTTTGACTCTCCCGCGATAAAACTAGAATTAGAGTGGTAGTCAAACCGACAAACTAGCTTAAGACTAAAATCAACCGCAGTGTCCTAGTTTTATTCCTGTAGTTCTTTCATCCAACCAAAGTATCCTAACATTCTTGTGGTATTATTAAGTTACTATAAATAAGAAATTCAGTCACCTGTTGATTTCTCAATTTGGTGTAATTGCATAAATACTCATCAGATATAAAGCCAAGTATCACATTCTAATGTGGTAACGGGAAAGTAAATATCGATTTAGAGACAAACTGATTAGCACTGATACTTAATCTGAAGAATGTGAAAAAATTTCAGTGTGACACCATAGTTTATTATTTAAAAGTCTAAACAGTCAACGTCATGCATTATTCGAGAAACACAAGAAATAACGTTGAATACAATGTAGAAAATGAGTATTTATATCCGTAATTATATAGACGTATTGTGGGCAGTGCTAAAGTGCTATAATCCAATGATATGAATAAACAAAAAACTCTGTTTCAAATTGAAAAAAAAGAAATATTGTACTTATACAAAGTAAAAAAATGTACTGAAGGCCTTATTCTTAACAAGAGTCTTTAAGTATTTGAATGAATTTTCAGCTGTAGGCAGTTGGTGCACATATGAATTTTGTCTGAAAATAAATAAAACTCGGTAAGTATATAAACTTTTGTGTACTGGTATACGAACAATCGAAGTTGTGAACGGGTTAATAACACCATCCGGCTAAAACAAAGTAGAAGGAACAGGATGAAGTGGTTTCAACTTCTGATTCTAGATTTAAGCTTCAAATGCTATCACTATTGAACTTCATTTGACAGACTTGTATATTGTTCAGTAACGCTTAGAGAATGTCAAAACAACTGAGTTTTAGCTAGCCAGCATATACTACTATAAAACGAAAGCGTATAAATATCATATGGATTATAGCAGGTATTACTCATCCTATTCACAAACGACGCATAGATGATAACCAGAATACTAACATTCACAGAAATATTCTGAAATGAGTTGGCGTATGCATAAACGTCTTACAGAAAATAAGATCGAAATTGTGCATATCTGAATTACATTCAAATGTAAGGTAGATCACCTATATTTATTGGTCCCCTGGCTCCAAACGAGACATTAAAGACCTTGGTCAGAAATTAAAAATTTTCTACCGACAGTTGCTATTGAACAATTTTAAATTATGGGGCCTAATGTTGACAGTCTATAGACAAGAACCACTGAACTTGCGTTTCGTGTGTATTGGTACTTACCAGTATAACAATGCTCTGAAGTCATAGAGTTTACTAATAAGCTACTTATATAACGACCCCCTACTCTACATGACTGGATTATATTCATTAATTATGATTTCAAAAACACAAAGGTGTTTAGCCGTAGAACTGGTACAAATCTAACACCATTTGTGTGTACAGGCATCGACAATACAGGAAGAAACACATAAAACACATATACGGATGGAGAAAAAACACCTCTTAATGATTAAATACATTCATAGAACCGATAAATAGCAAAATAAATATGTAAAGGTAAATCATTTACTAGAGTTTGCATGTCTTCCACAATTCCTTTTTCTGCTTGCATAACTGCTTCTTGAGCAGTTTGGAAAGCTCTTTGCTTAAATACAATCGAACCTTTACCAGATAAAGGTGAAGAAGGTAGCTTGTTTGACTCGTGTGCAGTACCAGCTCGTGCAAACAAAGCAGCTGTATCCAAATCAGCTACAAGACGATTTAAATTGGTAATAGCAGTTGCACAAGCATCAGCACCTCGAGCACATGATTGTAGTACAGCTTTAAGATCATTCAATCGGTGAGAGAGATTATTCACTCTTTCTGCATGTAGTGGAGCACGAAGAAAGTCTGAACATGCTGCACCGATAGCCTAATGAAATGAAAAAAGCAAACATACAGACCACTATCAATCATTGAGTGTAGTTATATCTGCTTTAATGATTTGGCTAAAGAATAAATTCAAAACAAAGGATTAAAAATAGTATTAAAAGTAGTGAGGAGTACTGTTTAAGTAAACCTAATGACCTACCACTATCTGCTACTGAATTGATCAACTTCGCTTATCAAGTTCATTATTCGTAATATTTTATTCAATAATCTATGAGAAATACTGAGGGGATGTTAATGAGACTGTATCCTTTGTTCATATGTTTCGCTGTCATGACTTCAACGATAGATTCTATGAGCAGTAACTTGTCATCATATATTAGTCGCTTTACAACGGAAAAGAGAGATTTTTAGTGATTCGCAAAAATGCAAGCATTCCTGTACACATCACCAGGGTGCAGTAACTTCTGTCTTGAAAAGTTTGCATACTGTAAGTGTAAGTGGTTGTGAGGATTTCTAATTACTGTCAGATGGGGTGTAGTTCTATGTGGAGATATTCGCTTAGATAAAGCTGGAAAATTGGTAACGATTGGACAAAACCTGATGTTCAATAACGCTGTTACTTTGTAACCAAATATCACATAAAGATCGCAGAAAGATGATGACACAACACACTACAAAGACCATTCACTTTCTCCGGATAAGCAATCAGAGAGATTAGCACTGAAACATATTGTATATTCAGATAACAGAAGACATCTAATATGTGGCTACACGACGTTACTTGTTTAGTAAAAAGAAGTGTCTACAAAACTTCCAAACTTTTTATGTTTCAGAGCATAACATGAAAGAGTTAGTTAACCTTCTAAAACACAATGAAAAATCTTGAAACATTTCTTTTACAATATGTTGATTGCATTTAAATTGCAATGGAAACAGGTAAAATGATAATAAACATCCAAGTACTTATGGAGACAAGTACATAAGGAGGACTGATAGAGGGGGATCTAATCGGTTTTATGGGTATTTCTCAAGAAATTTATGTTTTACAGGGATCAAAGGTTTTACAAGTACAACAACCAAACATCTAATGGAAACTTTATACCAAGAAAACATATCAGAAGCTTTCACGATAATGAGTCGACAAAAATTGGCAAGTTTACTGTTCTTTGCTGAAGGTATGTTGTAATAATACATTTTAAAACCTGACCTTCTTATAGGAAGAGAAAAAAATGTGATTAGTGTTTCTCTACATGGTAATTCGTGATTATTTCGGGCTACATCATGTCTTATTTTCCATCTAATAGAACTTTGGTCACATTTACTTCTGATTATTTATGAACTTATACATTTCCTCAATTGTTTAGCTCTGTCCTCTCCTTAGATTTTTATTTGTTTATAGAATTATCGATCTAACCATACGTAAATTATCATCTATCGTGAATAAGATATGGAACTTTAAGTTGTGTATAGCTGATGAATGAATATCCATGGAATAAAATAACATCACTTCATTCCACAAATCTATTTCTTTTTGCTTTGCTTAAAATATTTTGTACTTCATCTTCAGCCAGATGAAGAGGAGGATTGTTTTTCCAAATCACAGCTAGACAAATGTTACGGAATACATCGATTCGAGTTGAGATAAAAAAAAAAGAATCTCTAGAAAAAGTTATGCATAGTGGATAATGAAAATAATTATAAAAATCCTTTAAGATTATGAAGAATTTAGAACATTTCCATAGTAAACTTCATAGAAAACAGGAGTATGTAGACTACTAATAAAGACTGAACTTTTCTAAGTGTAGTTGTTATTAATAGGTTCGTTCAATACAACTAGTTTTCATTGACTAGTCAATGAAGAGCAAAGCGATTTCATACTGTCTAGTGCTGAATGTTGACAAAATTCTATCGATCATTTTACAGTGTGGCCACCATGCTGGAAAGCTAACCATCACAGTGCACTTCGATAGGTGTCAGTTGTTTGGAAACATCCAAGCAGGAAACTGTAGACCCAAGTTGTGTGCTTGTTGGTACTTGTCAGCAAGATGTACTTGAAACGTCGATGGAACTGACGTCCTCTATGAGACTTAAAACTGCAGCACTGGATGACACATGCTCGAATCTCACAGGTGACATCAGTTTCTGCAGGGTTGCAGATACACCTGGTTGCCGAGTGCTAAAAAGCACAAAACCTGGGGCCAGGGTATCCTGTCGATTACGTCCAACCAACTAAGGCAACTGGCTTACAGCTCCCACATTATTTTACCCATTAGAACAGAAACAGAGTGAAGTAGTATTATTCACGTCTTTCAAATCATTATTTGCTTACCTAAATCGCTATCCATATGTGGTTATCAACGATCTGGCGTATCCGAAATACTACCCAGTAAAAACTATGTCACTAATACAGAACTAAAATATGCTTCAGTCCCTGAAGCTTACTCTTTGGTCTTATTGTACAGTTAATTATATGCAGTCATTTGAAAGCTTCAAACAGGCCATACATGATGACAGGAGAAAAAATAACATAAAAATGGTAACCGAATTCTCATTCGATAATTTAGAGGGTTACAGATCAATAAACAGGTTATAAAAATTCAACTTACCTGAGTTGTTTGACAAAGTTTTTGAGCTAAAGCAGGCCCAGTATCGATTTGTGGGTGCATTTTTAATATGGTAGACATATTTTGCACAGTTTCAGCCATTTGAATAAATTGTTGAACGAAAGTGGATATAACCTCTGAACAATATTGTCCTTGATTTGTTGCATAAACTTCAGTAATTCTTACTGTAAGATCAGATAATTCACGTGACTGATGACCTAGACGTGTATGCAACTCAACAAAATTTGCTGGCAGTGAAACCACATTTCCACCAGAGTTATATTTTTCGATTCCATTTGATAACGGCAATGAATCATCAAGCTGAATGTGCAAAAATGACCAAGTTTATAAAATATCAAATGAATCACACTACTCACATCTTATAAGTAGCAAATTTCAAATAAACCAAATACTTAAAAATAGCCCTATATGTTGAACTGCTCGTTAGAAAAGGTAGATGAAAGTTATGAGCAGAGGTATTCTTCGTACCAACATACACTAATAACTTTGTCCTTTACAACAGTTTTTATTAGGCCTTTTATAAAGTTGGTTACCAAAATGGTTATCTCCAACGTTCAACCTACTTTCCTGAAGTTCATCTACCGATTCAGTTTTGTGATTCGTTTTATTTTCGACATGGCGAAGAATAGTTCTAGCTGAAGTGGATGTTCTTGATAAAGTTGTACTGCCGCAATTGTTTAGTTTTTCCATGTAGTTTTCAGACTACGAATGTCAAAAAAGAGATGAGTGGATTTAATGTGGTGAAAAATAGTGTACAGTTATGATTCAGACTGAGGAGTCAAAACATGAATTTCATAAATGGTCTTTCCGAAAGATTCATAACTTCTTGATAACATTTGAAAAATCCATTTACTGGAGGAAATATATCCTAATTGATCCGAAGATAAGAAATCTTGTGGATTTCATAGTCTAACCTTCTGGTAAAGGCCACATTGAAGTATCACTTATGTAAGCTACTTACAGTCCATTTGCGGTACACTTTGTATCCCAGACAAAGGAATTAATAATTCAGTAACAATTTAAATACCAAGGATACCGGAGAAATGATATTAATTCGACTAAGTCTAACCGATATAACAATATTCCAGTCAGTCATCGTAACTTAGTCAGTTTATCATTTCATAAACAATGCAATGATCAATGAATCAATGTATTAGTCGAGAACAGAGAATCAAAGAAAAGAAAAAACGAAAAAAGTCCAATAACAAAACAACCTGAAGAGTGAAATAACGGGATAAGATAGAAACGATATCAATAGCATATGCACAAATTTTATAAAAGGTTGTATACGGGGCGGAATTTTAGCACAAAAATGTAAAAACGAGTCAAAGAATTATATGGAAAGCGCTAATGCACACAAAAACACACACGTAAACACAATTAACCACACACATACAAAGAAACAAATTCACGACACTTGTTCTTTCTGTCTATAAAATGACCTTGAAAGGCTTAGTGATTTCTTTTTAAATGGATTGTTTACACATAAAAGTTGTCAAAACAACTAGTCATGGTTTCCAGCAATCGTTAACCAAGAACAAACAAACAAGCAAACATATAAACACGCTTAAGTACACACAACTAACCTTTGAGCAAGCTGAAGTGATAGAGGTAATGTGCCAATTCAATCCACCTTGTTCTGTAGCAATTGTATCGATTTGTTTAGACAATTCTATACAGGCCTGTTGTAACTGATTATTGTAACTAATCAATGAATTGTGAGAATTGGAAACTGGCAAGGATTGGGACTAAAAGAAGATAATAATGAGAAATATGAGTCTACTGAAAAAAAGACCATACAAGCAGTATTGAAAATCTAAATTAGTATTTTCTGAATCTAGTCATCCAGAGAAATTCAACTAAAAATTGCATGGCTACTGGGTAAGCAAAACAAGTTTAAAGCTCATGGTGCATAGCATTTAGGATAAGATATACACTTTACTTGAAGGTATATCGATACTGTGATAGTGTTAGAGGCATCCAGTATCGCCGGCATTATACCAACTAGTCTAAGCACTTTATTTCCAATCAATCAGTCAAGAATCGAAATCTCGTCCAACCTGCTCATTATCAAGTTCTTACCACATTATTAGCACTGACATCATGGTTGCGGCTTACAGTACTAGAGTGTTGGAAAACCAGTTGGTTGGTGATACCATAAAGGGAAAAATATTTTAAATGCTGTACCTAAGGCTTATATGAACCGTTTTCAAGAACTTACCGAATAGTTTCATATAAATATCTATAACTGTAATTTTTGATTATTTCCCCGGATGAGCTAGAACCAGACTTCCAGGTAGAACATTGGAATTACTTATTGTAAACATGCTGAGATTTTTACTAATATAACTTAGATGTAAGTAAGGTTGCTTGTGTTGCAAAGATAGCAACTAGAATATCTATCCAGATGTAAATGACATTGGTAATAAAAGTCTAAAACGGTGAAACCATAACTATTTTGGAAGGGAAAATTATGATATGTAAATAAAAGAATGGATACATACAACATATAATTTGGTGCCAAAAGCTAATAATGATATGATTTAAAAATAGAAAATAGAAATGCACTCCAGAACTTTGTGCACATTTTTGCAGTAGGTAATGAGACACACCCATTGTGTGACAGGTGGAGTGGGGTTTGAACCCTAGACCCCTTGACTGAAAGTCATCTGCCTATACCAACCAGCTGCAACTCCATACATATAACCTAACTGTATAACAATATTAATACTGAAGCAAGATGAAAAAAAGGATGAAAACACGGTTTGCGGCATGATTCAAGTCAGTGATCGATTAGATAACAGCCCGGTGCTCTACCACAGCCATTTAGACTGTTTTTGAATCAGGTGTGTAAACAAACAGGAGTGTAACCAAACAAAAAAGTTTACGGAGTACACTATCAACACTGTAAGCAAGTATTATAGGGTGTATGAAAAAGGAAAAAAACACCACCTTTCTAATATGAAGTAGAAAGTAAGGGAATGAGGAGATATCGAACATCGTCGATGTGTATAATCTACGGTTATCTTGAGCATGTAAATCATGAAGTGTAAGGATAAGAACATGAGGAATAACTACTGTTGAATAAAAGTGGATATACTCCTCCACAGATTTCAGTAAGTTCACTCCCTTTCAAAAATAGTATTCCAATAAATACTCTTTGAAATTTATATGCATCAAAAATAGTATCATCATAATCAGTATATTGTGATAAAAGAAAAATAATTAGATATTCCAAGAGCCTGAAGATAATTCTTTAAGCTATTCATAAAAGGTGAATATATTCTACACCTCGTTGAATTGGTCTGTGGGATTTGCAATACTTTATTTCTGCCACATCAATAAATATACATTCTCGCATGTTTAAAATTATAACTCATATACAATTCTTCTTAAAAGGATTACACGTTGAAAAAACATGCCATGATATTGAAGATCTGTTGATTCGACTATGTAGAATAACCTTGGTTCGGCAGAATGATGATGATCGAAGTTAAAGGGAAATCTCAGTTGCTTAATCAAATCCCGATATGTATTGTAAGTTTCACTCTAATTTCAGTCATCACTTGCAAAAAACACGTTTCCCATTTCATACTACGCATTCATATATCCTTAAAATATACAACTATAATACTTTTTGTCTGTTAAAACTATCTTAAGTAAGTAAGTGGATGGATCAGTTAGATGAAGTTCGCTCAAGTAAAGAAAATACAAACAGGAGGAAGAAATGCAATAAACTTTTTTAAGGAAGTACTATTTTACCATTGGAAAACTACAAAAACATGATAGTATATCAGGTGTGAAACCTACTCGTGCTTTGAGAGTGATTGATAGACAATCGATCAATTGTTGTAGGGCTTCTAGAACAGTTCGTGTGAGGCTATTCAGATTTGTCTGATCAGAGAGTCGCATTAAACTGCCACATGTACGAATTGATTCCTAACAAGATAAGAATAATAAGAACGAAAATCACAATACAAATAAAGTCGACGATGTGTATCAAAGTGAGAACTATTGTGTTTTATTCAACGGAGACAAGAGTAACGTTATGTTTCATATTCGATATGGTACGATTGATACAATGAAAAAAAGTTATTTAAATACTGTTTTGAAGACAGTTTTCGCCAATAGCTGTTATTATTCGAAAAAGCACATAAAACGTCTCATTTTAATGAACACGAGAAGCAGGTAAGTACGGGAATCTATGTACATAACTGTTAACAGTCTTCTTTGTAAGCATACACCGGTCTGGTAAGACCAAATCTATCTACCTATCTACTTCAAATTTTTATCTCACCTACATACTTTTCAGTATCACCTTAAAAGTTTTACTTAAAATGTAGCTAGATTTTCAACGAAAATTGTTAGGTGACAATGCTATTCCTTTTTCATGTATAAATATCATATGGAACTAAGAGTTGATAAATTCTGAAGGCGTATTTGTGATCAAATATGTTACTGTGCTAAACCATTCATTATTTTAGATATCTGAACAGAAACATATTTCAAAAATTAGAAATCCGGTATGACAGAGATACAATTTTCCGATGTTTATGATTTCATTATGACAACGTGAAATAGTCCTTGCGGTATGTTGTATAGACTAAAAGATTCTTTATTCGACTAATATGTTTGTATCGATAACACAGACAACATTCTTCTCATGGTTTCACACTCAAGTAACTACAACTATTCGAAGCTGATTATCTGTCACGTAATAAATAGCCAGAAATTACCGACCAGGAATATAAGATGTCAATGTGTCAGATGTAAGATTCTTGACTGAAGCACAAAAATGAATGAACTCTAGTGTTGGGGACTTCTTTCATTTTGAAGAGTAGCAAACAAATTAAAAATTTAAAGATCAGAATTTTCTACTGACAACTAATAACCATTAGTACATTTTTGAAGTTTCAGATACCAATTTGCAGGGAGCTATAACTTGATTAAGAATGCAAAAGCAAAGTAATGACAAATGGTTATAAAAAATATCATGTACAATTTAACTATGATAGTTTCACTTCAAACTAGGAGAATGACACCAATGAGATATCAAGGTCTGAATCCAGTATGCAAATAACTCAGACTACAATGAATGGATTTTTTTGTAAAATCGAATCCTTGAAGACGCTTAAAACTTCATGATATACAAATCACAAAATCTTACTCACTTATGATGTAAAACAAATATGCAACCACGAACGAACAGAAATGAATTGACTAACCTTAACAAAATTAGGTAAATATGTACTAATTGAGTGTAAATTATGCGCCATTATTTCCCAGTTACCACTTTTACAATTTTCCACAGTTTCCATAGACCAGTGTTCAATCTGTTCCATACTGGTATGAATCAACTTCAACGAATTTTCTAAATATTGTACATTCGACGGGTAAACATTACTTCGTTTTAATTGATGGTTAGATGATACAATTGCATGATCTAAATCACTAAGTAAACTACTGAGAGTTTTCTGTATTTCATTGCATGTGCATAAACCTGGAACAGTTTGTCTAAAAAAAATGAACAAATGGGAAAAAGAAAGAAGATTGTCAAATGATGACATAAATTTTAGGTTTAATTAGTAAATTAAGAGAATAACGAATTTGAAATCATTCAGCCTAGACAATGGATAACCTCTAAAGTGAATGATTTAACAGAAAGGGAGAGAAATTTGACAGTTTTTGACTAATACAAGTGAGATAGTTTCTTCTTCATACAATAAATATGGTTGGCAAAGAGTAAAGTGACCCTAGTTATTCAAAATTAAGTCCACGTACTTCATGAATACAAGGAACCAGTATGTTCATTACACTCAAAATATATCCTTGTTTAAATCACTATGAGATAAAAGTTTGCTTCAACAGGACGCTGGCTAAAAGATTAGATTCAGATAACTATGTGAGTTTAACGATTTCCACAACCTACTTACGAAAGATACGGAATATAACTAACCCTAAAACAATTAAATGGCACGTTAAAAAGACTGGAAAATAATAGTTCAAGCAGTGAAGATGTCTATGAAAGCATTAGACCTACCGGTTAAAAATGTACCACAGCTTTATGATTTGTCAAAAATAAACAGAGTAAACCTGCCACTTCACCTAACTTTGGAAATGTCCGAATCTCTCTATCAGTCAATCACAGAATGATTAGCTGATATTTTGAGATGCTGAAGAATATTTATAGAGCAGGAGGATGTTTTCGATAGTATTGTATTGTCTGAGCTGGATGGTTTAATCGTGAAGCCTTCATTGCCATTCTAGGCAACATCATCAGCACAAACACCATCAAGATAAGCTGATATTGTACAAGCTGTTGGGAGACGGAATTCTATTGCTTTGTGGTGGCGAAGCCAGTTGAGCCATTTGTATCCGCCCTAAGATATCATCGAACATCGAATAACTACTGTCGATGTTATTTTCGTTATTCACTTCAATCGCGACTGCCATACGAGATTTCACTTTAGATAAGTCCTTAAAGAAACAATTGGCAGCTGTTGCTAAATATGGCACCTAGTCTCCGACAGCATACAAATTATACACCACTCAAAAATTGTGTGAATTTATTGTTCAACTTTTGGCTTTTACCAAGATTCTAGTGACTAGTCAATGCATACTTATCCTGTGTACGATTCAAACAGACATTTCTGCATGCCGAATGGAAATTATCACTGGTAGTTTAGTACACTTAACATTCTAATGAGTTACCATAACCCTGTTTGCTATTTCTGTATGCACAATAATGAGATACATCATTGTCTCCTGATAAATAATTGCGTGTATACAATTCACATGTTATATCGCCTGAACTGCTTAAATTAGTAAATACGGATACGACATTTCCAGCCCTTGTTCCTTCTTCGTGAATCTGTTTCAGCTACCTAAAAACTGTGATATTAAATATAGTCCATAAGTCTATCACGAAAACAGGGCAAAAACGAAAAGTGAAAATGAATGGACTTGATAGTAAAAGTCGGTCATTTCAAAGAAATCCTTTTTTATCCTGTCACCCACTGATCACACGATACAAAATAACTGTCATGCCTACCGTAATTCATAAAAGTGACACACTTCAGACCAGTAAATCACACAGATAGCGTTAGAAATACAATAACCTATTGAGGACGACTGTCAAGATTGTATCGCTTATTTTTGATGCACATTCGTAACTCTTTTCACGCAAAATAGCGACTTGTTCTGTGATGCAACAAAATTGTGCACTATAGTTTTCAGAGCTTAACACGAAAACTTGAAAGTTGGTTCGTACTTCTTGGACTCAAAAGTGAGTGATAGAACAAATTGGTTTGACGTTGTCATCTCCTAAAATAATATTCAGGAGGATGAACTTGGATATCATAGAAACAGAGATAAAGCATAAATATCAGCAAGCTTAGTTGGGGGGTTGAAAATAGGGATGATCTTCCCCAGCTTTCGGCAGAACTTAACCTATTTCTAGAAACCACCACTTTCGAGAAAAGCCATCATCGAAGTACGACAATTACCGCTCAGGAACTGGCTGTTATCATACTTCGCGGACTCTGCGAAACACGTGAACAACTTATACTCATAGAGAAGGTTGGGTTTTATTCAGGCTATGGATGAAACTATAATGTGTTCATCCTCCGTCATCTGCTAAGACACCGGTACATGTATTGCAGGCCGACAATTGTTGTATTTCAGAACATTAAGGCTATCTTTGATTCTCTGGAGTTCTGTTTTTGAAAGGAATATCCTAGACTAGTTTGTTAACATCTTGAAATTTCTACACATTGACATATCTGACTTCAGGCAGGTTTTCAGCCATCTATCCCTCTTGATCTAAAAAAGTAGTAGGTCGGTCAGGACAGCCTGGTCTTGCAGTTTCTCCTGAACGTTTTCGTCGATGATATCCTGGAAACTGCTATGAAGGAGGAGAATAATGGTAGTATGAATCTGCAGTTAGATGAAAAACTTTTCAACCACCAGTACGTAGACAATATCGTTGTAGTGTGAGATAAAATACAAGCTACTCAAACAGTTTTCATCAGTTAGTAATCAGTATCCATAGTTATGATATATTCTTTGCACCATCCAAATGAAAAACGCTTCTGCAAGGTTGGGACAAGCTTGTATGTATACTTACACTTTATGGTGGACTGTTCAAAGATTCCAAAAGTCTGTTCATATAAGAAGTTGTATGGGTGGCAGTGGAGGTGTGACTGACGAGATTTATCATCCGACTTCTGAGACTGGAGCGGCACACACAATTCGATACCATCGCGACATTAGTCTTTCTGTAAAAAGTGGAATGTACAACATGTTAATGCAGATAGTCCTATTCTGTGTCAGTGGAACCTGATCTTTTCAAGCTGAAAATGTTCGACAACTTTGTGCTGCTGCTGATCGCTATCTTCACAGGATCGCTTACATTCAGAGGAAACACCATGTAATTCTGAGGTGAAGCAGTATGTGCTTGGATGTGATGAAGATCGTCATTCATTGAATGTGGTCATCTTGAAACACCATCTTCAGTGGCTCTGATATGTGTTACGAATGTCAACCAGTGGCTTCCGCACCCCTCACTATTGAACTTTTCAAAATCAGTGGACAAGTGGCCAGTTTATGGTGCGGTGCCATGAGGATAGTTGTGTTACGTATCTGTTTATGTTTCATCACTCCCTGAATGGTTTCCGACAGATCATGCAATTCACTGGTATGATACTATAGAGGAGATAGTTAATAAGTGGGACCAGCAGCAATGACGCTGCAGATTCCTATCTTCCATTATTATCCAGAAGTTATGTATCTCTGGAAGTGCTCCTTTAATAAACCATTTTTGAATTTGTTGCCGTGATTTTTATCATTTTTCTATACCACTTATTTGTCATCTTAGTATTGTTGTATACGGTATATCTCATGGTACATATGCAACACGTTTTGTTTTTAATAAGACAATGAAAATTAAACAACAAACGCCGTTTTGTAATTGTTATGATAAACTTCCTGAGGAAAAAAAACACACAGTAGCCCAACTTGAAATCAATAAATCCCCACAAACCTCCAAAACTGAATTACTGTCAACTGCTAATTAGTGACCTGCTTCGAGATAAGATTTCGCGAAGCCCGAATGACAAGTCGTGACTGGTGGGGCAAACCAAATCGGACGTGAGGACAGGTACTCAAAAATGATACTGGTCGATAGCCACATCATATCGCGAACTGACAAAGTAGGAAAATGTGGATCAATTTATGCCGACCTAGTGGCTCAATGGAGAGGTGCTTGCCATAAGATCTGAACGCCTAGGTCTCGACCTCTGGTAAATCCTTAATGTGTACTCCTGAGGAGTGCCACAGTAGGAAGAAACAGCTGTCCAGGGCCCTCAAGTTTTCAGTGGTTCTGTAACCGATTTCAGTCCATGATAAATAGCAACTTAGGCAAGATTCTGAGTTGTTTCTATGGGGTAATTCTCTATAAACAAGTTAAATCGTACACGGATATCCACTGCATATAATGATTTATTTTTACTGTGACAGATATAAACCCAAATTAATCGAAAAGTAAACACTTTGTCTGGTAAATAACAGGATTACAGGTGATTGATTCAACATATTAATGAATTTTTCATTATATCAAGTACAGACACACATGTTGATCATCTGTCAGCTTTTAACTAAACATCTGTTTGGATATGATAATCACTTGATTAGCAGGATATTTTTGCAGTAAAATAATAAACAGACTCTTCTTTGAATGAGCTAAAAGTTGTCCTTCAAAAGCAGAACTTGTGATTGTTTGAATTGACGATTTTCGTCACCAAGTTAAAAGACAATGGACGCACTACACGACAACACAAAACTCCGCACTTAATTTCAAACACAAAAATTCGCTTACTGTGGAGTGTTTCACAGTCATAAGTGTAACCTCGTAAAACCTATTATAAAAACTACTTTGAAATTCATGAAACTACGTAGACAATCAATTGAAATATTATCAAGTGCGCCTTAAAAACTGGCTTCGAGATGAACTTCCCGCATTTGTAATAGGAAGCAGAAATTTATGTAACTAATCAAGTCATGAATGAAGATAGTTACTCACCGATGACACTGGATAGCGGTTGTGCTACACCATGAGTTGATAGATGTAAAAAAAGTCATTAGACTCGAACAAAGTGGTTGAGTGTTAGTGCGCTCACCGTTAGACTTGGCAGTCCAAGGTTCCATTCCTCAAGGAGTCACGAGTATGCACTACGGAGGAGTATAAAACTATAACGAAACAAGTGTCCAGTGAAACTTTGGAATTACAAAATTTAGATAACCTGTAACAACTTTATGACTAACATGATTTGCACTACGAAGGTTAAATTGACCTATTTTCTGGAGTTCATTTCAGTATAAACAAATAAGTACTAGTTAAGAAGAACTGTCATACACTGCTGTTTGGATGAAGATATCCAGTTTGATTTGATCGAATCGATACTAGACTCAAATACTGGAACACATACTTCCTAAGAACGCTGGACTTAATGAATCATCACGATCACGTGGTAACTGTTCCTAAACCCCTATAGCCCTTGACCAAGTGAGCTAGTTGTCATTTCCCTTCACAAAATTTATTCAAAAAAACTCAGCAGTGAAACAGCGAATCAGAGGTAAGACAAACAATTAGTTCATACCTTTAAGTGTAAGTTTATGCTTTTTCCCTCATATAACAGCTATTATAAGAGGTTTAAACTGAATTTTGTGACATGAAACACTAGATAATTGACTTATACAATGTAGGACCCGGCAGGCAAACCAACAACAGTCCAGACTACAGTACTTTTCTATGATGCATGGAAAGAAAGACAGCAGAAGAGCGGCAAAAAGTAATCAGCAATAGAAAACAAAATATAGTGCAAAAGATGACAAAAAAAGAAGAAAATAAACCGACGAACATATAGAGTTCGAGTAGATTCGTCTAAGTAAATGAATCTGATACAAATTCAACATTAGTTAAAGTCACATACAATATGCCTTGACTATCTGAGATAGCCATAGTTTGGCAGACTAGTATTTGTACTGGGTGATGATTGAAGGTGAGATGGAAATCTGGACCGCGGCCAGACTCGAACCAGGGACCGACAGTTTACCAACCCACTGCTCTATCAACTGAGCTACGAGGTCTGACTACTGACCAGAATTTTATCTCACTTCAGTCGGACAAAACCCTTGGTGATTGATTGCTTTGGTTGTTACCGCCCTAAAATGAAACGATACAAAGCCTAATCTACAAGGAGACGAGTCCCAATCTCTGTGGATCTAGCTTAACCACTATAACTCATATAAACCAGTAAATAATCAAAATCGGGTAGGGGAAAAACCAATGTCTAGTGACAAAACTAAGCGATAACTCCATATTAGATTTGTTTATTTGATTTATAACACACAGTGATCTAGTATTATTTACTTGATGACGTTTCGGGCAATAAATCAAATAAACAAATGTAATGTGGAATTAAATCCTATCACAGTACCCCAGTTCTACACCTATATTGATAAAAGTGATAACATTCATCGTATAAGATGTATTTTTACTAATGTAATCCCGAATTTATCTCGAATTCACTCATGTTTGAATGGTTTTCCATGTTAGTTCGCCTAATCGTCTGAATCATATCGAAAAATATTGGTTGTATTTTAACAATTTATCCAATCCCATTATATAATACTTTATTGATCTACTATTTTCATCAGTTTTACGCTCTTTTCTGAGTAATATACATTCCATGAAACATCCTATATATTATAGTAAAGATGGATAGTGGCTAGCAGTGGAATCCATGCGCATAATACAAGCAATTATACATTCCGTACAACACATAATCCACTTTGTTATCATTTATACTTCAATTACTATAAAAAGTACCTTTATCATTATCAATATCAGTGTCATTACCATTAATCAGTATATATATTGTTTGATGTTACGTGCCCATCTTTCCGAAATAGTAATCTATTCTTTCAAAGCCTTGAGGATTCACAACTCCAATGTACTTTTCATTGTTGAACTAAATTTTCCCACCCTGTTTTTGTTTCACCTTATTTGCACAATTGGAAAAGCCCCTCTAACCGATTTGCTGATTCATTCACCTACATTACGCTGATCTCTGCTCCATATCACGATGTCATTGGATGATCGTAAAGGTCACCTTCTGAGCGGAAACTTGAATATTAACCAGATTCATAATGCCGAAAAGGATCATCCTACTATATCTAAGCTTTGACGAATAATACAAAATATATGTGCTGTTACATGGACTTAGTCTTCTCTACAATGATGACCTTGGCTAAGTAATGTGTTTTACATCACATGCCACTGTGTTTATCAATTTACATGTATGTGTGGACACACATATATAGGGAGGAGTAATCGTGATAGGCAGTTAAGGCTGGTTGAACATGTGCCTAAGTGGCTTCGAAAACAAAGTCTTTATTTATTTTATTATTTGCTCTAGTAAACCATGCCAGAATTACACACGTAAAAATACATCTTATATGATGAATCATATTAAATCGATGCCCAAGTTTTTACAAACTACCCAGTCCATTACTATTGATTGATATGCTTGTAATTCTCCGTTGTTTTACTGGATCGAATTGTTCAACCTCTGTTGGCATATGGGTTCCTATGAAGATGTCTCGATATTGCCTGAATATGAATTATGTTAATGTGTTTGGTTCTGGATAGCAGAGAAAATCAGGACGCGCGTTTCGTCCTATTTGGAATTTGTCAACTGGATGTGCCTGGACCTTAATGGGTGATGTTGTTCCCACTAAGACTCGGACCTCATACCCGTCGCTCCAAATGCTACAGAGTTATCCACTAGGCCAAAACGCGGGTCTTGGATCCTTCTCCTAGCTACAACCAAGCACATTACCATCTAGTCAGTTGTTGGTTAGGATACGTTCAAAGTGATAATATCAGTACATTGATGCGGTCCCATAACTGGATCAAATACATTCGATGTATCAACACTTGTAAAATAGTAAACACAGTGTCAATTGTAACTTAACCGTTGTTTTATTCATCACATTTATGTGGCCCTGCTGGTGGTATGAAATTAAAATGAACAGCCTATGGTATAGGCAATAAAAACCTTTAAGTTACGATCTGAGATTTTAGGTAATACATTCAGTTGTGTACTAATTTCACGATATTGTTAGCGAAAAGCTTTCAAAAGTTATTGAAATAACTGTAGTAACTAATACGTGTTGTACAAGAGGTGTCTATCGTGCCTCAATGACCTAGTGAGCAACACCTTAGCGTTTGGAGTGATAAGTACGGAGTTCGAGTCTCTCTGAAAACAACACTGACGTGGAAGTATGTCCAGCAGACAAGTCCCCGAAAGGACGAAACGAGCGTCCTGGATTCCACTGTCAACAACAACAAAGCTATTTTGAATTAGAAATGAATCAATTCCATTCCATTATACCGATTTTTATATCCTGAAAGGTGATGATCGACAATGCTTGGAAACAATGTATCAATAAACTACCGATAAACAGTAGTCATAAGAAGAAACAACTGATGAGATTATAAGTTATTGTTGAATTTCTTGTATCTCAGGGACAGGAAATTATTGTCTACAAATTACTTTATGACGCAATCTCGAGGCTGAAAAGTGACATCAAAAATAATATGAAGAAAGCTTTTTTTTCACCAACTTAGGTATTTACAGTATGACAGTAAATGGATTCTGTGAGGTAGCTGAACGATAACTTTAGAGGATCAAAACAACAGTCCCGGGTTGTGGCGATTAAAATACATTAGTGAGAAGCAATTCGTATGATATTATTTCGTAGAATATTTCATTAGAAGACACTTTTAATGAATGTGAGCCACAATATTACCTTTCGTTGCTTCAGTTATGAGTATTTTGAAAGCATTGGCGTAACTATTATTTATGCATAAATGAAATAACACTAAACACAAGCAAGCAAAAATTTCAGTTTGTGAAATGTACCAGTGAGCATCTGATACTAGATACTTGGTTTGAATGTCGAAATAAGCTTCGAGTGGCAGAAAGCCCGTAAGGCATTTGCCAACTTACATCACCTCTGGTGCCGGAGAAATATCCGACTATCTATAATAGGACGAGTATACTGCGCTGCAGTTCGTTCTGCCCGGTTATAAGGCTGAGAGAGATGGCAGCTGAAAGTAGATGTGAAGCGATTACACGTTTATGATCACAGGTGTCTCAGTAGGATTTTTCACGTATGGTGGAATCACTATGTGAAAAATATTGAGGTCAGGCGAAGGGTAGTAGGCAAGGAAAACAAATCAGTGCATGAGGATGTGAACATTAGTCGGCTGAGGCGACTTAGGGGTGTGATACAGATTACATCTGAGATGATAGGAATCAGTGGTTGAGGACTGCTGATGATATGGTTCGAAACCGGCGCAAATGTATTCTATCTTTGATGTCGTCTATAGCTTGAATGCTTTCACTAGCCCTAATTTTTAGATTCCCTCTCCTCCCATACACCTTTATTCACTTTGATATGTTTTTCTATCTACTTGTTCTTTGTATACAACTATGAAGTGTGGTAACTTGAACCGATGCATTTATGTGCAATGTTCTACGTTTTGTTTGTGTCTGTTCAGTAACTCAGGAATATCCATCTAAAGACACGTAGATTATACTGAGTGAATAAAACGTCACTTAAACTGATTTCTACTTGATATCATCAGTCTTAATATAGATTACCTATTGGTGTGCAATTTTATGCATCAAACACTAATATATATAGAGAGAAAAATTAAGCATACTGACAAAAGCCAACAGTAAATTCAGCAAGACAGATTACTCACCGAAGAAGACTTAATAAACTTAAACAAGATTCATGTAAGTGATGTCTACCTTCTTCAAAACCAGATAGACCAGTTCTATTGTTGTTCACTTCTTCTGTTTGTGTATTGTTACAATGATTATCGACCAGTTGACGACTAAACTCGATCAGATTAGCAATACACTTGGCTACAGTTTGCCCAGATTTTAGTACAGGTGCCTGAAGCTGAATGATTCGAAATTCAACATTGAAAAAATATATATACAGAAATAGAAAAAGCATCAAGGTGAAATGAGAGTCAAAGAAACACAGTTTTATATTCCATTATTAAGGATACAGGTACTGAACATAGGAATGCAGGCAGACAAAAAAGACCATGAATAATATGATGAAATATTTGTCTGCTAAATATCATGCGTAAAAAAATACATCGTAATACCAATTTAAACTTTATCTGCTTCTTTCATATTTTTAAAATTCGAGTCATTTCATTTCATGGTTCAATTTCTAAACTAATTCATATCCGATTTGATATGCTTTTATGTAATATTTATACTTCTGTGGTTACTTAGTCGTTCACTTAAATCTTCTCCAATTTTTACCCTCCCAAACATGTAGGCATACACTAAGTGAACATAATCATAAAGGTGAAGCTTGCGTTTCATAAATTTTGTTATAAGTCCTTTAAAATCTCAAGAATATTGTTGAAAATCCAATATTTTATGTACTATACAATTAAGATTTCTGATGGTCAACAGTTTATTTGTATGAAGAATAGACTACTTACGCATTAGCTCTTTATTAATATACGACTTTACAACCTTATCCTTGTTGTAATAAAGGTAAGGCGACTTACATATAAATGTAGTGTATTTATTTTTAAATAGATAGTGGCATTTTAAAAGAAATTCTACTAGGATTCATTCTAGTTAACAATATGAGTGATTACATCAAACTCAACCCTGAGGATTAGTTTCAAAGTCAAAATAACTTAGTTACTTGCCAGTCATCATTACATGCTATATCACGAAACTAGTGAACAACTGTATCTATTAAAATTGTATAAATTTTCACTGTCAATTTTTGCTCTTGAAAATCTGTAACCATTTTGTAAGAAGGGTTAATATCTCGAAGAACAAGCAATGAATTATACTTATCAATATGCATGTGAATGTATCCACTGAACACGGCTTACAAGGGACGTTGAAAGAAATTCACTGATACAAGATTGCTAAAATGTAGTGAAACACGTATTACCGAGTCATTTGACGACCAACTTAGGAATATACTCTTGCGAGATTCATATTTCTAGACAGGTTATGGGAAATAAACGGATTAAATGTGCCCAGACAATCAAAAACAAGCACAGAGTCAGCCATACACCTCATAGAGGCTATGATAATTAAGCAAATACTAGAATAGGACTTGAAACAAGGATAAGGGTAGAAATAACAGCCAAACCTTCATATTACCAAAGCAATCCTCTTGACAAAATCAGAATCTAATGATCATTCATTTCAATCCAACACCATCTACATCTTAATCTTGTCATCTAAAAGCTTTTTCTTTAAAGCATACACCTCAAACCTAAAACTTAACTATCAGGTACGTTTTTCATCGGTAACTTTGATGAATTTAGGAAAGATGAATCTGCAGTAAACCTTTACAACCTCGAAAAGTGTTGAAAAGAAATCCAGTTTAAATGAATGTATTGTTCGGTATTCTTAATGACTGAAAAGATCTAGTGTGAATGATGGTCACTCGAGAAACAGCTTTAAGATGACACGAAAAGCAGGTGAACCAAATTAGTTCTAGATCGACGGGTCACATTACTTTCAATCTAATAGTCTATAACGACAAATGAATGAAGTCTATGTTTTATCGATTGAGAAGTTTTTTACAGCAGTTAAAAAGGTGCTGTGGAAAAATTTGAATACATGGTGTAGATACAGAACCCTCAGCTAATTAATTTCCGACAGTTAACTAGTTTCTTGAATAATAGTAACACGAGTAGCTATGACTCTCCTTGTAGTATAGAACCACCCCATAGTTGCGTACCAACGCGTAAACGTTGAGACGAGCTGCCCCTCGTGATTAAATTGTGCTAGTCTTGTTTAGGTAGGTTATGAAAACCGATGTTTTGTATACCGGGGTTTGTCGGTCGAGCTTAGTTGGGTACGACAATCAGCCTTCTTTCCTGTAACTCAAATGCATATTAACTAGTACACTATCAAGTTGGCTTAGCAAAAATCGCGATCAGCAAGACAGAAATGCGTAAGTTCAGTGGTGCGGATCTCTAAAGCACAGATGATTGTCCTAGGCCTCAGGATTCTGCCCAGTGTGCTGGGAGCAGTGCAACTGTAGAACAGAGTAAGGTAAACCCATCTTCCTTATTCCTGTAGTCATTTTTGTGGAACCAATCCCTAGAGATGGATGTACTTTCACCTTGCGAAGGCAAGAGATATTCTATCCACAATTAAAACATTGTTAGCTTTAGCAATGGATGCATTTTGTTAACCCGAAGGGAGTCACAGATTTGAAGACCGACGAGGAACTCGGAGGTGCGCCGAAAACTGCAGTGAAACCCCAGATGATCCAATTAGTCCTTAGCATAATAATACTAATGCCAGATATCGTACACGGTATTCTGTATGGATCAGTGAGTGGTTACTGACGTGCATTGACTTTCATACTATAGTTTACCAGAACCAATACATAATTCATCTTTGTAAACTCAAAAGGAGGTGATTTATTAGAGTTTTATAAAAGTTGTGGAAACTACTAAAGTAATAAGCTTGATTAATCCTGGCAACAGTGAAAAACTTCCTTGTACTTGCATTGATAAATGATTCTAATAAAGGTTAACAAGCCCTCCTTTCAGGAAAAAATCGAGGACTCTTTGCTTCATCTTTATATTTTGCTTTCTCCACACGGCTTATATAATCAATATGTCAAAAACAAAGTCCCATTGTTGGAAACATTAGCATTTATGTGGGTAGATTCATTTGCTCCTGTGAAGCCTATTTCATAGGCCGTATCAGCAAGACATTGTTAAGACGTACCAAATAATACTTAAAAGCATAGCTGTTAGGCGGAAAATATACATCAAATAATAACTCTCTTCTGGAACATGTTCTTCTCTGAGGTTAATTAATATTTACAAAGGGTGACTGAGTTTCTTAGACGGATTTCGATATTTGCATGACAGATTTTCTTACCCAAGTGGATAATCCTGAAATTTATGCATAGAAATATTTTACCCAGTACTTTTTGCTACTATCGTCTTAGGTTTACAGCTCTGTGGTTTTTATCGCATAATTTTATGTGTAATCTGCCTTAATTAACTTTGTTATGACTTCACCTCAGTAAAGTCGAAATGTTTTTTTCTCTTGCTCACAATATTCCTGACTAATGCCTGAAAAGCAACACTAACTGAAACACTTCTTTCATGGAGGTTTTACCATGCCAGAAAGGTCTGTTGAATAGTGTTAAGACGAAAAGCAGTTATCGTTGTAGTATAAATTGGTACACTATGATGGGAATCCAAGGACAACATCGTACTGCTGGTTGGGTGAGGTGTGGTGGCAGTGAGTTTTTTCCCCTCGATGGCCGGTAGTGCTACGCTGATGCTGCCTTCCAAACGGGAAGGAGAAGGGGTTACAAAATGTAGGCCACAAAAATAACACGCTCCACCTGCCCCACGGTCTTCTGGCGCTGGCTGTACGGGTCCCCACTAGCAGGCGTTAGAACAACCAAACCCCTTAACATACCCCAAAAGGTGGCGTGTGACAGGACTCAAGTAGATGTCAAATTGGTTCTGTGGTCACACAAATGCTTTTCTCTTTCAGCCATAGTAAGAGGAAATAGCCTCCTACAGTGTGGGCCACCGAGAGGTGTCAACCACCCGCACGCTTCCAATAGTACACAAGACACAATCACACATAACCTATCCTCCTCAACATTGTTCCCCCCCTTTACCTTCATCTTCAGATGCCAATACCTAGCTTTCCCTAAACTTTCATTTTGTGACCATTGCCAAAGCCATCGAAACCTTATTCCTAGTCTCCTATGAACCCAACATCGATTTCATGTAGAAACTTTCAACACCCGAACTACTAAGATACCACCTAGCTCTGATACAGAAGTTCTAAACTCTGTTCGTTACCTAAGCTTTGCGCATCGCATATGTTGCGTAAAACTGATTTGGCATAGAATACTATTTACAGTTTAATATATTTTGATACGAAGTTAGATTAACCTTTGATTTTAGTGGCTAGGTGGGGGAAGGGGAGCGTAGATGAACCACAAAACTGTCTCAGTTTCGGAAAAGTGGAGCGGAACACAACTCTACGTATTTTTACATGGTAGTTGAAGGCGCAAATGAGTAAGCAATAAATGGGAAAAAATAGACAACATTAGTAATACTACGAAAGGAAGAAGAAAAAGACAAAGCATTTTTATAGATACTACATTGCTTCAGCATTAGGAAACACCCACCATCTCTATATTTATCAATATGAAATTATAAACACCTAGATAAGATATTATTCAACATGGACTAACATTAATTAACTGGGGAACCGTTGGAAGCCTGGGGACACTGGACAGTATGGAACTCCAGCAGTATGCGCCCACAACCCCGTCACAGGTCGAACTAAGAACCTTAGATTCACGCGTCAAACTCTTTAACCATTCAGTCACTGGGTCGGATACAAACAACCCTCAGTCCTCTGCCAATGTATGCTATGACGTGACTATCCACAAAGGTCTTCAACTGACATCCACATCACTTCCAACTGGCGGACCCCACAAATTATAGCTTCTTATTAGGGATTCGGGATATCTATCTCAAAGTATGTCACTAATAGCCCCTATACAGTAGTGGTTTGAGGTTAACGCGTTCGTCACGTGACCTGAAGATCCTGAGTTCGATCCTTGGTGCGGTCGTGAGTCCGTACTGCTGAGGAGTCCGATACTAGGACTTTCAGGTTTTCAACGGTCCTCCGACTGATTTCAGTTCGTGATGAATACTGCCTTAAAAACAAAAACCCCGTAAACTTAAAACCATATAACCTAAATAAGAGGTGGTTTTCACCTTGATTCAGGCAAAGTAACAAATCATTATATCACAGAAGTTAACGATAATACATTTGTCCTGTGTTAACTTATAGAATAATAAAACCGGTAATAAGAAACCAGTGCTTGTCTCTAACATAGAACAGTATTGAGTGGGATAGATTTACAGCTGTGTGAAGTATACAGTAGTAAAAAAAAGTGAAAAAAAAAACTTATAAATCGAAATCAATAATCACTAACTTCATAAGCTTCCTCAGCTAAATGAGCAGGAGATCCAGCAGCATCTCGAAGCAAAAGTTCTATATACTGGTCAACATCAGCCTCTAATGTAGAAGCAGCTGAGCATAACTTTGGGATGAGATCAGTTGTACCAGATACTGGGTTTGTACTTCGAGATGCTTTAATTACATTGAATACAGAAGCAGCAGACCGTGCAACATGCTCTAGCAACTGAAAACAAAAAAATATAGACAAAGGAACATATCAATCACAAAATGGTACAATTTACTGTTGTAAAAGATACTCGACAGTTACTGAACGCCAGCCATATCGTCTACCATCTGGCATGGAAACAAATTCTACTTATGTGGTATCACTTGATGAAGGTAATTGAAACTGTGTATTATTTTTCTGCTAATGTAGGGTCGATTGGATAAATAAATCTGTGATGATGCTGCTGTTTGTAATTTCCCGTTGTTGACTAGACCGAACCGACCAGTTTGCATTGGTATGTGGGCTCCTATGCGGATGCCTTGATCTTCCCTTTGGTTTCAGTTTGGAAGTAATGATGAGTAGTGGTTAGCAGCGTAATCCAGGACGCGTATGGAAAACGTATCACTGACTGGGAGGCAGGTATATCCCTCTGACAAGTCCCGAATAGGATGAAGCGCGCGTCCTGAATTCCACTGCGAACCACTGTCCATCTTTACCAATAAATTTGTAATGCCTGGAATAAATAACGAATAAAGGTGGATCAGAATTATCGCCATTACCATCTATGCCCTAAAGAGTGATCTGGCATCCCACTACGATGAAATATATTATTGAACGGTTTATCTTGACAAGAATCATGTCAAAGTAGTAATACAATATTCGAGGCTTGTTTTATGTAGTCCACTCATTTCTCGATGGTATAAAAGTCCTCTAGATTGCCAGGTACAGATACACATTAATCCCACGAAACCTGCGCTCATCAAATTGGAACCACACACATGTAACAAGAATAATGCTAAACAGACTCAGTAGGTATAAGGATTTCTAGTAGGATCGAAACCAAAGAGTGAGTTACAGGAACAAAATGACAAACATTTTGTGACTACCTCGATAAGATTATGTAGAGTAACTTTTACTGCAGAAGTCTTTCGATGAACAGGGCTGTACCTCTGTGTATTATATACCAAATAAACAAACCCAATATAAAACATACTTTAGAACAGTGTCTGATGTTCACTGTTATACTACCAGTTTTGGGTGTGGAAGTATTCGATGACATAAATGTACGGTTGAAAACTCTTAAAAATCTTTGGTCCCCTGGAGATGGCCTGATTATCGATAGGTAGGTCGGCATGACAAATAGCAGCCATCCACTTCAGCTTAAAACCAGTCACAATCTTGAAGACACTCTCACAATTAACCTTCCTAAAAAACCAAAGTATTCTGCTACGTACTAGATATTTGATTCCTCTGTTCTTATTTCCTTATCCTTTTGCAATTTAATACCGTTGAGTCTTTGTCGACTGAACCAATACAACTTTATGGAAGACTATATGTTACTGAATCGGTTTGAGAAATACAAGATGATGATGAAAGTGAGCTGAACTTCAAAAATCCCAATCAATTGATGTTAACCAAGTGGATAGAAAATAACAGAATTTCCAGGAGACCGGAAGTTGGTATAGTGGATCCGGAACTATGTCGAATGCGCACTACTGTCAACAGCTGGAAATCTAGGTGTAGATTTTATGTCTTTCGATAATCCCTCTGATACCATCACGATCAACTGTGATGAAAATCATACTACATTAGCAATCGATCTCGTGAAATCAGTGAAAACTGTATAGGAAATTCCGACCGACCTGTAATACTTCTAGTAAATCTTTTCTTTGAAATTAAAAATCTATGGGTAGTTTTAATTCTACACATTGTATTAAAACAATATTACGAACGATGCTTATATCATTGCGAAACAATACTGCCATGAAGCAAAACAGAAACATCAGCGAATATAATATCACAGTCAAGTAATTGGAGTGTGAGATAGAAAAAGTGACTGAAAATAGTCAAAGTGTATCATAATTTATACATTAGGAGAAAAAATATGATTGACTAGTGAAAATAAACATTATTATTTGGATAAGGAATTAATAGCGATACATGCGTACGTTAATTTGCATATAATTTGTCAAGAGTTGAGTAGATATTTTTATAGCTGTAGAATGATAAACAATTGAATAATCACGTAGATGAAATTGCCTGTATTGTAAATCAACTAGGCCATTGATCAAAATACTGATCAAAAGACTTAACAGTTATGTGGGGATAATATAACTGCTTTGAATGAAAAACCTGATTTCAGCTTCAATCCAACAAATAGCTCTTGAATTAAGAGTGCGCTTTTACACCAAACAAGATAAGAAATGTTACCAAGCAGCAAAAACTTGAATGCTCCAACCGTATGATAAGAATATGAAGCTTCACGAATGATTATATCGGTTTTTGGGTGCGAAACCGATTTAAACTACATTTCTTCACTCTTAAACGAAACAAACCAACCCAGTTTGCAACAACAATCGAAATTTATTCCCATTTTTACTGTCAGCCAATTGGCATCAAAATGTGACACGGCGTTATTTAAATAAGAGACTGAGTTGACGCAGCTACTATCGGCATAATAAGACACAAGACACCAAGGTGAAAAACAAATTAACAGAAAAGAGAGTAGTCAAAAGTGGTGGAAAGTAACAAAGAAAACAAGAAAGAAGGAGAAGCTAATAAAAATCCATATGACAATAGAAATGAAGATGATGTGTGGATACATCTGCATCACCTAGATGGATTTTGAGGCATTTAACCTAGTCTTCGAACACTGATTTCAACTGTCGCATCAATCGCAACCAGGAAATGTAGACTTCGCAAAACGGCTCAAATCAACAGTCAGAGACTTCATGAAATGCTGAAGCATCTCAACCCGGTCGGATCTAACTTTTCCCGCCGCCTAAAATTAATTTAACTAGGAAATTTCAGAACTTGAAGAGACCAATCAACTATTATACGCATCAAGAGTTACATATCTTCACCATCGTCCCAGTTAACATCGCACGACACGGCAAAATGTGACTGGAGGTGTGTAACACATCTCCCAACTACATGAGGCAATGAAGATTCACGACTACAAAAGTCAATTTACCACCTTCTATCTAAAACTCTACTAAGGACTTTGCCTTAATAATGAGGTGACACCATGAAACGCTATCTAAGCCATAAAGGCAACGGTAGTGGATAACATGAAGTCTCCTCTCGCCCTCTATCCATAATGGTCATATTTCACAGATATAAAGTAGAACGGAGTTGACTGCAGTATAGTGCGCCCGATTCTTGCTAGGCAGTCAGGTGTAACGGCAGTACAAGAAAGAAATGGCATAAGTTGGCGGAAGCCGAACGAGCCTTTTGCATACGTGCACCCGGGATGACCCTAATTCCTAGGTAGTTGAAGTAGTCAACGTGCTCAACCGCTACACTTTCTGTTGTCAGACAAGCAATGCACAAACGAAGATAAGTCAGGGAGTAATAATTGGCATTGGAGTAGTATGAAACAGCGATAGACAGAAAACAGCAAATTAGAATCTCGCACACAACTGTATCGGTTCAGTTAGCCACACTTCACAGTAGCATGCAAGGAACAAGAGGATGAAAAAGGATCCATATTAAAGTAGATAAAGGTATATGGGAAGATAAAGGTTACTGGAAATGTCCAAATATTCGGACAGGTCAAAGGAAGAATACATCTGCACTATCGTGATCGTTTTTCAGTCGTTATCAACAATCCTCAACCACTGATTTCTATCGTCTCGAGGGCCCCAATTAGGTAGTCTACGCATCCGAACACGACACAGACCAACTGTAAGAGACTTCATGCATTGATGCCATGTCTTAATCTGGCCGTCCTGTACCTTCTGTCAACCTAATCCAAATTCTTATGGCATTGTACATCGAGGAAGGCGGTGGCTAGACATGTGCAATACATGTCCAAGCCACATCACATCAGTCGACAAACTTGCCTATCTTGCCTAATAACCTTCCTCTAATCTCAAAATTGCCCTCATGGTGATACTATCTTACGCTAGCAATCATAATTAGACACCCGTAGCAGAAAACCTTTAGTCTTCTTATATCTTCCAGTTTCAACGATCACGTCTCAGAGTCGTATAATTGAGTAGAGCGAACTTCAGAGCAGTATACTCGCCCTACAACCACTAGTCGCATATCTCTCCGACACCACAAATGACGCAAGTCGACAAATTTTAAAGGAGCCTTCTGTATCCGAGCGGAGATCCCATCAGAAACCTACTCGTTCGGGATAATGCGACTCCCCAAATAAGTTAAATGGACGACGCATCCCACAACTTCATGTTCTATCATTAAACTGGGTGTAGTTGCAGACCAGTCGTGAAGTATCGTCTTACATTTAAGAGGTGCTAAACGTATCCCAAACGTATGCAAATTTCTGCTCACGACGTTGAGAAGACCCTGCATTTTGTCAGTGTCTTAAGCAAGCAAAAAAATATCATTTACATACTTCAAGATAACTATATGCCCAGCATAGAGTAGGTTCATCCGTGTAAAGTAACGGGTAACTAAGTTTTCTACTATAAATATGTGTCCAACAATATGAACTAGAACAATGGCAGTGGGCATCCCTGGAGGATACCACTAGTTGTCGTCAATTCGTATGATAAATCTCCGTAAGCCTTGACACGGCTACGTGATTTCTATTAGAGAATTTCGATTAGTTTTACACACTTGCTCGGAACTCCTTTCACAAAGGGTTAAATACTCCCGAAACACTTCTGATTCGACAGAATCAAGTGCCAACATCACGTCAACAAATATGGCAAGTGTTGATCATCGGTTAACATATCTGTGCTCCAAAACCTAAAGAAGTGTGACAATTTCATCGATGCACCCTCTTCCAGGTTTAAAACCTGCCCAGTTTTCTCAAGTTTGAAATTCTCGAGCTCCAGTTAGGCATCAGATAACTATGGACTTCAGGATCTTGCGCACGATATCAAACTGATTTCCCGGTCGTTGTCATAAGAAAACTCTCCCCATTCGTTATACATTAGAATGGTTAGTGAAGGAGATGAACCTGACGGAACTACCTCTGATTCCCATACACCACCTACTACCTTCGTTACTACTCCACTCAGTGATTTCCTACCGCCATCCTTGGAAACACTAGGTGGGAAACCACTAGATCGCGCTACTTTGGATGACCCGAGGCTTGAAACAGCCTTCTCAACCTCGAGATAAGCTGGAGGACCAACAACTACGTCCCATTCTAGTTTGCGTTGGATGCTGGACAACTGAAGCGTTGATGTGTGCTAGTTGAACTGTGCTTCGAAGTGTTTTGCTCAAAGTTCTAGCCATCATTCCTGAGGCTGGTGGGAAGAAACGTATTCCAAACAATTTCAACTTGTCACTCAAAGTTTCTAATATACCCTGCATCTTGTAAACGTCTTTACTTAACGGGACTATGTCATCTGCGTACTCTAGACCTACCAAGGAGTCTTCTGTGATTAGATCGATCCCTGTGATGTCAGATGACAAGAGGCAGATAGCCATAAGAACGTCCATGAAAAAATTGAACATGAATGGAGAGAGTGGATATCCTTGACGGACATCACTCGTTATGCACAACTTGGTCTCTAACACGCCCACGAATGTTCGAAGACAGAGCCTTCGATAGTGATATACTTGGTCAACACCCATTCCAATAAGAGGCTTTGCCATAAACCATCTCCATCAACGGAGTAGAATGTCACCTTCAGGTCGGGAAATACAACCATTGCCAGACGTCAGTAAGTATGCTCGTATTCCAGGACGTCACGGAGTGAACATCTAGTTGATACACCAGCGACCAGATTTGAAACTTATCTGTTTTCCTGGGGTTCGCTATTATCAAGCTTTACTAAATCCTATATACCCTTAATTTTGTCTGATGTTGCCTATAACCTTAAAATAACTTATTACTACTGTTTTTACACTGTTGCTGGCTTCTGTTTTCTCACTGCTCTGAAGGCTGAACCCTCATTGGTTGTTAGTTCTTTTAACCTAAATGTGAATTTAGTGTTGTCAAGGTCATTTAGAAATGCATATATTCCGCATCGCTCTCAACTGTCCTTGACTGTTGTTCAGGAAGTGAAAGCTCTCTATCAACAGTTCATCATCTCTTCTTGTCTTTGAATGTCAGTTGTATTGTTGTTGTGATGGTTGCCGTTCTGATTAGCGTTTAGACTCGATTCTTTGCGCATTGGGTTCGTATCGCTCATAGACCTCTAGGCTCGTAACGCTCGTAAATTGTTAGGTCATACTACTGGTCATAGCACTTAGGGGCTGAATAAGTGTACAGTCTATATCCGTCAGACTAATTCATCTGCAATCACTACAGAAGGATATCTTGTTTTCCTGGAAGACTTGGACACGTAGTGGTTGGTACTAGTCAGAAGGAATCACTGTTTTGTAGGTGTATATGAATCTAGTTTAGAGAGTAAAAACTGAATTATCAGCTACCATAGTGACAAACTGAGACTTTGAGCTTTGCACATTTAATTTCTTAATGTTAATCAAGTAGTTGGTTACGAAAAAACTTACATCAGCTAAACGTCTTTTGTCAGACAAATTCCTAATTTCTGATAAATAAGGTCGTGTAGTTTGGCACAGTTGTGTGGCTCTTTGGGCTACGTGATTGGCAGTATTTAAAACCTATACAAAATAAAGGCATAGAAACGAAATGAGAGAAAAGTAACTTTGAAAAAATGAGACATATTAAGAGACTTAAAGATGAGTGCTGGAAGCATTTCAAGATAAACTTCCACGTTTTACACAGTTATGCATTGGCAGCATTATTTAAAATAGGTTTTCAGTTTAGCAAAATTTCTTTCAAGCTGCTAAGCATGGTCATATTTGGAAGGCTCATCGTTGTAGAGCACATAACATTTACCGTTGAACTCTGTAAAATTAATGATTCGTTCAACGAAGGTTGATTTTCTAAAGCTATATTGCATTATTTTCTACTACGACTGTTTAAAGCTTAGTAGTTCATAAGAAGACAAGTGTATATCTTAACATCACTACGAAGGAAATAGTTGAATTAGGTACATACATAAAATTTAGATAGTAGAAAAAAATAGTTGAGAGCCATAAGGCAGTGTTTACTAAAATAGTTGGAACACACGTTTCATACTCTTTTCCAGAAACTATTTCAATACAAGAAATGATTAGGACAATAAGTACTGTTACTTTCTAAACTTAGTGACTAGTGATCTCAGCTACATGAAAAACTATACGCAGTCTGAGTAGAGTAGGCAAAAACAATGGGACTAAATAGGACGTTCACATTTCTATGATACACAGGAGTAGTTAGATAAACTCTGTGGCATAGAGAGTTAAATTTGAGAAACAGAAAACATGTAGTGAAATTCAAAGTACATGTTTGTGTACTAGGCTATGAGCCACATTCATTGCTTTAAGATTTTTCATACTACTAAGTTTATCAGGTCGAAAGAAGTTGAGTGAGATTCGAACCAATAAACTTATTGTTTGAAAGTTAAGTGCTTCAGTCATCGGGCCGCATCTTAAGAAAACTTCAACTTCTAAAATACTGAAGCCTAGTTCAGAGTGCCAAAAGCGTAAACTTAATTGATTTGAAAAATCACTTTGAAAGAAGACTCTTGTGAAGCACAGTGGTCAGAGATAACTAAATGCTCAAGAATCGACCTGTTGATGGCTTCACATTATCCTTTAGGCAGCTATGCAGGATAATGTTCGTAGATGCATTCCAATAGAACAAGCATTGTACAGCCTATTTAACCAGCTGCACTAGAGCAAATGAATTGGTAAACTCCCGTTCCATGTAGCCCAATGCAGTAGTTCATCCTTTACACACCCTTGAGTTAGTTGCTGACTGGAGAAAACAATTTGAAGCTGAGCGGAGAAACAGGTCTTCTTCAGTGCTTTTCATAGTCGATTTTTCCCTATCTCTGCCAAGTTATCTCCTCTGAATCCAATATTCATGAAAAGCGTCTTCTCTGGAACCGTAGGGGATGATGCAGAAAATGAAAAGCTTGAGGTACTTAGAAGAGTGTTAGTTGAGAATGAGAGGAACATGAGGTCTTAGAATTTCAAAGAAGCTACAGACGGTTTCAAAGAAGACGCTTTTCATGAATATTGGATTCAGAGGAGATAACTTGGCAGAGATAGAGAAAAATCGACTATGAAAAGCACTGAAGAAGACCTGTTTCTCCGCTCAGCTTCAAATTGTTTTCTCCAGTCAGCAACTAACTCAAGGGTGTGTAAAGGATGAACTACTGCATTGGGCTACATGGAACGGGAGTTTACCAATTCATTTGCTCTAGTGTAGCTGGTTATATAGGCCGTACGATGCTTGTTCTATTCGAATGCATCTCCGAACACTATCGTGCATGGTTGTCTAAAGGTCAGTGTAAATTTGTACAAAAAGTTGGAGCGTAAAGTTGATATAGTCCAGTTATTCATATCTGATCTCACATTTTGAAACTAACCGACTTGAAGACTGAGAACGTCTGAATTCGATGATTAGTTTTCAAACACCAGTGAGTTAAACTGTATCATCAGGTGTAAGTTGGTTACTTTTCACTACTCAAATCGACTGAGAAGAATATCTTTAGATGTACACCTAAAGTCCGATTCATGGGAGTAGAAATGATTAACTAGTCAATGGTAGGTGGTAAACTTAGTAAAATAACCAAATCCTTGATAGAAATTCATTCTACACAACGAGGATCTAATCGAATGATTACTTAGGTCTCATTGCTAAATCGATTTATTTCTGATCAGTTAGATGGTCAACAATGGCAGTCAGTTTTACGTCTATCGTTGGACAGTATAAATAATTAAGAAAATGTGTATATGCACATAAAAAATCATCTCAGTTTTAGCAAACTTACTTCTAAAGATGGTAATCCATCGGTTGTTGCTTCAACATGAGATCGAGATATTTCAGTGACACCTCTACGGATAGCCGCCACATGATCATGTATAGTGGTTAGTTGATCGGGTGAATGAAATCGACTCACATGACCTGGTCGTGAAGCTGGATGAGCTGCAGCAATTAAATAGGCAGCTTGATAAGTTACTTGTACTAACTGATTGGCAACTTGTGCTAAACCTTTAATGCATTGTATAAATAATGCAGCTTTATTTTCAGATATGGATGATGGAATCACATTTAAATGCCCATTGAATTCCTGAATTGATGAAAAAGAAAATGAACAATATTATGTCCTGTTCAAGTGGCACAATATTCAGAATAGTAGACAACAATAATAATCTGAAAGGTACTCGACTCCGAATTTTGCTTATTTCACAAGCGAATGATAATTCGAAATTGAACTTTCAAATGGTTTTCGGTATGTTTAACAGGCTATTTTGCTGAGTCATAAGTTAAACCTAATGACTTTCAAATAAAGTTTATGAATTGGTTACCAGAAGTTAACCAAAGTAGCTGTCAGGTGCTTAGTGTCAATCAAAGTGTATCAATCAAGTTTGCAATGTGACCAATAATCTTAAGGACAAGACAAGTCTATGCACTACGTCACATCAGATGTACAGTATCAAGTGGTGGGAAGTACTAAACCCAAATTTCGTATATGTTATCACTAATCAACGAGATGAAACCGAAATCTTGACGTAAATTATGTTCAAACAAAAATTGTTTTTAAACTGTATACTTTTCTTTGCATTTTCTAAGCCACACATATTAGATTTTAACGCTTTTCTGAACTTGGATCTAGTGAGATTACACTTTGTTCCTCAGGTGTTCGATTATCATTATCGATACCATTGTCAATCCCGTTAATACGAAAGAAATGTTTGAAATTTCCAAAAAAGGACTAACTTAAACGACACACAAAATGCAAGTGAGTTCCTAGCGGACTCATCTTTAAAAGATCATGCTTCATAGCTAACTTGCTAGTGGTCAAAACGTTTTACACTACTCATTTCATAATGTGCTGAAGATATTTTCAGATATTTTGTGTTAACATGTAAACCTGAGTTGTTTACATAACAGTAAAAGATAATAGCATCTAAGAAACAATGATTCTAATTTACCACTCTTTTAATATTCAGAAGTATATGGACATAATATTTCATGTGACAGCACAAAAGAAACACATTCACCACGAAACGCGTTCTCCTAGTGTCTGCTTAGAAACTAGGAGCTAACGCAACTTTCAACTGCTGGAAGATCAGTAGACGTCAAAAGATCGATAATACAGTGTATCGTTAAGTAAAACTAACTTTGGCAGACAAGTTTCAAAAAGCAAACAGTACAAAAACTGATTAAAACATACAGATGTAAACTAATGCTTGATACTTATACAACAGATAAAATAGCTTCAATGGGAAAGCATATTTGTCTAATAAATAAAAATATTTTGACAACACGATACTTTCAGATACTACTGACCATTCGGTGAATTAACTTAATAATTTTAAGAAAAACCTATAAATAAATATGAATCTAGATTATAATGTGACTACCTAGACAGGCAGCTATTAGGCTTACACTATGGGCATGCACGTTTGCTGAAGGAATGGATGAAATGAATACTTAATTACAAAGTCTATACGTGTTTGGTCTCACGTCTGCATTATGATCAACAAAATACTGTCGTCCAATTTTTACCACTGGAAATAACTATTAGTTACTAACAGTTTATTAACAGCGTATATTTCCATTAGGAAATAAAAAACAACTTGAAAGGAAGTAAGATAGGTTTCCTGTGCAAATTTTTGCTCCAGGACTGGTCTTCAGCGGTACCGCGGTTAACAATAGAGAGTGAAGTGGTTGAGTGTGTTGACCACTTCACTTACCTGGGAAGTAGGATCAATCCCGGTTGGTTAGTTGCCGATGAGATTTCTGCACGGATACAAAAGGCTCGATTGGCTTTTGCCAATTTACGCCACCTATGGCGCCGCCGTGATACTCGTTTGTCTATTAAGGGTCACGTGTACTGCACATCAGTCCGCTCTCTTCTACTGTATGGCTGTGAAACATGGCCATTGAAAGTGGAGGATACAAAAAGGCTTCAGGTGTTTGATCACCGTTGCCTTCGTAGTATAGGACGTATTCCGTGGTGTCACCATGTGAGTAATGCAGAAGTTAGGTGTAGAGTTTTGGGGAGAAGAGGTAAGTCAGTTGACGAGGTTGTGAACCTTCATCGACTGAGATGGTTGGGACACGTACTACGTATGCCTAGTCACCGATTGCTTCGTCACACAATGTTGGCTGAGGTGGGTCCAGGCTGGAAAAAGGCCCGAGGTGGACAGACTAAAACATGGCACCAATGTATGAAGTCTCTGACTGTTGGTTTAAGCCATGTAGGACGATGCAGACTAGGTGGTTAGGGTCGGCGGGACAAGAGGAACCAGTGGTTGGAGACCCTAGGTGATATGGCTCAGAACCGATGTCAGTGGCGCAGATGTATACACACATTATCCTCGTCTTAACAACGCTATACCGAATCTCACCATTTTGTCACTCCTCTTTCTTTTCTTTTCGTACTTTATATTTCTTTTGACTGCATTCACTTATCTTCATCCTTCGCCTCACTACCTTTTTACTTGATGTGCTGATATGAGGTGTGGCAACTCGGACCGTTACGCAGTAATGCTTGGTCCTATGTTGATAATGATAATGATGTTTCATGTGCTGCAGAAGGTAACAATTTAAACTTACGAGCTACAGTACTTTATTAAATAAGGCTTTCAAAGACAAATACTGTGAAATATCATCGTTTCTTAGTTCTTGAATTATCGCGTTACAAATTATATGGTTCGCAATAATAAAGTCATTCGACAGTATTTCAAATTATATGAAATAAAAGGACATATAAATAACGAATCATAATAATAAGTTTAAAGAAGACGGACGGTCAAATCCATGAATCTTTATGATAGTTTATCGATGCTAATTACCATTTCTCAATCACTTTAGATGATGTCTGTCTTTTCACAGTGTCGGTAACCAAAATACCTCAGATTAATCACATCCACTCACAATAACTGTGTTTAAAATTAATGAATTTGACCTTTTTTTCCCCATGAGCTTATTAACCTGATATAATGGTTGATTGTTAAAGTGTCCTTTTGTTCCATATAATTTATAACATGATCAAGTACTTTATTCAATGACAAATGAATGAAGACTATTATTTTGAACAATTTATTTTCGAATGCTGCGGTCATAAAATAAAAATTTTCACGATATTGTCTTTTAATTCACTACATGAAAATCTTTACGGAAATACGGAAACGGCGACCAGCTTTAACCTTGGACTACCAAAATTTGTCACCGGATGTATATATCAGTTTTTTCCCTTCAATTTGTTTTAATTATTTAAATATGTCCACTGAATGCATCATGTACTCTTGCACATTTTTAAAATGTTTTCAACTCACAGTTTCTCAAGTTAATAACTGAGCAGAGAAAAAATATCACTTTATATGGAAGTGCGCAAAAGTACATTATATTTCTATTCCTCGCATACTTAGCTTCAGTTGCAGATTCTTGAACTGGCTGAATAAACCTCCACCACCAAACTTACGCTCATGCTTTTGTTGATTCTTCATTCCAGATCGGACGCTAATCAAAACCCAGTTTGCTGTTTGACATTATTGCCTTGAATACTGTTATTATTAACATCATTCAAGTGCAATAACCATTTCGTCTGAAAATATTGTTCTGAGAGCGACTTTGTTAAAAAAAATTACATGCTGAGAATTTCATACTGTATCATACATATTGTCTGGAATAAGGCGATTATTACTATCATCATTAATATTTAGATGCTTAAAAAACTTTATTATTGTATAAAAATGCAAATTGTAACGCAGTAATGTAGAATCTAAGAAGAGACAATCACGTCACAATATCTGTCTTCTAAAAGTCTAATTTGAACTAAATTGTGTGTTTACTTGCTGATAAAATTAGTTTAAAATATCCAGTATGGTTTTTATATATGATGTCATAAAATCTAGTGATTCGATGACATCAAGAAATGGAAGGAAATCTTGGAACGACACTCCCTTTTATACATCGAATAATAAGACAAAAGAGCACCTACAGTGGAGACAAAACTGGCTGCATTCGCACTTCACAACTATTTATTTCTCAATTTCAAAATATAAAACACTGAAGTAAGATAATAACTGCAAACAAGTTTGTGCGCTTCACTACTGGATAAAGATAGTAACTAGCAAGCAGGGTTGGTGATGAATTCCATTATAAAATAAGATACCACTCATCATGAAAGGATTTGTCTAAGTAATAATACTGTATATGTCTTACCTTATCTATATCACACACCATATCACAACACTGAGGATAATTCAAATCATTGATTGGTAAGAGGATAGGACAAAATGTGCTATTGCCCTCAGATGACTGTTCAGCCTTTCTAGTATTATTTACTCTATCATCATTGTATACATTTGGATTCATGATAGCATCCAATCGACGAAGTGATACATCACACTGATTATGCATATGCATAAATATTTCACGTAATTTATCATTATCATTTTTGTCGTCATTATGATCTAATTCATTTGGTTGCTGGCCAGTTTGAGGAGAGTCAATAGGAGATGAAAGTGTTTGCTCTCTACACGATACAGCTTTTTGATCTAATTCAAGTGCCCAATCTCTTAATTTTCTAAAAGGAAATATATAAAATGAATGCATACAAACACAATCAGAAGTTAAATAGTTGTACTTAAAGTGATATAATATAGGTAATCTCTCTCTACCTAATAACCAAGTTGCATTATGGTAATAGATGAAATAAATAAACCTCCCAAAACTTCCAAATTGAAGAATTCTATAGCTCATTGGTGAAATGATTCTTGAAGTTCTAATAAGAAGTCGTGATTGGTGGGGCAAAACCAAGTTGGAAATGAGGTCAGATACTCAATGACGGCATCGGAAAGAGGTCGTGCTGTATAGTGAAATGACAGAAGTAGGAAATAAGGACCATTGGATTCCTACCCAGAGGCACAATGGTGACGTGCTGTCCGCGGAAATTAAAGGTTCTAGGTTCAATCCCTGGTGGGGTCAAGACAGTGTACTGCTGAAGAGTCCCATATTAGGACGAAACAACAGTCGATGCTACCAAGTTTCCAATATTTCTCAAACAGATGTCAGTCCATGATGAATACGAAACTGAAACCTTTTAAAACAAACTTACACGAATATAGTGTTTCATCATCAGACAAACATGAGGTAGAATAACTTGATTTTTTCAAACCTTTTGATTAAAGACGAATTCTAATCACCGGTTCAAATAGATAATAAAAACACTTGGACAGCAATACATAAATGTGGAGAATCAACCTTTTAACGAAGAGGAATGCGAAGGTAATCAGTAAGCGGAAAAAAATAAGCCAGCAGAAGACTATAAAAATTATGAAAACAAAAAAAAGACCCACTAAAAAATGAGTTTATGTCACATTTAGTTATATCGTTTTTGACCTCCAGTTACTGATTTCAAATGATTTAAACATTAAAAGCTCAACAAAGTTACAATTTATTTTTACAATGTTCGAAATAATAGTCAGTGATTTTAAAAATTAGTACAGTATCTTGGAAAAGTTACGGTATATCAAGCTACAGTTTTAGCAATAACCAATCAGAAGAATTTAAGTGCACTTCTAAAACAGAGAATACTAGCATATTGAGAAACAGTTTTTAACGACCTCAAATCTAAATAAAATGAGGAGTACAATAATCCTGATTAACAGGATAAGAATGTGAAAGCAAATCAAATGAATAATAGAAGTCAACTAAAAAATTGATGCTTAAACATTGTCGAAAAAAGTTAGGACTCCTTGTAGCGCTTACACTTAACGAAGAGTTAAAGAAAAGCACCCTCTCAGCACTGAATGAATACTAGGTTTTCATCACTTTTACTAACTACCTCGAGGTCAACGTCAGGAGTCGGAAGGTCAACAGCTTAAAGCAAATGCAAACTACAAGTCAGATTTCCTAGACTTTGTGATGATATTAAAATCTACAGGTCAACGTAATAGTTTCACGACATCTAATTCACCGTAACGCTATTTATAAGGTCGTCTCTAAACAATTGTTTCTAACATCTGGAGGACTATATATTGAGTGAATTGACCTTGATAAATAACCAATGACATCATGGATTAATGTCATATTTTGGCTTCGGCGCAGTTATATTTATTACAACACAATCTTGCTGCTGTTACCGTTGGGTAGTATTTTGATATGCGTAATAAATGATTTAACTAACTCCACCAGTGTAAGTTGAAAACCTCATCGACATACTCAAAATTGTAGAAAGAAAACTTTAAACTGAATCGATAAAAGTTATACTACTGTGATAAATTTTCTTCAAAATATCACGTAGAACTGATGTTACGAAAATGTTCAGTCTTTATAATCGACTGGAACATATATTATGTGTAAAAGTTATTTGAGTCAGTCGCTGCACATACATTTAACTTAGCTGTACATCTATCTGAAATTTTCTAAGAAATACTACAACTTGTTTCTGAATATATATTAATATTATTATACATTAGCTGAATAACATAAAAGTAAAGAAATGTATGAGCATAAATCAGTCTAGAGCTGAGTAACCAGATAACAATTTAAAGCCGTAAGTTGATAAATTCACATGGAAATGAACAGGAGTTACGTAATAATTACCACATTTAACAATGACGAAGACTCTGAATAGTGAACCATAAGGTTTACTCATAAAAAGTGTGCTAAGTACCATAATATTTACAGTATGACTCAGTTGTTTGGAGCCAATTGCAGGAAACCCTGAACCTAGCTTTCATGCTTGCTGGCACTTGTCAGCAAGGTTTATCTGCAAACTCGAACCCATGTCACCCAATGTTGTAGTCAGTGACATTACCACGGAGCTAATAGGGCTGAGATCGACCTCACATAAGACTGAGATACATTGATTGGTCACCAGAGAGCGACCGATTTCATACTGTTGGGTCATGAGTGCTGGCCGAGATCTATCGATCATTTTGTAGTTCGGCCATCAAGTAAATAGCCAATATTCATCAAAGTTCAGCACACAGGTAAATTTCCAGTCAATGCACAGAATAACTTCGCTTCAAATCAAGCTTAACTGTGACAGTTTAGTCAATAGTCAAGCAAACGTTTTTTTTCGTGCAGCTCTTACAGATTTTTATTCAAATGATATTATTTTTTTAGCATGATTGTATTTTCTAATTCATATGACAACCAGATATTCCAACCAATTAATGAACTGGAATTGAGATCTGTCTGAAAAAAGATCTACAGTCTGACTTGAAGAGCGATGAACAACCAATCATCAAGGCTCTAGTTCGAGTCTCGCTATAGTTCCAAACTAACTCAACTTTTATTCAGTATTCCCATATGATAACAATTTAATAACCCTAATAATCCATATTAAGCTCCTGATGGAACTCTGCTGGCGTGAAGCACAAGAAAGAATCAGATATATAGCAGCCTCCGACGGCATTTAAATTTGATTTTATGGCAATTTTGAGTAAAAGGTTGTTTTCTTAGCAAATAAACATCTTAAAAGCAACCAAATTAATAGGACACATTACAGCAACAAGAAAACGTTTTAAATGCACTTAAAAGTTTACTACTTACAATATTGCCTTTCCTAGAGCTAAATTCGATGATGGTATTGCGGAGACATTATTACTACCAGTTATTTCATTTTGACCAGATTCTAAAGTCCTCATTGCTTGTTGTAAACCGAAAGCAACAGGTTCAGCAGCTTGATTAAAATTAGTTAATAAATGACCAATAGAACGTATCTGTGCACTACGATAACCAGCTGCACGAACGACGTCGGCTAAAGCACTTGTCAGTCGATCAGCTACACAGGCTAATAAAATTAGATTACTGTGAGAACCAAAAGAATCAGTTTTTGATGGTTTCATTTGTCCAGAAATTTCGTAGCTAGCACTTAAACAAGCCTTAATTTTGAAAGAAAAACAATCCAAAACAGGTATTAAAAACAGAAAAGGGAAAACACAATGTGACAAAGAAATAAAATTGAAAGCAGTATACATATTCACACTGATCACTACAAGCAACTAAAGGATAAGTCAATCACAAAACACCGATCATTTTTATACTCAGTCAACAAGCCTTTATAAGGTAATCACCATTCTATTTAGTTTTGGATGGTAGGAAAAAAAATGAAAAAGGTTCTAATCCATGCAGAGCAGCCACTTACTCACAAAGCATAGCCGTGGGAATTGTGACCTTGATGAAAAAGAAACTAGATAGAAAATGATCGTTCTCAAAACCTTAAAAACTCCTGTCCTCTGGGTTTCGATGGGTACAAATCGTAAACTGAGGTGCACCTGTCGGCCAACTTCAATAAATAACTAATGAATAACTGATCTACACTAATATAGTTATAAACAGAATGTATTTCCAATATCTCATATTTCGTGCTACAGAAAACTAAATGAATCATTGAAAGAGAGCTAATAATGGATATCATAACAAAATCCGCCCTAAAAAAGTTCTGGTACTGGAATTAAAACAAGTTAGTGGGTAAATGAAGTGTATCAAATATCACGATTCTGGTTTATATCTTCCTCAAAGATGTCGACTAATAATTCTTGTCAACCCCTTCAAAAATAGCAAGTTCGACACAAGCACTGAAGTCTTAAAGTCTCAGTGTTCCAAAAATGAACGTGTAAACTGCTAGAATGCTTCAGATCCGGATTAGCACACTTTCTGTCGTTTCTTAGCTGATAATGTAGTTACAATTAGTGTATTAGAGACAGAAGAGTAGATCACTTCAACTTGTAGCAATCAACAGTCACAATAACAACAGATATCGGTGAGTAACATAATACTAAGAATTCAAAACTTCTCACATGCGACAACTATGATCAAATGAAGTAACCGTTAACAATAACTTCATAACAGTACGAAGAAAAGATTTCAGATTTTATAGTTCGAAAACTGCATTGTTACTACTCAAATGGATCATATCTATGGGTTAGAAGAAAACAATCGATATTATGACGATTAGGGGATTCCGTTCATCACAAAAGAAATTCTCTAGCAGCCAAATTCTAGTAATCTATTATTTAAGATAACAATAAATAGTAGAACAATTTCACCCATTTAATGTTTTGAAGTTGATTTGAGTGTAAATTCGTATATTAGGAGACTTAATGTTCATGAAAATTATGACTTAGGATGTATTTCTTAGTCGCTTTTATATCAATATCAATTTGATAGTATGAACTGTACAGCTAATGGATTTTATCAAGGCAGAAGTCAAATATGAAGGTTGACTAGCCAGATCATTAAAAGTAGTGAGTAGCTATTGAGTTCAAAATCGAAATTAATTCCTAGTTCAAACTGATAAATCACCGTATACAAGAACGTGATAACTAAGGGTCAACTAACAACATGAATTCATATGTCCAATATTCACTTACACGAGCAAGTTGTTTAGCTGCCTCACTCATTTGTTCATAAATATCCACAACTGGAAGATTTGATGAACGCATAGGAATAGCTGGTGGTGATTCTGGTATATCATTCTGATCAATATGATTTCGATAAGCATTGCCTGATTCAGATACCTCGTTAACAGACACTTCTACTAATCTACAAGCATCTTGAAGTAGAGCAAATAAACGTCGTATTGAAACTTCTCCAGGAATATAACCCAATACTGCATTAATTGAGGTGTTCAACTAATTACAATTACAGATAGAAAAATAGACATAAGTCAAAATTATGATCTAAATTATTCGAACGAAACAGCCAACACTGGTAGCAATTACAATAAAGTGTACGAAAATGACTAGATTACTGTCAGGATATACATGAAGAAAATACAGGATGTACGTAAAGCATGGGATAGAAATCAAAAAAATTGAACATTATGCTTAAAATAAAATGCGAGTATTGTTACACATTGTAATCTCACTATATTTGCTTCATTTGATACACCACATAGTGATAAAGTATTACCTAATTGATATTTCAAGCACAAATTATTGGTCATGATTACATAACTCAAACTTCGAACATTGCACGCTTTTGTTCCTAATAGTAGAAACCTATCTCTGTGATGGGAGATGAAAGTCCATGCCCGTCTCATGAACTGCAGCAAGTTTTAGTAAGATCATGTACTTCAATGACTTGGCAAGTGAATTATATAATACCATATCCCATTTTGTAAACTTTCAAGAATTATCAATTTGACGGTGCTTGTAAACTGGTATGTCTCATGTTAAATCCTTTATATGAAAATAAGAATTATTATCTTCACTTTAACACTCTTGTTTGTCCCATAACCAGCTGGATCTTCTGATGGTTTTGATCGAGTTTAATGACCTCTCTCTCTTCTACTATTCAGGACCCGTAAAATCTTGTTGAATTTTCAACATATATCAATGTGATGATACCTGTAAACTGGCTTCTCTCATATTAACTTACTAATGTGAGAATAAAATATTAAGAAGTAGTATTCATCATGGACTGACATCAGTTGGGGAACCACTGAAAATCTGGGAGCACTGGACAGCAGTTTCATCCTAGTGCAGGACTTCTCAGCAGTACGCACCCATGGCCTGGCTAGAGGTCGAACTCAGGACCTTCGGGTTTCACGGCGAACGCATTAACCATTCAGCCACTGGGTCGGTTTCCAGTGTTCACAATTTCCAACTTCTGTCAATTCACGACACAGCGCGACTGTCACCCAAGGTCTTCCTTCAGTTAGCATCCACTTCATTTCTCACTGGTTGACCCCACAGGTCATGGCTTCTCATTAGAGCTTCCTGATATCCATCTGGATATCCCTAGTCGGGTCGTGGGTGCGTACTGCTGAGAAGTCCTGCACTAGGACGAACCAGCTGTCCAGTGCTCCCAGATTTTCAATGGTTCCCTAACTGATGTCAGTCCATGATGAATACTACTTCTAAATTAAAAAATCCCCATTCATCTCAAAAATTCAATAAAATATTTGTTTATTTGTTGCTGTTGTCAAAATCAAACTAAATGACCCTGTTTACTATATCGAATAAAGAAATCTGATATGAGAAAAATAAACAAAGTGAGAGGATTCAATAAATTTAACGGTACATAGATGTTGCTATGAGAGAAAGTAATCATGTAAAAAGAGAGCGTCAATAAAGAAACGGAAACGTACTATCATTCCATAGTGGTTTTCATTTGCCCAGAATACAGGACAAACTGTCCATCACTACCTTGTAGCCACACTTCATATCAGCATACCAAAGTGGAATCAGTAACACAGAAGGCAGACAAATAGGAACAATAGCATCAACAGTGATAACTTGAAGAGAGAATAGAAGATGAAGAACAATAACATGGCTGAAAGTTGAAAGTTAGGCGATGAGTGTTCACGTATTACTATGATCCATTCCAAGACACAAATTGGCAAGCTACGAACTCCACTTGTCTCGTTGACCTAAAGAAACTTGTAGTTGTTCACAAGATTACCCTCATACTATGAAGATCTTACGGGAGATGCGTAACACAAGATGTGTTGCTTTTAGGACTAATCTTTGAAACTCTTCAGAAATATCACTAAAGAAGCGGGTCATAAATGCTCAGCACCTTGGTAATAAAAGAAATACATTCACGCCAATAAACTAGAAAGGTGAATGTCGTTGGGAGAGGAAAATTTTAGTTAGCAAGAATAGGAGATTGTCATTCTGTCTTAAACGGCCATTAGATTCAGGAACCTATTTCCTTGCTCATACAAGTGCTTGATAACTAAAATTCATGAGAATTAATATACTACAGACATAGAAGTAGTATTCACCATGGACTAACATAAGTTGGGGGACCACTGAAAATCTAGGAGCACTGGACAGCTGTTTCGTCCTAGAATGATACTCCTCAGCATACTGCTGAGGGGAGAAGTTGATGCCCACTGAAGACTTTGGGTGACAGTCGTGATATATTGTGAATTTACAGCAATTGTAAACTGTGAACCACTGAACTCCCACTCAGTGGCTGAATGGCTAACATGTTCGCCGTGAAACCAGAAGATCCAGAGTTCACTCCCTAGCCGCGTCATGGGTGCGTACTGCTGAGGAGTCCCATGATAGGACAAAACAGCTGTCCAGAGCTCCCAGGTTTTCAATGGTTCCCCAACTGATGTCAGTTCATAATGAACACTATCTCTAAATTAAAGTCCCCATTCGTCTCGAAAATATAAATATGTTTATAATGAATTTCTAAACACAATGATTAGTTCTTAATTTCCATTGCCTTTTTATGTGTTAGGGGTAATATGTTTGAATATGGGTTCAGTCTACAATCTTTCTTTGAATTTGGTCATACTGGACTACAAAATGAAAGCAGTGTCCCAATCAGCATTATGTTTTTCATCTCACTGATGAGCCGAGAACGATGAATATATTTTCAAAATTTCTACAATAATTTACTCCTGTAAACTGACCTTTGGTTAACCGCCGATCTTTATTGCAGATAAATTTTTTATACAGACGTATATATTTCTGTCAGTTAACGATCTCAAGGACTTGTAAAGGCAGGAAACTAAGTGCCTGAACATAACAGTAGTCCAACGTAAAACAACACTCTCTTATTGTTGTTAGTTAAATTGATAAATAAACTGATTCACTTCATGATGCACAAACTTTGTATGGATAATAATTAATGGGAATACTTGCCGGTTCGTTCTCTGATAATATACTTATGCTTTCTATATTACAGTGGCCGTAATCTTGACTTTTATCACTGTTATAACACTTCTTCAAGTGTTACCTGAATCAACAGTAACAGATTACGATAAAATTGAAATTATTTCCTAAAAAAAACCTAGGTACCAGAACCACAAGCTAAACACTTTCCTATCATAGAAAAAAACTCATTTTAAAGTATGTACATCAAATATGCTAAAGTAGGTTTATTTACGAATCCATTATGAAAAGAATTCTAATTGTTAACACAAGTACTAGTTATTTCTACACTAAAAATAGACATATAAAGTTTACTATTATATCCTACAAGCAGTTCACTACCAATTATCAGATAGTGACCTGATTTTAATAAATAAACACATAAGGATTTATCGACAAATATAGGTGTACATAGAGAATATCAGGAATACACTGACAGATATACACACATAAGTATATATGCGTTCGTTAAAGACAAAATAAACAGTTACAAGTTTTATTGCTTTGACACTCTAAAGCTATGCAATGTTCACACAAACAGATGAAGATAATCTGAAGAAGGTACAGTAACATTTTCACCGTACACAGATACAAGTGCATTTATTGGCTAATACTGTTTCTGTTTGATAACTTCAAAAGATTATCAGCACTATGAATTTCGTCTAAATTAGTCTTTACTTCACGATAAAAACGGTTACACACGTCAGAGTAAAGTTTTCAGTGAAGATAAATTATATTGTGCCTCACTTCACCATTGACATCTTCAGCTGATATCAATAAAATGGTAAGATTCTTCTTAGATAAACAATATGAACACAATAAGCATTACTGCACATTCTGCTGTACAGAATTACTAATAAGCTAACTAATTCGAAACGGGAGGAGAAAAATGTGTTGAATAAAATGGGTATACATCAATAGTTGCAAACAAGTCCACACATTAGGATAGTGTGAAACCCAATGAGGAAACACGGCAAGGCTCGTGTTCACGATCCAATGACTTTAAGCCAGATACTTGAGCATTACGGATATTAATGATCAGTCCCAGGTTCGAAACTCGGTGGGAACAACACCACTCATTGGGAGGCAGGTGCATGCAGTTGAAGAGTCATAAATAGGAGGAAATACGTATCCCAGATTCCACTGTTAGTCACTATCCATCATTGCTACATAATTAAAAACACAGGCAATATCGAGGCATCCACGCAAGAGCCAATAGAGACCAATCAATTCGGTCCAATCAACGATAATAAAATACAAGTAATAACACTAAGGATATTAGCTTAGTATGAACGTTCAACATAATTAAATTTTAAGCATTATAAAAACGCAAGAGTAGACTAAACAACCTCAGTAATATTACCTGGTCAGCAATGACAGCGGCTTCTTGTAGTTCATCATCCGGTATAGTTTGTGACTCATTTTTAAAAGCCCATGTAATAAACTGACTTGAGGCTACAAGGCACGTTTCAGCAATTGACATTAAATTCTGATGCATTACATCTGCTGTCACTTGAGTCTGTTGTTCTCCATTGGACATGCTTAAGTTGTGATCCATGACATTTGAGCAACCTGATATACTGCTATGTCGCTTTGATGCAACACCATGTGAAACATTGATTACACGAGCTAAATCTAAAAGGAAATGATAAGAGAAAAGTAAAAAGTTAAATATCTCAGGCTTGAATAACTGATATGCCAACAGAAAATCGTAAAATATTCAAGTCAGATAGCGATAAAGGTTATCTGTGAGGGGTTAATGAATGTTACCTATATGATAACTATCACAAGAAGCTGAATATTTTGTGACTGCGAGAAATGGAGAATAAATCGAGACTGTTTACATCGAAATTCAACGTGTTTGAATGAAGAGCATTTACAGTTTTATCTTTTCATACAAAAGGTATATGGATCCCAATTCTAATAATCGTAATTGACTACAGCTAGGTTCAACCCTGCAAAATAGCACACTGGTCCAAATTGATACATTTTACAACACAGTGCGAACAAATCAATAATAGAAGAGAGAGGTGCATATGAAAACTGAGTTCTAACGAACAATGAGTCACTTTATACTGGTAGTAAGAAAAACAAATAAATATGTTACTAGATGATGATTGAAATTAAAATTAAACTTCGAGCCATGGGGGGATTCGAACTAGTGGCCACATGGGATTCTAGCTGAGTTATTAGAGCAATGGGACCCGACTGTCGACCAGATTTTTACTTTACTTTAAAACTAGTTTGCCAAACCACAGTTATCTCAGGTGATCTAAACGATAAGCAAATATGCGTAAATGTGACTTAATCATTTAACTTGAAATTTACAACTTGAGAATGACAAACTGAAACCCTCACGACCCCTGCCCCCGAGCGAACACAGTAAAAGGTAACCGAAATTAACTTCGAAGATGGATGCCCACGCTTGGTGAAGTGAAAATTTCACCTCCTTATGAATAATATCACATATCCATATGGGAGTTTGAAACACACAAAACGAATATTTCACTTACTTCACCTTTACAATTTCACTGAGTGAATAGTAACCTATAATGTGCGTCAGTGCATATAAGCACCTTCATATAGTTGTGAATCCTACTTCGTACATAGAAAGGGAGAACTTCCTGCACAAAAAGATGTTCTATGTGAAAATAATCAAAACTGCAACTTGACTTTCATCCACCTGATTATCAACTATTCACAAGGAGAAACGTAAAATTTGTTCCCATGTCCGTGCGCTGCGTTATATTACTATACACTAAGAAGACCGTGATGAGTTTTCATATTTGACCTTGAGAGAAAAAGGCAGGCAAAAACACACAAACATACATCAACAAAGAATGATAAAAGGTCAAAATATTGACGAACTTACTAGAATCAACTGCAGTCGATTGGGCAACAATGTTAAAATATCTAGCTAGACTACGTATGCCGCGCAGTACAGGTCCAAGATAATACAACAATTCCTGTACTATATTCAACCTTGACTGTATCACCTTCTTCACGTTGCCATCATTATCACATGTTTGTTTAATACGTTCAATTAGTGGTGGTAGTTTATCCCAGAGTTGTTCCAAATCATTACACGATGATTCCATATAATTTCCATTAGCATCTGGTAGGGTAAATACTTTATTGTAATCCGTAATTGCAGACCATAACAAGACACAAATGGAATCGAGCTAACATATGAGAAGAGAATAAAGCATAAGAAAAGAAATAAGAAAATGAAAATAATTATTACAATGAAAAATTGACACATGCTATTTTTATGATTATTTGACAATGGAAGAATAAACGTCGTAATTCAAGAAACAGTAAAAAGTAGCTGGTTGTTTTGAATGGTAGTTCGACCCGAAAAATATCGGACTTGAAAACGAAGCTTATCGAGATTCCCCTTCAATCTAATTTGATACCATTAAGGAGAAGGCAAATTGTGTAATAAAATGGTGAGACAATCCAGATACTGAAAGTTTTGAAAACAGTGAAGTTTTTTTTCGCTTTCTTCCCTTCTACAAAAATGTAACCAATATTGAGACAGTAAAAACGTGTCTTTCGGTTTCTCTTGCACAATAAGCCAAAGAGATAGGATAGATACGGTTAGGTTAGTAAACTCAGTTGGTAGATTGCCAATTAACCAACCAGGAGGTGACTGGTTCGAATTATACAGTAACTTAAGTTTCGCTTTAACTTCAAACAATACCCAGAAGGTTCCTATCGAATTTGGTGCGTTTCATCAAATCAAGTTAATGTAAAAATGGCACTTTCAAAAGAGACAGATAGGCAAGATCAACATGAGATCAGGTATCCATGAGTAAACTTCCAAGTTGCCATACGTCATACCACCACACCAAGGGAGAAACCATTGAGATGAAAAATAAGGAAATAGAAAAGAGGGCAGGGAAACTGGTATTTTCAAACCATAACCGTATTCTTTTTCCGAATGAAGTAACACTGAATATCCACAGGAATTTTAATAACACCAGAATGAATCAGACACAGTTGAATGTATGTGGGTCACCTATTTATAAAACTTCTTGAAGACCAATAGCTAGGTTAATTATGATTCAGTGAAAGATATTTCCATGAAAAGCTACAATGACGCATCATCCGCGTTCATTTTAGTATCACGCAGCATGCGACAGCTTTTCTGTTCTAGTTCAGAAGTCATCAGGCGACTGAAACTATAATGAAACAACTTTCCATTGACCTTAAATATATATGTATGGTTTACCATGCTAGAACACGCATGAGAATAACAGTAGTAAAGAAACTTACTGTTTCATTTGGAAGTAAATGATAAGATGCATCGGAAAGTTCTGTTCTCAACTGTTCGACAGTTGCTGAGATTTTCGCTAACTCATTTGTTTCCACATCGCTCACATGATAATTTGATTTATTCATTCCATTCTGTGATTTTGCCGCATTCAACATATGATACAACTGATCTGGTAACTCAGGCGGTTTGTTACTGAGGACTGATTCAGAATTCGCATAACACAAACGAAGATCAGTTAAACAAGCCTGAGTATTTCGTGTAACACCTGTGAGCACTGATTGGACACCATAGTCTTGTATAGTTGGTGCAACCGCATCAGCTGACCGTAGTAAATCTTCTAAACACTGTAACGAAATAGAAAAAAAAAATGAAAAAGAATGTATTTGTAACTGATGTAAAAGAGTAGATATCGTGACTTGTCCAATACGTGTCTCTAACTAGTGAAAAAAATTCATTGTTTAGCACTTGTATATTAAAACCAATCGAATACCAATCTGTACACTTTTAGCGTGAGGAAAGTAAGCATCATGTTCTATATACTTGCTTTGTAGCATAAACTAGATAATGAAAGTAGAACCAACCACATATGTACCTACGTACAGAGGAGGTAGTGACCTTTATAGGGTCAGCCAATCAGTCAGTCAGTATTAATTCGCAAACCGAAGTCAACAAAAAGGAAGACAAAGAATCAAATATATAGGATATTTTCGCATGACTATGTACTTACATACATAATGATCCTCGTGCTGAGATAGTAATGCAATACTTTGAAAAGTGTATTAATCTCCTAATAAAATGATCTAGTGTCATTATTATTATTATTATTATTAGTCCCTCGGATTCCTAGTGGAACATAAGGCTTCACTAGCACGTCACCATTTCACTCTCTTCTCTGCAATCTTTTGAACCTCACTCCACGACAGCCCAGAAGCTTTCATTTATTCCTCACGCCATCTCCTCCATGTCACCCTCACCTTGGACGCCCAACTCGTCCCATGTGGGTTCCACTCGAGGACCTGACTCATGATGTCTCCAGTCGGCCTTATCAGTGTATGCTCAATCCAACTCCACTTCCTTCTGCATATTTGTTGAGCGATAAGTTCTTGGTTCGTTCGTTCCCAGAGTTCTTTGCTGCTTATTCTTTCTGGCCATTTGGTCTTCAGTATCGAGCGTAGGCAGCAGTTGATGAATATCTGTAGTTTGTTGGGAATGCTTTAAAATCGTTTAGTAATTGTACAATCATATGAAATTGTGGTTAGCTTCAATCTCCATTGGAAGTAATTGTAATGTAGTTGAACTATATCTATTTTTTCTGTTTCTTATGTATTTTAACCTACAATTATCAGTGGAGTTGGAGCTCATTGATTTAGGGAGATGATATTCAAGTGATGGGTAACGGGTTAGAGCCCGGCTCAACATACCGAGGTTTGGACAGTCAGTTAGTATTATTAGCCTTTCCGCAATAAGTGTGGTTCATTGCCTACTGCACAATATGCTTGAGTGGATTTCATTTCCTCAATTATTATTTATATTTTGTAGCAACGATATCGGATTCTTGGCCAGTCTTATTCAATCAACCTTATTTTTGTCAACTTCGTTACTATAATCATTTTCATTATCTACCTAGTTTTCTTCCGATATTCAGATCCGCACTGTCAACATGCCTTTTATATAACTACTAACTGTTCTGTTCAGAATGACGTAATTCAACCTGTTCAATTTTCATCCCCAGACTCTCCAAAGTCAGCAGCAGAGTCATTTGAAATAATCAGTCCCCTTGATAAATTTAAATAACTTAATGAAAAGATGGAGATTATACAAAACGTGATATATCAGGGCTATATATTTCGATCAATCTGATTATATATGAACTTGTCGAATAATTTATATAAAATTTAGAAACGTTAATTAGGCCAGTGGAATTATAATTAAGGGAGATGACAGGGACAGAGAGAAAACAAGAGAGAGAAGAAAATTAAAAGTCAAATCACCACCACGAATAGTATGAAGAGATGAGTTCAATATGTATGTATGTATTATCTTTGTTATCATTCTTTTTCACGCAGAAGCAACGTGATTCATTAGCTTTTGTCCAGAATGAAGTGCTTATTATTTCACCTATTCATTCATCATAAATTTGAATATCCCCTCCAAGTTTTAAGTTTACCAAGACATCTACGAAAAGGGCTAACTTTTATGTCACTGCGATTTACTAGTGTTTTAGTTGATGTTGTGTCTTCATATATGTATTACTGTACCGCATCATGGTAGACATTATTATGAAGAGTACTCAATTGAAGAGTCCTACTGAAATTTACGAATTCCTTGAATCCTGCTTCTTTCTAAATTCTTTAAACGTTTCAACTTTGTATCACAAGGGCAATATTTTCAAATATTATGTAGTAATCAACTCTGAAATTTATAGGAGGTAAATAGCAGAACAATTTATCTGCTAAACAATAAAGAAGGGAACTACTTGAAACAGTTATTATAGATTTCGGTTACTTAGGAAAGTATAGTTTTCTTATTTGTGTTTTAATATCTGCTAACTTTTGCTAACAATATCTTTGTGTTTTTGAGAACTATGGAAAGTGGAACTGATAAAATATGTTCAATTTGTGCACACTGTGTCATATCTATGTGGTTACTGTGAAGAATTGGCATATGCCAACAACTGAAGAAAAAACTGATGTGGACGTAAGAAAACCTTCTTACACTAACAATCTTAGAAGAACTTTGTCTGCATATATAATAATAGTTCGATCATAGTAACAAGTGCCATTTGAAACAAAATGGTATTTGAATATGAAGATGTTTAAAAATGACAAATATACAAAACAATACACCTAGTGAATATATAACTAACAAACAACATATTTCTGGTAATATAGACTCACAAATATAGTGCAAGGTGGTAAGTTTATAATGTTGGTGAAAAGAAAAGATGTTTTATAGACGTTAGCCTATAGTAGTACAATACTTAACTTTACACAGGGAAAAAAGTAATTTTGATATAGACAGGACCCAGAATCAAAGTCATTTAAATTCAACCAATAACTACAATTCTAGTTCAGTTCAAATCCAATCTGGCTAGATAGGATGATGATGATAAGTTGCACTAATTTGTGAAAAAAAATAAGCACAGTTCGTAGATGTCATGTAGCATACTACTTTTAAAGTTAGTCAAGTAAACTGTCAACATGACCATAATAACAATATTCAAATTCATGAAGAAAGTAACATACCTTCATTAAATTTTGTGATGCAGCAAGTAAGTTGGTCTGATTTTTCACATCATATGGTTGAACACGAGCTATATTACATGATAAATTCACCTGAGGCATAACACGTTTTTGTAGTTGTTCTAAATCAGCAGCCAACTATAACAATGCAAAAAATAATAAATAATAAACAGTAGGCGAGGGTTATATACAGTAATCCATACAATCGCAACACAAAGTAAACAATCCTTGATTTCATACATTTATGTGTATATAAACCTGAGAGTTGCATCCACATCAAACTAGCTTTTTTAATTGCTATAAGAATGAAATGTTGAACAGTATCATTAAGACTGAAGAAGTAGAATTCAACGAATAGCATTTCAACATTAATATCTTCTCAGTGTCATTGTAGTTAGCATATGTTTGTATTACTCTTTAATAAAGATACCAATCTATGTGTTTATATGAATGGTGAAGAAACTGAAGTTGAAATAATGAGTATTATACACAGAATTATAAGACATTTATCTTACCTTTATTACAATACTACAAGCACTCAAACATATTAAAACTACTATCAATCAGAATTACAAGAGAAGGGTTAAACATAAATAATTAAATGAAACTACGAAGTAAGCTACGTTAACTTACCTTCATATTATCCATTGAGTTTTGTTGATTAGTGTAAAGGAATACCTGTCATGATTCAAAGCCTAATCACTTGTAACTCATTCAAATAATAATAATAATAGGAATGATAATCACTAAATGGATACAGTAGCAGTTGGATTCTTTTCATTGAATTGTGGAATGTTATTCTAGCCTAAGGAAGTCTATATATATATATATATATATATATATATATATATATATATATATTGCAATAGATTTAGGAAATGAAGAAACCATTATGAGGAATCATTATGATTAGGAGAAGTGGCACACACGTGGAGTAAAATTACCTGACCAAAAAAGTTCAGTCATATATACACAATAGTTTGACTTATAAGAAATCTTTATATAGATTTTTTTAAAGTGCTAAAATCAGCACCAGTAAGATAGTGAGGTCTACAGCACATGGAAGAAATCGAACAGTCAGCATAAAGGTTCTCCACGTTGCCGTTATTCTATATCTTTGATTAGAATAAGAGTGAAAAATTCCTTTCTTATGTATTTCTCCTAGGAAGTCTTATTTTATCATTAAAGTAAAAGCCTGTTGTGTGGTGCGGGGAGATGGGATAAAGACATTTAGTAGGAAATTACTACCACTATAACTAGTACTAGTACTACTACTGCTGTGCTATGACTGAAAATAATGGGATAATGTACTAGGTAATGGTTATGAAAAAATTGACATAAACACTTGACAAAATATTTCTTTTTAATTTTCGTGCTAAGAAATACTGAAAAATATTTTATTACTTTATTTTAAAAGGAGCTTGTTACATTTGAAATTCTTGCGTACATTCTTTTATGATGATTGGACAATTCCAAGTTAGTCAAGCAAACTGAGAACTAAACCAAATATAATTCTAGTCGTTTTCAGTATCAGAGGCCAAAGTAAATAAATAGAGTACAAATTCACAACTCAGAGATAGAATTACAGTGCAGTACTTTTTATTATTTTATAGATAAGCAACTTATCATTTCCACGACTCGCACAAACGAATAAATTTAGATTGATTGGTCACTGGAGGGCAACCACTTTCATATTGTCTAGTCCTGAGTGTTGACCGAATTTTATCGATCATTTTTCAATGTGGGCACAAAGCTACGAGGATTAGCAACGCGATGCACTTGGATAGATGTTAGTTGGTTGGAGACAATCGGCAGGAATCCCTAAGTTTCATGCTTGTTCGCCCTTTCAGGAAGTCGTATCTGCAGCCTCGAGGTAAGTGATATCCCCTCTGAGATTCGAATTCGCATCACCTAGTATGGCGGTTGGCAATTTTATCACTGAGCTATTCAGGCCGCTAACCACCTTCTGCAGGAACATTAAGCTTTAACCCATTAAAAACGTCCCATGAATGGTTCAATAGTGAGACGTTAATTATACACCATGGATTCCTTACATATCAATGCACAAGTTACGTCATACTAAATGAAGTGGTTTTGAGTAAAAACTAATCAGTTATTGTACCTCAGGAAATATGTCCAACAGAATCAGAACACCAGTTAGTAATCTTGTGGTCTGAAAACTTGACACTACACTAGACACACAATTATTGTCAACATTAGTGTTACTTCTCATAAAATACATAAAATTAACTTTCTTCATTCTATAATTCGCAAATAATCTAAAATGAATACTTAGTTAGCTTCGAGTAGCCATAAAAATTTATCACTGACTTTCACGGGTGAGTAATCGTCATAGTATAAAAATGTTAAATAAGTTGATGAGATTCTTAAAAAGAAATAATAGCCTAGATACCTGTTAATAGGTGCTAGAATTGTTACCGTCATGGTGGATTGTATCATTGCAACAACTACGCCCGTCCAACAAACTTCAGTTGTATACTTTTTGACTCAAGCAAACCAAGTGTATGAAATTCTTTCGAATCATTTAGCAAATACACTGCTAACCAAAAGATTCATTTTAATAGCTTATATTAACTTGGCGTATGTTTTTGAAAGACAGAAAAACCGTCTGAGGTTTCCAAATTACAAAAGTATCGGATAAACACACACACACGACATCACACACATCATATGTCAAAAACATGAATGAAAAAAAGACAGTGAAATACAGATATTATGAATTACCTGGTAAGTATCATTTTGACAAATACGTACAACTTCGCCGCCAACTGTTGCTAATGGACCAGCATTATTTGCAGTCAGTCGAGTAGCGAATTCTAAGCCTTTTGTAAGACGTGATCGAATGATTGGAGCAGCTACTGCATGCGCCATGTTAACCAACTGTTCAGCTGCTGCTATAACTATCTGCTGATGTTCTAATGACTGTGCATTACCATCAGCACATTCCTGTATGTTAACAAAATAGGAGGAGATAGTTATATAACAACCAACATAAAAGTATAACTTTCATTAAATATAAACACATTCAAACGAAGAGCAAATAATTACAATTCAATTAGGTTTGATGAATTAATTGTAGTTTACCTAAGAATATTCATTAGCAGTTTGATACATTGGTTATGTAATGGACTGTACTTCAAATCTTTGATAGTGTGAAAGATCAACGAGAACAGCTAATCACCCAATATCGAGGCAAGTGAGGTGGACTTTCAGTCTCCATCAATGGTAGAGATGTGAAATCCTGACTCAATTTTTTCTAATCAGTAAATTATGATAATTCGATTGAAAAGAGAGAGAACTGAGCAATAGGTGGTGATAATTACTATTTATTTCTCAATTATGAATGGTATGAACAAATGAATTACCATCTTTATGATATCAAAAAGCTTCAAGTGTAGAAGCAGTTGCCCTACAAATTAACTATCATCTATTAACTTCAAATATTTGTTTTAAACGGACTAATGAGGTTATTTTGCGAAATTGTTTCGTTCTTCAGGTCAAGAGAAATACAAATAAGTACCCTTGCAAACTTTCCAAGTGGTTTCGAACTGCAGATTTTGTTACTGGCTAGATAAACTACCATCACCAAAATTAGGCTCGATACTCTTTTCGTTTGCCAATCCAGACCACACGTTAATGTAATACCAGGTGTCTGCTTCATATTGTGGCTTTTATTAGTGTTACCATTAACATCATTCCAATGTAATGATTATTTCGCTGAAAAATATTGCATAGGAAATGAATCTGTTGAACTATTACATGCTGAGAATTCTATACTGTATTACAAGTCTTGTTTGGGATAAAGCTATTATTATTATTCTTTAAAATGTGGTGTGGTGAGATTGGGTTTTATGCGAAACAAAGAACTAAGCCGAAAAATGGGCTTACTTTCCAAGAGTTATGTATAGTACTTGCATTTTTGAACATAAGAGTAAAATGTTTATCAAGAAGCGTTAGATGGCAAAGAGTATGACACACTGACATAGCATGATGTTCCATTCGTCATCACTACTAATCTCTACTAATGCAAAGCAAAATACTTTGAGCCTTTAAGCTTCTATCCGTTGCATACCTTCTGCAACAAAATTCTATTTTCGTTTATAAGCTAATGGTTGTGAGGTTTATATGAATTATGTTGTTAGCAGGAAATCATTTATGAAGTTCACTAAACAACTTTCTTTCAATGAAAGTACTTTTATCTAAAAAAATAAATTATTAAGTTATTCAGCTAGTTTATGACTTTTTCTTATGTATACTTCATGTAGAAACGAATTCGAAATTCCAATAAATTCTAAAATTCTTTACAAAATCTGATACGCCGAAAAAGTTTGAGTAAAACATATCGACAGAAATGGTACTTAATGTTAAAATTACTCGTCACAATCCTAGTTACACGAGGATTTCTCAAATTGTTAAGCTTTTTGTATGATTTCATGGTATAGAAGAATTTTATTCCATTGTCGAAACGTGTAACATCAACATTGTGCTTAAGAAATTCAGTGATACACAATCACTGTTTGAGTTAAAAGGAGGAAAGATAAGAAGCTTAGAAAACAAATAAGTGGAAAAAGAGAAATTTATTAAGCTAACTTGAAGACATTCAGATAATTTTCAAACTTTTCCATTTAAAACTGAAAGTTAATAATCATTCAATCAACAAAATATTTTCTTCAATGCCTATTTGATGAGTATGATTTAAATTTTAGAAGAACTAAAATTTAGTGACAGCCAATCACGTTCACGTATACACTGACTAATCAAAATAAAGAATATGAAGGGCAAAGTAGTTATTAAGGAAAATGGTACTTTATATCCAAATCACTAATTTATTTTACCTTAGAAATAAAGACATCTAGATGTCAAATAGCTTTATCATTTTCGAAACCATACTATTGTCTGCATTGTCACTAATCCATATGAGGCAATATCATCCAAATGATATCTGAGAAGTTTTCTCTCGCAATCACGTTAAACGTCTTGAGAACTTTCAAAGATGACACTACCTACTTTGAAAGTTGTTCCCTTGCACTGTAGTTTTTTGTGAAAAATAGCTTGATGGGGGTAACCGATTTCAGATAAAGCTCTTAATGACTTCCAAGCGTTTGTATATAATGTGGACCCAAAACCAGGTATTTTCGCAAAACTGCTAGGATGGACTTTTGTGTTCTATTCTTTCTCCACCAAAAATGTCCTCTTTTCGTATTTCGGTCATATATACCAAGAATCTGTGATTTGCGAGAACAAATATATGGATATATACATTGGGTAAGTTATAACTTACCCGCTCCCGTTTAAGTCATCTTCCTGGGTTGTATTCAATTTTCCGAACCAGACATTTATCTATTTCAACCACATTACCTCCAACAAACTTCAAATACAGCCTATAACGTGATCTTTGCCATAATTCGTCAAAGGTTTATACGGCGTCGACAACAGGGTAAATAGACGCAACGAATGACTTGAATGAAATCATCCTCAGCCTGATTGGATGTCCTAAAGGTTTCTTGTCTCTCAAGTTTAGTTCTACCTATGTTAGTTACTACCAGGTTAAACAAATATATTATTTCCTAGAATACGACACTAAACATCTCCAGCCAGTGTTCAATATCCTTATCATTCCCTATTTCGATGTTATCAACCACGACAGTTTTGTGAACCTGAATATTACAAAATTGAATAGTTTGCAGAAAACTGATTATTATTATTATTATTATTATTAACTAACTTCCTATAATAAGATAAAATGAATAGTAATTCACTGTATACAGGCTTTAATAAGAAGTTGTGAATTGTAAGACTGAATTAATCGCATGTAAGCCTACGGAAATTTCAACGCATCATCATAAAACAGAGCACAGAATGACAGTCAACTACCTACCTCAACTTCATCAACTTTGAAAAGGTCTTCGACAGTGTGGACCGATAAGTAATTTGGAAACTGCTTCAACACTATGGTTTCAGTGCCACGAACCTCTATCAACCTCACTCAACAACTATATGACGACGGCACATGCCTAGTGATTCACAATAGAAAGTTCAGCGACGTCTTTGAAGTGAAGACAGGTTGACAGGTAAGACAAGGCTGCCTACTATCACCCATGATCTTCCTGACTGTGGTCGACTGGATCATGCAGCAAACCATGAGGAGCGAGAAGATGGGCACAAGCTGAAAAGAGCCTAGAAGATTTGAATTTAGCCGCCAACGATGATTTATGTCTAATGTGACTCAAACTTGAATATCTACAGCTGAAAACTAATAAGTTGATGGGAGAGACAGGGCAGCGAAAACGGGACTTCAAGTGAACGTAGAGAAGACAGAGGTGACAGATGAAGATACCCAACCACCACCAACAACAACAACCACCGATTGCTATCAACGGGAGAAACCTATAGGAAGTAGTCTCTTTCACCTACCTAGACAGCACCGTTTCAACTACAGGAGGCGGCACAGATGACGACGTCAAAGCTAGGATCGGAAAGACAGAAAAACGGGCCTTCATTAACCTGAAATCAGTGTGAATATCTACTGCACTCAGCGTGAACAATATCCGGATTTTCAACACTAATGTCAGTCAAGTACATCAGTGCTTCTATATGACAGTTGAGAGACTTGGCACGTTACGAAAAACATTTCCAACAAACTACAGATATTCATCATATCAACAGCTGCCATCTACGCTCACTCGACACTGAAGATGAAGATCAGATGGCCAGAAAGAATAAGCAACAATGAACTCTGCCTGGGAACGAAGCAACCAACAACCCATCGCCCAACAAATCTGCAGAAGAAAGTGGAGATAGATTGGGAATACACTGAGAAAACCATTCGGAGACATTACGCACCAGGCCCTCGAGTGGAACCCAGATGGGAAACGACGAGTTGGGCATCTGAGCCGAGAGTGACATGGAGGAGATCGTGTGAGGAATAAATGAAAGCTTCTGAGCTGTCGTGGAGCCAGATTCAAAAGACTGCAGAGAAGAGAGTGAAATGGTGACGTGCTAGTGAAGCCTTATGTTCCACTAGGAACTCAAGAGAGAAATAATAATAATAACCCTACGGAAAACACTGTGACGGTCACAATTTAATATGAATTGACAGAATTTAGAAAACATGAACGACTGAACAACTTCAAGGCTCCCTAAACTTTAATGCTGTCATGGAGTTCGTTGAAGTGGAGAGTGATAGCATCAGTAATGCAAAACGATCAAAACCAAACTGATGCGGACAGAAAAATGTAATAATAATTTTAGTGATGAAGACTGATCAGTTTTCAAATATTGATAGCCTAACCCATAGATAGATCATATTATTTTGAGGATAACTTTCAAAGCTATAACTAGGTCAAAATAAATAATAAGCATCATCTGAATGCACACTATTCATAGGAAAGCGCAACTATCTGTTGAATATGAAGTCATATCTGCATATCGTACGAAAACATATTACATACCTGTGCAACTAATAGGAGATGATAAATTTCTTTTTCCAACAGATCAGCTCGTTCAGCAATTTCATTAGACGGTAATCCTAAAACTGTTTCTTGTTTTGTTGCCTCTGTGCGCAGATCTGACACTAGACATTCTGCAGCTGATGCTAATGCATTCGCCTTACGTACAAGAAGTAGACCATCACCAACACTACCAGGAAGTTGATTGCCAACGGATAAGAGATTTAATATTACAGGATCCTGATGAGCCTAAAATATGATAAGAAAACACAGGAAGAAGAAGAATGGCAGTTAAGTAACAAAAAAGGTAGCTTGAATTTTTACGGTGTAAGTCACAACAGTGATCAAATGGAATATAAAGATTATAAGCATTTAAAAAATCCACAGTGACTTTATCTGTACACCAAAACTGTTTATATCATCCCGAACTGCCTCCTGAATGCTAATGATTGGTGCAAATGATCTGTAACTACTTCCGTTTTCCAGCAGTAGTATTTCATATCGCATTGAAGAGGATAAATTTAGATGAATATGTAACTTCCATAGTATTTGATACTTAGTCAATCTATTGGTAGGATATACTTTCAAGAAAACATTTTCATAAAATATACGAGTAAGAAAGCATTAAATCCATTATTTCTGCGAAAAAAGTCTTTCTCCTATGGTAGAGAAGTAAATGGTTATCATCGTTATGATCAGCATAACAATAATAATGATGGTTGAAAAAAGTGAATACTTTTTCAGGTATATTTCACAAGTTAAATACTGCTTTAGTGAAGAAATGAGCAGAGGCAGAACTTTCCAATACCTGATATATCGTGAAGTAAATTGACATGAAGTGAAGCATTTGAAAGCAAGTTTTAGCAGAATATACATAGGATATATATATATATATATATATATATATATATATATATATATATATATATATAATAATTAAGCGGAAAGAGATATACAACCATCTCAATTTTACGCATCCTCAATCTCCAAAAAACTGCTTTCAGAGTATCATAGGTAAAATGAGGTGGTACTAGTCAAATAAGCTGCTGACTGCTGGTCTGAACCAAATGAAGTAAGCTTGCACTTATCAACAACATAGATCTACATACGAATGAGTTATTTCGCGGAGAACTTTGCACCGATACTCGTGTTTACTATTTGATGATCACTGGGTTGCTAGTTGTTATATTTTCCCGGCTTCGAAGCAGTATTCTTAATAAACCTTATTGAGATGTTAAAAACTTAGAAACCATTCCTGCTGACCTATACAGAGCTAATACAACATTCTATAATAAATGAATAAATTATCCACCAGACACATTGAGAATTTACCAATACAGACGATATAGGTAATCTGATCTCATTAAAATGTATAGTAGTGACTAATTATCATACTCAGATCAAGGAAAATCAGCTACTAGTTAGATTCATTTGTAGAATAATTGCTTAGCTGTCAATCAGCGGTTATCGCAGTGACAGGATGCTTTTGCAATAAGGTTCAAAGATGGTCTTAGAGGGCTAAATTGATTTATTTCTTGTTTTATTAAAAACCATTGTTATCTTATAGCTCAAACCACTTTATTATTCCTTTTAAATTGCTGTATTTTAACCAGTAATTTATGACCTCTTATGAGCATTACACCTCAACAAATTCCTCCTCCCCCCCCCTCCCCCCCGCAGAAAGAACTTTTGTTATCCTTCTGTGATGTTTGGTAAACTTTAATTGAATATTATTCTGTGTCACACTGCGCTATCTCACTACCTCACCGCATACCTTTGGACAGATGAAATACGATTGCTGACTTTATCATTAGGGTAATCAAAGAGTAATGAGGCCGAAAGACAGACTGACACAATCGACATAGAATCTCGCACAAAAATGCATCGGCTCAAGTTACCACACTTCATAGTAGAATGACGAAACGTAACTGCATAGAAAACGACGGATATCAAACTAGACAAACGTTTATGGGAGGAGGACAATTTAGAGATAATGGTTAGTGGGAACATTCGAATTTTCAATGACATTAAAGAATGAATACATTTGCGCTGTTGTAACCGACTTTCAGTCAATTCACCAAGAGTCCCTAAGTACTGATCCAGAAACCCTGTCTACACCTCTATTCATGACACAAACCAAGTTAGAGACTTCATCAACGGGTACTACATCTTGGTCTGGCCACCCAAAACGATCTTCCAATCTAATCCTCCTAGCATAGCACGTCGAGATAGGCGGTGGCTTCGAATACGGACCACATGTCCAAGCCAGCTCAGTCAACTAAGGTTCACAACCTCATCCAACGGACTGAGCTTTCTTGCCTGATACCCTTCGTCTAACCTCAACAATGCTCATACGGTGATTCCACCAAACATGAGCAATGTTAGGGAAACATCTATGATCAAAACCCTGCAACCGCTTCTCATCTACTTCTAACGGATATTGCTCACAGTCATATAACAAGACAGAACGAACTGCACTGCAGTATACTCATGCTTTAATATGTAGTTAGATATCTCCCCAGTCAGTGACAGATATGACTCAAATTAGCAAACGCAAAATAAGCCTTCTGTATTCGAACTGAGACTTCGTCAGCAACTAACCCGTTCGGGATAATGCAAATCCCCAAATAAGTGAAGTGGTCGACACATTCCACTATTCACTCCCTACTCTTAAACTACGAGCAGTTTCAAACCAGTCCCTAGGCATCATATATTTTACAAGTGAGAAATGCATGCCAAGCTTAACACTTTTGGAAGTCCGTATATTTCGTTAACATCACCTAACAAGACAGTATCGTATGTGTACTCCAAGTTAAAAAGATGACCTCCGGTGAGTAAATCAACGCCTTTGAAGTCAGATGAACCTAAGGTTATGTCCATTAATACATCTATAACGACGTTGAACAGAAGTGCTGACAGCGAGGACTCCTTCCAGACACCACAGGTTATCATTGATTCTGATGGATTTAGGCTACCAACAGTCTTTACCGCTGTTTCTACAACAGAATTACTATCTCCCCAGCTTTCCTCGGGATAAGTATTGCTGTCACGTTGGGAAAAATTGCTTAGTTATCTCCTCCCTAAATACACACTCGACTTTCTCGTCTTACAGTCGAGTACTCACAGACTTCACTGCCACCCGTTTTCTGTGACCAGGAACAGGTAGACATACACATGCTCGTATACTTGAAGTTAGTGTCGGCCAGAAACAAGTAGTCGGCAGAACAATGTTTTAAGAGACAATCACCAGTTTTGATACGCTGGAATGGGATATCATAGATACCTCTTAGATGCATTTTGAAATGTCTCGAGTTTCCTAATTGAAGGTCAAAGTCAACTGCCATTAATAATATACCGAAATGTTTTGCTTTCTGCAGAAAAACTTACGGCTTTTGATAGAACTCATCATCCGAACTTCGGTTGGTTGGTGTGTAAGCATAGATTATGAAGAGGCATTGGTTAGTCTCATAATTCTTCCTAGTTCTTAAAGATCCGTTCAGTCGAACAACATCTAGAAAGCTGTTGACTGGCATCCAGTAAAGAAGTACGCTTCCTGCTTGAAAGCCTAGTGCTATAGTAGACCAGGGAGTCCACGAGAGCTAACCAATGAAAATCCAGACATTACTGGAGTGAATCTTGAAGATTCACCACATTAGCCAGATGAGTTTCAGTGAATAATCATACTCGGGTTCTGCGTACATGTCTTAGAGACACAGCATATATCCACAATTCGAGATTTCAGATCTGGCAAGAGATGCATGCTGCCCGTTTGATAAGTCAAATATACAAGAAGAAAATTTACTTATACTATGTATTTTGCAGAACTTCAGATCCTTGCAAATGAGTGAGCCAATGAACAATTCTGACAAGAAGAATACGATAGCCTGAATAACTCAGTTGCTACAGCTCTCTTCATAATAAGGAAACGGAAGATCGAAGTGTTACATAACAGAAAAGTGAACCAGAAGAAAAGACACGTGAACAGAGAGTAAAAAGGTGTAATATAACACAGTGTCTCACGTTTGTTACCAACTTTACCTTGTATAGCCAGAACTTAGGACCTTGAAAATCAAGGAGTGCATTTCCTGAGATAACACGAAGTAACACTTAAAAACATTGTGATTTATCTCATCTTTCAAGTTATTATTCATCGTATACTGACATCAATTATGAAGTTCTATTTTTAATATCCTTCATATCAATACTGCATATGCACTGAAATCAATTTTGTTTATGATTGATGAATATTTTTACACGCCTAAGAACAAAATATTTACACTTTGTGCCGTTTGCTATCTGATTTATTGCTAAGTGGTATAAAAGACTTTCTTCCTCCAAATTCAACTGAATTTATATCCATCTGTAAATCTATATTTACGTCAGAAGAAATCTGGGACGACTGCCGTTACGTACAAGTGATCGATAAAATTGTTATAGCCACTTGTAAAACATAAGGATAATCACTTATCAACTCTGTTAAGTTATTGCGCAGCCCACATCGTAGAACACAAAGGTTTAGCATGCACAAAACCTGTTGTTATCACAATAGTGTTTCAAACACCATCAGTTTTCATAACCAAAAAACCCCTGTAATTTCCACAGATCACCTATGATTCATTTACAAAGTGAATTGGCCTCCAAGATGCTAAAGATCAACAGCAATTTTCTTTACATATCTACATGTTGTAATAGTGTTTCGCATTTGTTCACAAGAATGCAGATAATTCCTATATCGAAAGCATGGGGTATTGCGCTAAATCAGGCATAGTAAATCACCTTAACATACTTTTGGAAAGTAAACTACCATATGAAAGTATACTGGTTGGTAAGAGTGTGAACCCGGGGCTTAAAGTCAAGAAAGTATTTTGCCTTAGAAAAGCATTAATTTTTTTTGTTACAATATATAAAAAATAAATAACAGAAGGAATACTGACCTGAATTGAAGTTGACATAAGACAATCGATAAGATTGTCTAAATCATTTTGTACGGCGTAAACACCCTGCTCCAGATCATTCACTAGTTTACAATGCATATCAAACATTCCATTATCCTTTCTTAATAATGTTGTCGCCTCACCGGTAGATGACGGTGGATCAATTAAAGCCTTCGCTGGCAACGGTACTGCATCTGCGGCCATCCCAACCTATCAATGTAAACACATACATGTTACGTGTTGAGAAAAATACATGAAAGAGTTTGGACTAAGACGTAGCGAAAGACAGCCGTGGAAGAATACTTCGACTGCAAACGGAATACAATTATCAAGCGATATATCTCTTCATTAAACAAACAAACTGGTAAGAAATGTAGCTAACTGATATTAACGAAGCTGTTTCAAATTTGAAGAATATCAACAACAAAGAGAGAGGATCCACGCCTACGAAACTAATTAAAATATAAGATTAGCTATATAATCGAATAGGAAAAGATCATGGATAAAATAATTTGACAGTTTCAATCAACTAAGAGAATGTAGCTATGAGCACTAAAATGAGACAACAAATACCAAAGATCGCTATTTGGTTGCTGTATACAGAACAAGAGTAGCAAACATATTCATAAAGTATGGGATAACCAAATATTTTATTCTAAGCGTTTGACATTCATCGAAAGAAACCTATGTACCCAATCTCCTCACTGGTCAGCACTCATCATGGACAAGTTCGGTCCACCAACTTAAAGGAACTCATGCTCCCTGCTTACTAAATCCTAAAACTGAACACTATGCAAAGTGCACAAGAACAGTTATAAAGTTTGATTTAATAATCACAGTGAACAGTTTGTTCACAGACTCTGACGGATACCAGAGACTTCAGAGCTGTATTAGTAACCAACCAACAACCGATTTATCAGCATGTATATGTATGATATTACCGGTGTCATTACTCGGAGACTCGACAAAAAGGTTAAACCTCAAAATCCTAGAATACCAAAAAGCATTGATTTATGATAGCGTAAAACTATACTGATTCTATATATTATCATCCCTCTAAAATGCACAGTCGAAAATACGCAGGTTAAATGATACAGCGCATAGAACGGTGGAAAAATACTGCTCAAAATGGTACAAATAAACTGACACATTTAACAGTGATTTGAAGACCAAGTGGAGTATTGCTGAACGCGGTAGACTAAGAAACAGTACCAAGGTAATATACATGGCAATCAAGGATAATCAATAAGTGTCAGATGTAAATATAAAGTCTGTTATAATGAATAAAACATGTAGCTTATGATGAGACCACCGAACCCAGGATAAGCTTTTCATCCTACCTGAGACTTATCAGCTGGATGCACCTCCACCCTCAAAGTGGTGGTGTTCCCATTGAGACTCGAACCCCACACCCATCGCTTCGAACACCAAATCGTTATCCAATAGACCAATGAGGTACAAGACCCACCTCTCGTACAAGAGGTATTAGTTATCATTATTTATTGATAGGTGTAATTTCCCGTTATTACATTGGATCATATTGTTCGACCTTTGGTGGAACCATCACTCACCGGGAAGCAGTTACCTCCAGTTGACGAGTCCCAAATGGGAGGAAATACGTTTCTTCGATTGTACCGCTAGCCACCACCAAGTGAAGTATAGTAATGCATATTCAGGCAATCTCCAGGCATCCCCGCATACGAGTTCATGTCTCAACAGAGATCAATCAATTTGAACCAAATATTTTTCCCTAGCTTCGACACTTCATCGATGCGACTTCTTGATCACTTAGGAATCCAATCAAAAAAATTCAGGCAAATAAAAAGTATTTGATCTGAATATCATCATCAAACGGCATACCCGTCTAATATAAAGATAAAACCTGGACACTGGTGGGATGCAATTCTACCTTGGTTGTTTTATTCGACGTACTACACCGTGAAACAGGTTTATTCATGGAACGATGATTCGGACATAATCATAGGGATATGAAGATAACAACACAACTTTGAGATACTGTTTATATTGTTCTGAATTTCTCACTATCTTAGGAATATAGACTATTTGAACACAAAAGCTTAGGCTAAGTAAAATTCGTAAACTCTAGTAAGTTAAGGAATTTAAGAAAGAGCTTGGCCATAGCTACACATACAAAGACACGCAACCACACAATAGAATGGGATACAGTGAAAATCCTCAAAAAATAATTTATTAAAGTGCAGGGGAAGATTGACAACTGATTCTTTGTTTACCGAATCAACTGCAAATACATACAAGAGGAATGATTCAGCATCTGTTCCAGTAAATAATACTATTTCGTTATATGGTAATAAATTTAATAACTCGACTGAAGTGGAAGCATACCTGTTTAATTGTGTGCATGAGTTGTTGTTGAGATTCCGGTTGTTCCATTGTGCATGCCACAACTTTAGCGCAAGTAACCAACTGACTTGCTGTTTTACCAGCTTTCGTTGCTGCATGAACTAGTTTTGACTGAGTATTACGTAATGCTTGTACTTCGATATCATTTGGATCTGATTTATTTGCAGTCAAGTATTGATTCACTTCTTGATCTAAAACTAATGCTCCCATTTTAGCTTTTTTCACTAATACTGTCATCGAGTTTGCTACACACTAGATACAATTTTAAAAAGGTAAAAGTAAAGAAAAGATTAGTTACAAAGACTCGAAGTAAAATTTAAATTGAAGTTTTCATTAGCATATCAATAAATAAATTTTATCAGGCGTTTGATAGCGTAAGTAATTACCTCAGCTGTTAACAAGATGGTTACCAAATTTACTATGTTGCCCAGATGTACTGCATTATCATGACTAGGAGAGGAAATATGCTACAGATCAATGGATCAGAGTTAAATAAACTGTGTGTAATCAGACAATGTCGCTTGGTTGTCTGGACAGATTCAGAAAGAATAAATTTGATTCTATCATTAATGGTGTCACTCTGTAATGAACATAAAATCCACATAAATCTCAAAATACATTACTGTATAGCGGTCACTAGTGACATGCTTCAAGACGGATATCCCGAAATTCTAATCAGAAACCGTGACATATGGAGAAAACCAGTTAGAAATGAAGCGGATCCCAACTGAAGTCACTCTATACAAGGAATTGACAGAAGTAAGAAACTGTAGATCGCTTAACTCTGACACAGTAGCTGAATGGTTAGAGTATTAGGCGTGGAACTTGAATATCCTAAGTTCGATCCCTGGCGACGTCGAGGGTACGTACTGCTGAGTTCCATACTAGGATAAAACAGATGCCAAAGGCTGCTAGGTTTCCAGTATTCCTCCAACAGTTTTCAGTCGGTGATGAATGCTACATTAAAAAACAAAATCTCCATAAAATTCAAACTACAGTACTACTTAAAAGGTGTGTAATTAAGCTATTAGAACGTGACAGCAAACTGCTATGAAGAAATTTCTAAAAGTGAATCAACCATTATTTGCATATGTATTGAATTTTCGCACATCCAAATTAAACATTTTGGACAGACTCGATGTACATAATCAAATATTACTTCGCGTTTTAGAATTCAAAGCAGGTATAGACCGTTAGAATATGTTTGACGATGATAATTATTGAGATTTTTATCAACAGCTAACCTCATCCTCACTGAGTATAGACGATCAATTCTAACTTATGTCAGCTAATGAAGGCAGTTACTTAACATACAAACCTGAAGTATTTACGCCGAAGTATTCGTGTATAAGCAACAGTGTATCTAGCTGCAAATGAATGATTTCCATAGAGATACTTCATTTTATCTGTACAGGAGTTTACCACCACACAGAGAGACACACAATGATTTAAATGTAAATGGAGACAAACAGTCTTGTCCGCTCTTGTTGCATTACATATGGTGGTGAAGAAGATCGGTAAACTAGTGTTGTAACAACAGAAGGAAATACGAGAAGAATATGATGCTCCAGTTTGAATTTCTCCCATTTACTACCAGTAACATACAGTATCCAGATCAAAAGAGAATTATAAAAGTCCTGCTCCTTTCTTTTTCAACAAATAAGGTTTAGGAAATCTGGTTCCTAAAATGAGGTGATGTTTATGCCAATCTTTTCGGAATACCATCTTTTCTTCATTGCTCTGTTCAAATCTCAGGCGAAATATCAGTTTCATTGAGGTTGCATAAACACCTTGCTGAAGATGCGATAAAGCATGAAACCTGGGTCCAATGCTTACTGCCGGTTGCCTCCGTCCAACTAACGTACAAAATACAATCACTTATGTAAATTTACAGTGAACTTGACTATTTATAGACTTTTCTATAAGTGCATATACTTATGACTATCTCCTCAACCAATTTGATATTTATACGATGGTTCACGTGCGTTCTCTTGAACCTTCGAATCAAAATTATCGGTTATTAAAGGCTTGAGAGATTTTAGGCTTCTTATAAGCATGTCGACAGTCTTGCCCAACACTATAACAGATAACAAACTGCAACAATTACAAATGGTTTGCGTATTGCTAGCACTAAGTTCTGTTAGTCAGCGATATACCCTACCAATAAACTAACAAAAGGAGACAAAAATGAAAGGGGAATAATAAATAATTACATAACAACAGTATGAAAAGAAGGGTAGTGTAATAAGTAGTTTAAAAAATGAGATAGTGACAAAATTAACCACCATAAGAAACAAGTAAAAAATGGGTCAACACCGCCAAACATAGTTACCGATATATATTTCAGTCACAGAAAATATCATAATCCTACTGCTCAACCGAAATCAACAGATATGTTTCACAGAAATCAAATTAACTACTGATTCCTCATGCTAAAAATATGCAGCATCCTTGATTTAGTTGAAGGCGAGCAGGTCAACATCAGGTCATAGAAGTGACCTCAAAACTATATTAGTAAAATTGTAACAAGTAGTCAAGACCTAATACTAATTTACATTTGTTTGTTTGTTTTAATCAATATTAGCAAAGAAAGTCAAGTGGAAGTATAAAATGTTTCTGAATAAATGTGAACGAGGTAAATTTCCTTGTTGACTTTGATTTCGACACTAAGGAAGTAGGATCAGGGAATTTTTGCTCCTCGTACACTAAACCACTAACTAGACTACAATCAATAAGCTGCCGCATGGATTTTTTGATGAGTTCAAAATACATTGCGGTAGTGAATCGACTGCAAACAAGGTTGTATACAAAATGAAAATAATTATCACTTCTCATAGACTACTAACAAGTAGTTTACGCACAATGACACGATTTACTTTTGTTCTTAATGTATTTTATGGCACAAATCAGTGAATTTATGTAGCAATGAAGTTGTGAAACAGAAACATCACACTATGAATCTTATTCATGTGTAAAAGTTAGAGTTTGCTAATAGTGCAGTCCAGTTTTTCAAAAGCACAGTTAGTGATTTGTGAGGCTGATTGGTTTTCATGTAGGTTTCACCACGGAATGACATATGATGAGAAATCAGTTTAAGCTAACTGTTTCGTTACAGTTTTAAATCAATCGGTAGCAGCATAAGCCATCAATGTACAACGGTACAAGTTGCACACCAAGCAACAAAGTAGTAGAATAAGGGATGAACAAAGAAAAAAATCGATAAAAGGAAGTAAAAGAGGAGGGGGAACGAGAAAATGCTGAATTTATTGTGGCAGCGAAGAAGATAAAGTGTGGACACATCTACGCCACTGACATCTATTCTGAGCCACTTCACCTAGAGTCCTCAACCACCGGTTTCTGTAGTCACGTGGACCTCAACCGACCACTCTGCTTCTCCCCACATGGCTCAAACCATCAGACAAAGACTTCGTGCAATGATGCCATTTTGAAGTCCGGCCACCCAGAGCCTTTTTCCAGCCTAAACATACTTCAGCAGACATTGCGCGATAAGGCAGCTTAGGGATTTTCATCCATTCTCACCCATGGCATCCCAAGACGTTGAGAATAGCAACGTCAATTATCACAAATAGTAAGTTAACACTCAGTCACTAAGATGACACTACTACCAACCTATCTGATAAACAATAATAATACTAACAACATTTCACACGATGACGTAAATTCAGTCAGAAAATTGAACAGAGTAGACTATTTTGGGTTTAACAACAGATATGCGCTAAACGACCCAGTATATATTCGAAACGTTACCCGATGATATACTACTGAATAGCTGACTCACAAAATGTATATAAAGAGGATTCACGTTTAAACCCCACAACAATGCGACTGTTTTCACGATATATAAACCATCGAATACAAAGTGAGAAAGAGGTTTACCTTCGTCAATGTAAGCAAACGATCTCTTGCTTCCCAATCAATTATTGAAGCACTATTTATATTGGATGGTATTTCATTACCTTCCGTACAGTCAGGATCATTTGAATTTGATGGCAAAGACCATCCTGTTGTAGTTTCTTGTTCTAGTTGTAATGGTGGTGAAATTAACTGTAATAACTGCCGGCTAGCATCACCAACACGACTAGCAGCTTCTAACAGAGCTGCACGATCCGGACCACCAGTCTTTGAATCAAATAGTGAACTCGTTGAATGCGTTAGCACAGACGACTTGAATATACAAAAGAGAGAAAAGGTTATTAATTACACTTTATACTAGAATATCTGTAAACATGCAGCCAGAGAATTAAATTCTTGAAAAACAGTGACAGTCTGACTACCATGATTCGTAGGAAAATGAAATAATCTAACTACATTGATAGAGAGATATTTTTCGACACAAAATTGACTTAGGTATTTCTTTGAGTCTATTAGTAATATAGATTTATGTGACAATAAATGAAAGAATACGAAAAAAACAGTACCTAGTTCAAGATGAAATGCAAAACTAACCCTTACTGCACTTTTATAGCTTGCAACAACAAAAGTTGTAGTGGTAACTATTTTTAATGGAGTACGATTATTTCGTGCTGAATAACTGAAGGCGACAAGCCACAAACAAGACAAATCAAAATGTCACCCTTATTGACATTCATTACCATGACAAAGTGTATCCTCTTCAAGAAGTCATGCTTCTAATGTGTACTGGATGATGAATTAATTGAAAACTATTGTTCACTCAAATTATTCTTGTTCTGAATAATTTATAGTGATCTTTAAATATCTTTCCATCAGCATTTTAACCATAAATAGTACTGTTCAGCATCTCGAATCATAGCTGAAAACTTGAACAATGCAATTACGGAGTTATGAAGAAGTTATCGATCAGCAGTCAGTGTTATCCGTCATATAGATACACTTTAGCTTCAGCAAGGAAGAAACACATCATACGAAAAGTCGAGTTTTATTAATCACCTTCAAGGTTTAGTTAACGCAGTAAAAGCAATAGGTTTCAAATAAACTTCAGTGTCAATTGTTTCAACATTTGTAATTCAAATATTATCAGTAAAAACCATAGATAAAATCACTGTAAAGCAGGAAAATTAGTTAAATAAATCACTACTAATTGTCACGATGGATAAACTGAATACTTTATTATTTAAAGGTTGTTATGAAACGGCACATAATATAAACATGAGAAGGAATTCAACAGATGAAAACGACTTACTTTATTGACAAAGAAAGTTTCATAGATGATAGTATCTCTTTCGACACGAAGATTATTCTCAATAAACTCTAAAGTTTTGGTCAGTGTTTACATTACGGTGAACTCAGTGACGAAATCATTTAGTTCATGTTTTACAACTAAATTCATTTAGTGAACTATTTTATTAGTTTATCTGTACTGAAATTTCGATGACAGTACAAGTATTACCATTCATATCAAATAAAACTCAAAAATACATTGCTATATAGTGCTCATTGGTGACTTGCTTCCAGATGGATATCACGAAGCTCTAATGAGAAGCAGTGACCTGTGGGGTCAACCAGTCGGAAGTGAAGCGTATGCTAACTGAGAACCTTGAGTGATAGTCGCGCTGTGTCGTGAATTGACAGAAGTTGGAAATTGTGAACACTGGCAACCGACCCAGTGGCTGAACGGTTAACGCGTTCGCCGTGAAACCTGAAGGCCCTGAGTCGTATGTGCGTGCTGCTGAGGAGTCCTGCACTAGGACGAAACTGCTGTCCAGTGCTCCCAGATTTTCAATGGTTCCCCAACTGATGTCAGTCCATGATGAATACTACTTCTAAAATATGACTATGGACAATAAATTATGTCCGAAACGTAATCCAGTAAACAATACTGTTACACTGTGTGATAAATCTAATAAATCAATAAATAAAACTCACCTTATCTGATGAATTGTCAGTTGATACAGCTGAGAAGGTAGTTCGCATTAATTCCAGAAAAGCATCAGATAAACTTTGTGCAGCTTGTTTTAAATTTGTCTTATCACCAGTTCCATTGACTGTTTCAAGTTGATCATATAAACGTACACAATGCATTAGACCTTGTACATTGATTCCAATCGATGTCATTGAAGCATCCATATTAGCATAATCTATTTCACCATGACTGTTTAGATCTACATGCATATTTTATTATTCATATAGTAAAAGGAAAACATGTTCATCTTTACCAAATAAAAAACGCACAATATGTCGGTAACTTGATTTTAAATAAATATAATATGCTTCAAATAATGATAAAAAGTCAAATACGCAAAAATGGGAGTAAAACAGAAAGTTTATATTTAACATTATTAATTCCCTTTATAAAACCCGACAAAACAATAAGAAGACATGATGTGTCAGAATCGTGTAATTAATTTGCACAATAAATTTAGAACAATTTGATCACACATATACTGGTCATACATATTGATATGAAAGGATATGAAGAGTTAAAAGGGTGAGAATATGAAAAGAAGTCCTAAAGAGGAGCCTAAATTGAAGACCGAAATTACAATGAATATTAGCAGAACAAAAATAATAATGCAGCGAAATGGGTTTTAGAGAGGAATTCATTAAGGAAGGCTTAATGTAACAGCAAATTATTTTCGAACACCGAAAGGTGGCTGAGACTACCCAACGGATAAGGCTCCGGCAACACCTTTTATAATTAGATTTTAAAGATACAAAAACGTCTATCCTGTAACCTATCTCAACGGTGTGTTTCGTAATCGAAGAGGTAGGATGTCTGCTATCAATGTTTATGGAGTGAAGTGATTCGCTTTGCTTTTGAAACCGATTTAGACTATGCTCTGTGGCCTTAGCTACTAGAAAGTTTAAGCTACCTTTGCACGTTCAACAACAATTCTCTGTCACATTAAACGTTCCTTAATGAATTCCATTCCGAAAGCAATTTCGATGTACTTTAGTTTCTGCTCATATGATTTCCATCATAATTCCGGTCTTCTGTTTAACCTTCTAACATGACCTCTTTTCATATTCTCACAAATTAACGCTTCATATCAATATGTATGACTAGTATGAATGCGATCAGATTGTTTGAAATGTATAGCATAAATACATTACACGATTTTGAGACATGATGTCTTCTTGTTGTTTTGTCGCAAGTGTATACCACTGGTTCAATTTCAAAGATAATTAGCTTAAATTTCACTAACTGAGCATACCACACACACATACACACACACAGAGTCAAGGTTTCCAAAAAGGAATCATAGTAGGAAGTAAGGTAAGGGAAATCACATGCCTAAGCCAACCATATTCCAATTACCAAGCCGATTAATTTCCATAAATTTTAACCACCAACTACTGTAATAGAAGCCCTTCAGTCGAAAGAACCCGATCAGCTTGACGCAGGTTCCAGTGATGAATATTTAAGACACGATATCAGGACTTATAGTTGTATGGATAGTTCAGTTTTTTTAATTATTGTTGCAAGTTACTGCATACTAAGCAATGTAAAAAGGTGGAGATGAAAACTAGAACTTTTGTTGAATACAAACCATCTTGATATAGTAGATAAGATGTGTAGCTCAAGATGAGGATGGCAATTTTTTGGTGTTATTCGAGGCTAGTTCTTTATAAAGTAAATGTTGACGAAGTCGCCTAGCATGATGATAAAACATCCAAGAACTAACCTTAAAGCTCATACACCAAACAATTATTACAAATCACCTTGTATTCACAAAGTAACATGTGAGGGGAATTCTTAACCACAACACAGGATGAAAACAAAGTCGACAAATCCTTGAAACTGCTTGTACGTTAGAAAATGGATAACTTAAATTCATAAACATATGATTCAGTAACACGAGAATACATGACGATGAACACATCCTTTACGCCAATTCGATAAATGACGACGTCCGGACAATTTCTTGACGACTTTTACCCCGCAAGCAAACTCTAGTCGAATGTGATTTGAAAATTAAGTAGTGGTTGGTTGATTCACTATATTAAAACTATTACGGAATAAAAGTCTCAAAACCAACCAGTCAGTTAAAGAGAAACAAATAGATTGGAGTGATATGACTGATTAGGAAATACCTAACTAATATCAGTAAATTGTGCTACAGTATTCAGGTGGAGAATATTCGAGTTATACTTGGAATAACCCAAGAAAATAACGATCGTTTGTGTAAACTGCTACATAAATTATCATGTTTCGATGAACTGCAATTTCATTGAAAATTAGACAAGGATGAGGAAGATTCATAACTATATCAAGTAGTTACTGAACTCATAACATGTATTCTGCATAGAAAGTCTGCGCGGCTTCAAGGCATTATGCATAATTTCAGTAGCTAATAGTCTCAGCCCATGTCGACTGTGAAAATGTTACAGTCAACCTACAACAATCTTTTAAACTAAAAAAGGACTAGTTTTGGTCGCTTCAACTATTTTCAGCTGTCTTCTCGTTAGTATATCAAGAGTGAAAAAGATTTTTCGATTTGATAAAAACTTAACATTAGCCTACACGTTTCATGCTTTCATTATGATATCTAATGCTTTTTGAGATACTAACTTTCAGTGCTGGTCGAAACATATAACTTCCCTACCATTTGCAAAAACAGCACAGTACATACATGAGGATTGTTTATGTCTGAAAGCCTTTACAATAATAAAAACTGTTTTAATGCAATTGAATATTACCAAATATTTATTATAAATAATGGAAACTTATCTCCCATGATGAATAAATGAGATTTATTGAATATAGAAACGGTTGGAAAGTTAAACATCAATAATACAGTATGTAAATATAACTAAAGAATTACGGAAATTTATTTAAGGAAACATAATGTAGGTTCTTAGATAGTTGTTACATAAATACAATGCATATTCAAGCTTCAAAAAGATAGAAATCCTAGAGAAGAAGTGTAAAATGTATAAAATATTCAGAAATGGGTCAACAACACACCATATCAGTATACATACTGGTCTCTTTTTATCACTACATTGAGCAACCTCATTTAATTACATGTTGAAGTGGCAGAACGAGATTGTGAACGCATAAATGAACAACACAATCTAATTGTCTAATAAGAAATAATACTGAGGCATTCACACAATCGACCGAAATCGAACGTATAAGTGATGGAAGTATATAAGGATAAAAGTCAAGGTAATAAACACATACGAAGAAAGAAATAACCACTTTCAAGGTTGAATTGATTCCCTAACTCAGTTTATTTAAAAAAGAAATGTAAAACAATAATAGTGATGATAAGGCTAAATGATATTCAAATATTACACAAAAAATAAAACTAGAATGGTAAACATTATGCGGTGATATCAAGATGAAGCAAGTAAAGGAACAAAGTTTGAGGACGGATTTTGCTGAGGGTATAAAGTGTTCGAACTGATAAAAGTTTGACCATTTATTAAAAGCTTACTGAACACTGAAGGGATAAATAATATAGAAAGGTTTCATGAATAGACTACTAGCTAAGGTAGCTTATTTGAATCTACAAATCTAACTGCTAAACAAACTTCAAAGCACAAATGATATATAAATAAAATAATAACAAAATTATCCCTCGCTGGAATCGGAGAGGCGAAATGACACCAGTTGGTGAAAGCCTGCCTTCGGGAAGCCAATTAGTCGATGTGTCTTCTCTCCCCAGATAAAAGCGAAAGTAAACGTGGGGATATGGAATGTCCACACGATGTTTGAACCCAGCTGGCAAGGCAGCCCAGATTGCAAACGAGATGAAGAGGTATCACATTGAAGTGCTTGGAATTTGCGAAAGCAGATGGAATGGGAGTGGACTCTCCAAACTGTCAACTGGAGAATCAATATTCGACTCCGGTCACCCAGACGCCAACCACGAGCACACTGAGTTTTGGAGTGGCTATCATGATGTCCCCAACAGCATCGAAGGCTCTCATGCAGTGGGAACCAATCTCCTCCTGCAGGATCATGACAGCAAGGTTCAACTCAAAAGGAAGGAAGGTCACAATCATACAACGCTACGCCACACACCTACAAATAATGCAGAGCAAGAGAAAAAGGAGGAATTCTACAGACAACTTCAATCAACACTGGACAAGACGTCAGTTGGCGATATCAAGATTCTAATGGGCGACATGAATGCCCAACTGGGAGGGGACAACACAGGAAGAGAACTAACCATGGGTCCAGAAGCGCTCGGTGAGTTGATGAACGAGAATGGAGAATTGTTTGCAGAATTCTGTGCATTCAACGATTTGGTGATTGGAGTCATGCAGTGTGTTCAAGCACAAGGATATCCACAAAGTGAGCGACATGGATTTCACCAGATGGACACACTAAAAACCAAACCGACTTTATCTCCATCTCAAGAAAATGGAGACGCAGTCTACTTGACACAAGGTCAAGAAGAGGAGCAGATGTAGGTTCAGACCACTCACTATCTAGTGTGAGGAACCTTCCAAATCAAGTTAAAAGCCTTCAAGGAAGCTGGTGATAGACCACAGTTCATGTACAACACTCGGAAACTGAAGGATGAAACTACAAAGGAAATCTTCACGTCAGTCAACCATCAAGACAAAATGGGAGATATCGAGGAACATTCCTGAAGAAACCTGTGTGGAAGAACACTGGAAGTCTTCGAAAGAGATGTGGAAAGAAACCTGCACAGCCGTATTAGGAAGGAGGGAAGAAGAAAGAAGACAAGGAATGGATCTCGACGGATACCTGGAAGCTGATGGAGCAGGGAGATGAGGATGGTGAAGCAGAATATAAACCAGTGCATGGATGCTCAACGACAAGAGGAACTGAGTACAATGTATAAAACACTACACTGGACAAAGAAGTGAGGAAGAGTGCACGGAAAGATAAAAGACACTTCTACGAAACACTGGCAAGTGAAGCAGAACAGGCTGCCGGCTGGTAGGAGAGACCTGACAACATTGTATCAAATAACCAGGTTGCTATCTGGGATGGGAGAGATAAACGCAGACGAAACCAATAAAAGATGATAACGGAAATTTAATTACGAAAGAAGGGAAACAAAGGAAACAATGGGCCGACCACTTGAAGAAGCTCTTGAATCGACCACCACCACCACCTGCACTTCGTCCACAAATACCACCTACAGCCCAGCCGCTGAACTACAAGTGAACATAAATC